CTAGTAAACAATGAAATTAAAAAAGAAAAACGTAAGTGGATATTATGAAATATTACAATTACCATATATTGCCACAATTTTCGCTTCCTTGGTGATCAATCTGGACATAGCTTATAATTTTTGTTAAAATTAAAAACGAACTTAATTAAATAAAATATAACTTTCACATTTATAAACGGCAGGAGTAGACCTTTAAAATGGTGTATAACATACAGCAGCTAAGATGTTTACAAGCAGATAATTACCTTGATAAATGCACCCTTTATCTATCACACCAAAGTCTCTGCAAGCTCGCTGTTATAGCAGTAAATGAGTTCCAAGATTTATTATTAAGTTTTTGAGTAAAATAAACAAATTTCAGGCAACCAAAAGGTTCAGTGCCAAAGAAAATAAACAGAGGAACATGATTGAGTTACATTTATCTCTTCCCTAAACAGTATTTCAGTTACCGTATTCAACGTAATAAGCGCCCAGGGCGCTCTCAAAATTAGAAATAGAGGGCTCTTATTAGAATATTTTTTTGGTGAAAAAAACAGTTGAAAGATAAAATTTGTGGTTTATGCTGACAGCCTGAAATGTTTATATACGACAGATATATTTTTCCAGAATTTAATTGCCCATTATGCATATGCTCCACTAACTTGTATATAGGTATCTCTTGTCAACTTCTTTATGTCACCACGGTGATTCATGAGAAATAAACATCTTCTTCTTCTTCTTCTTCAATAGGGGGTCACGTCAGAACGACCTTTCTTCCGACCAATCAGAGCGTCGCTTACCAGATCATGAAAGTGACAGTCGGAATGTGATTTCTAATCATGCAACCTTGAAAACTTTAACAGGGGGTTTTCCAGACGATAAATACGGGCTTAACGACTGAATCCATACAATCTAGACCATCTATTAGCCATTCCAGAATGTTCTTTTGTTCAGGTTTCAAATTTTAAAGTGAGAATTTGTCAAAATATGTTTCAAAGCGTTGTCCCCAATTTGAAATTAGTGCCGTAAAGCATGAGAAAGATGCCTTCTGATTGGCTAATGTTGACTTCTTGTCAGTCATTCCATAGGTCGGTCAGGGTTCGCGAAAGGTCTGCCTGACGTGACCCGTAATGGGATGTCCTCAGATCTTTGTTTAGCGGTAGGGAGAACTAAGATCTGATTTTCATGAGATTGATAAGTAAGGGTACATATAACACGCAAGTGCGTGTTATACGCGATTAAATTAGTCTTTTGTAATTGATCAACTGGAAGGGGTGCTAATTGGGATTGTTCACTAGCCAATATATTAGCAAATATCGCCCTAGGTGCTTATTAGAGCGGGGCGCTTATTACGTCGTATACGGTATACCATGGCAGGGAGGGAAGCCTGAAATGATGTGGGTGATTTTTTTGGTTTATCACGTTCTTTTTCTCTTGGGTACAAATAGGATTTGTTATTTCGATAGTATGTTATGTATGTTGGTCAATATGATACATATCAAATACATGTTGGACAGGCACATTGTCAATACAGTAGGGTTATGCAAAGAGGTTGTGGCATGATGACCAACAGGTCATAAATTTATCGTATTCACATTTCGTGCATGCGACATGTATTGGCATATAATATAGATTTAAGAAATATTTTTTTAGTTCAGTAATATTAGGGAGAGAGTTTGAACATTTTTTGAGTAGATATATTACTTTGTTGCAATATAAATTAAATTCAAGACGCCATTACAGTTCTATTCTCTATCCATTGCACCAGGTGCTGCCACAACGTTTTTATATGTGCACATTCAAATATTAAATGGAGAATATTTTCGGTCAGTCGTGCAATGAGAACCAAGTGAGGAAGCGATAAATTTATGTTTGTACAAATCTATATTTGTTGTCAGAATTCTGTGAATAATACAGTGTACGACCATCTCAGCTTTGTGTTGTTTTTTGTTCTAAATGGTAACCATGGTAACTAGTTGTAAGTCCTCCAAATGTTCTTGGTATTTCTGTGTTAATCTTAATTGACTCCATATTTTTTCTTTTAATGCATATTCATTTAATAACATGGCAGACTATGGCAGACTAGTTCACATCCCTTTCCTTCTTTATATAGAATTTGGAAATTACATGGAATGAATGGTTGTTCAATTTTCCTATCTAATGATACAGATTTTGAATCCATATATGTTTTTTATCATGTTTATGGATTTAATAAGACATACATATTCTAAGAAATTTGATCTTGAAGTATATTCCTTAATAATTTCTTTAAAGGTAAAGAATGTACTGTCATCTTTTATCAGATCATTGATGAATTCTAAATTTGCGTTTAGGTAGTGTTTGTATATAACTAGTCCATGTCCAATCTGGATATTATCGTTTCCTCATTTATACAGGGGCAGGTGATTTACAACTAGGGTGAAATTCCATGGTGCTGACAAACCAAGGATCAATATCAGAGCAAATCTTAGATAACCTGTTTCACAGGAGAGTTAGTGAGTGAGTTAAGTTTATCACCTCCTTGAACAATATGTCTGTTATATCACAGCTGTACAGGGAGGGTCTAAGACATTTACCACTAGGGTGAAATTCCATGGTGCTGACAAACCAAGGAATGTCATCCAAGTGAATATTGGATTCTAAACCACCCAGAACATGAGATCCTGGCATGCAAAAGGGACCAAATCTGCAGAGCAAGTCATGGCTCCATAGATCACACCCTCACCCGGAAAGCCATGATCTAGCTACACTTGTCTTCACATCTAATGTGGGTATTAGTCAACCCAGGTGTCGTAGTACAAAACAACCTTAGCGCTACGACTGTCCTAAGTCTATGCCGAGGTATAGGAGTTACGATCACCTAAACATTAAGATCGCTTTGTACAACAGCACCACTGTCATTTTCTTACTTTCCAGAGCTTGCAAATTGGTCCAGCATAGACAAACACTAACTTGGGTGAAATGTGATTACATGACTGGCATTTGTCTAGCGGATCTGTGTATTTGTCAGCTACCAGTTTAAGTTTCCTGTGTATGAAACTGAGGAAGTTAAATCCTTCACAATACGTCATTGCTTCAGACTTCCTGACGACAAGGCTGACCTTAGCATGGTGTGATTGGGGTTGTCATGGTCATGTCAGTATCAGCATATCGACTAGACAGTATCAGTATTGATATATCAAGACATTGATCAAGGATACCATTGTGAGTATTACAGACAGAACTTCACAGAACACAATAAATGTTTAGCCTGTGGATGAGTTTGTGATGAAATTTCAATCGTTGTATTTTGTTATCAGAGTTATACTGTTGACAGAAGGCTAAATACTTCTATTGTAATCAACCAAAGTTTAGCAAATATTTTCAAGGTGTAAATAGTTATTTGTATCAATATTATCATATTCTCATATTGGAGTATTATGTTTTGTCATAATCAATATATCTAATTTCAAAGACAGACAAAACCACATCCAATACAAAGCGCAGTAATGACATCCAGATGTATAGTTAATGGGCAAAGCTGTACATCACTGTGTATATGTCATCTAATATAATGGATCATTAACCAGCTCTATTTCTATATGGCTGAAATAATGCCGATGAAACGTTATATTTTAAATTGTAACTCACTATTCTTACAGTTTAGTAAACAAATTACATGTCATATGAAGGACACAAATATGTCAAATATAATTCAAATAAAACAGCTGATAAAATTAATAATAATATAAAAATACACCAAAAATAAATATGTAGCCCTGTGCTCGAATAAGTATACCACTCAAAACAAGTTAAAGAAAACCCATAATTGGAAGGGTGCGTTGCAATACCCACCAGCAATGATAGATTAGCTATAGTCATATAAAAACATCAGGTGTGTTTTAATGTCTTTTGAGTGGTATATGTTATTGTTAAGCATAACTCATTTTGGTCACTAGCAATCATGGTGAAACATATAGAAAACTACTGATACCATTCATTACTTGTATCTTAACCATTAATACACATTGTGGTTGATATTACAGGGCATATGTGCTACTTATTTCTATTATAATTTCATAAAACTCTTCTGGGTTCCCTGATGTTATTTTGCCATATACAGCGATAAAAACTAACATTTTTAGTCCACTAGTCCTGATAAAAATAACATATGGCAAAATAGCAAAAAGGGAAATTTCTAGCACTAGTCCCTGTGATAGCCATAATCATGATAATATTGGGCAGTTTGGCAAGGACAATATGACTGGTGCCAATTTCTAACACTGCATATAGATATAGTATTTTAAGCTAAACCACCAATAAATATTTCATTATCAACATGAGGATTATTGCAACTAATCTTTTGATCAATTATGTTTATTGTTTCAGAATATTTTTACATTTCGTAGTGTTCTGGGTTCTTTTTTCAGAATACCGAGAACTGTTCCCTCTATGTATAAAAAGAGAAGGCAATGCTGGTTCACAATTCATCTGTGATGATTTGTAATAATGACAATCCCAGTAGTTGCTGTTAATAATAAATACGGTCGTGTGGGAAAAATACCTAGCTAGAGTGTGTGTGTGTCATGGTAGATAGACTGAACATTGTTTTACAACTATAGATGGAATTTAATACTAATGTAGAAATCAAATCACTGTTGTACACATTGGCAAGTGAAGAAAATATCAGAACAACTCTTGCATATTTCGAATAAGGTATCAACAGTTACTTTACTATTTGGATAATAACAAAATATTTTGTATATATCAGGTCAACACCTCACTCTGAATAACATGTTAACCTATTCAGAATACTGGGCACTGGCAATTGCTCTAACAACACAGGGAAAAACTGGGTCACATCGGGAATGTCTATAGGCCATCAGACTCGGGTAGTTAATAAATACAACTGTACAGTAAAACGATGCATTCCTTCTATTGGTGAAACTGTTTCGCGTTACGTTTTCAACAACTGTCAAATGCCGATGCTAATCCACATGATTCATGCAAGCATTACAATGTCGACACACATCTTGACTTACTTTCACGAATCACAGCTCATAAAAAATATGTCCATCCCCCTGAAACTCAACAAAGGCGCCAACAGATGAACTACATGTCTTCGTTTATCGTCCTCGAGGTACGGTAATCCAAGTTTTGGCATTCATCTTGATACAGAGAACGAAATTTTCTGCTATCTCTCCGTTTAGCCACTGTGAATTTCACGCCTTCGAGTGAGGAGAGCTCTCAAAGCGAGGTAATTCGTGATAATTCGTCTGCTAGGAGTGCACAGCGGACAATCCTACATTGACAACTGAATCTATGGGCTTCGTATGCACTAGGCGTAGCCAGTGTGTATTATGTGACGGAATAATGTCAGATTTGATTGTGAAAACAGATAATAACGGTCAATTAACTGACTGGTCTAGTAAGAAATTGTCCCGAACTTAAATCAATGAACAGATTTTTTTAAGGCCTTGCAGTGTTGTAAAGAAACATAAAAACAAACATTTTGTAAATATACATTGAACAAAATCTACCAAGTTTGTTCTAAAATATATTATAATCATACGTCTGTTGCATTATTGAAGGCTTAATTTGTTTAAATATTACTGACGCGAACGTTACGAAGTGGTGGTACCACTGGTGGCTGAACGTATTTTACCGCCGCTTGCCACATTGAAGCCGTGAGTTGGTAAATGAATTATTTCGTTGTTGTCGCCGCACTATATTCCAGCTATATGACGGCGGTCTGTAAATATTCGAGTCTGGGTCAGACAATCCAATGATTGACATCATGAGCATCGATCTACGCAATTGGGATACGATGACATGCATCAACCATCAACCAAGTCAGCGTGCCTGACAACACGATCCCGTTTGTCGCCTCTTACGAACAGCATAGGTTGATAATGACCTATTCTAACCCGGATCTTCATGGGGTGAATTACGTAGTAGTAGTAGTAGTAGTAGTAGTAGTAGTAGTAGTAGTAACTGCTTGATTGGCATTCTAGAAGTTGATGAATAAACACATACAACTTTATGGATAACAATTTCTAGTTTATTGCAATTAGCGACGTTTGGACGGAGATTCTTATACCGTTATCAAGCTGGAGTGACAACAACCAAGTGAAGAGAGGTTCATATATTCATGATATGTTGTGGTAAGCAGAAGATTAACATTAACAACTACAGGTAAAGGTAACAAGTAGCTCACAGATGGGTTACTGGAAGAAGCCAGATTATACAGAAAGAATGGCAAATAGCACACAGGTAATGAAGCCAGATCCAGCAAGTTGTATGTATTAGTTTGTTTGTTTGTTGTTAAACGCCGCACTCAGCAATATTCCAGCTATGACGGCGGTCTGTAAATAATCGAGTCTGAACCAGACGATGCAGTGATTGACATCATGAGCATCTATCTGCAATTGGGATACGATGCCATGCTTCAACCAAGTCAGCGAGTCTGACTATCCGATCCCGTCAGTCGCCTCGTACAAGCATGGGTTACTGAAGACCTATTCAACCCCGGACCTTCACAGGTCGTATGTTTTAGTAGTAGTAGTAGTAGCAGTAGTAGTAGTAGTAGTAGTAGTAGTAGTAGTAGCAGCAGTACCCGATCCCGTCAGTCGCCTCGTACAAGCATGGGTTACTGAAGACCTATTCAACCCCGGATCTTCACAGGTCGTATGTTTTAGTAGTAGTAGTAGTAGCAGTAGTAGTAGTAGTAGTAGCAGCAGTACCCGATCCCGTCAGTCGCCTCGTACAAGCATGGGTTACTGAAGACCTATTCGTCCCCGTATCTTCACAGGTCGTATGTTTTAGTAGTAGCAGTAGTAGCAGTAGTAGTAGTAGTAGTAGTAGTAGTAGTAGTAGCAGCAGTACCCGATCCCGTCAGTCGCCTCGTACAAGCATGGGTTACTGAAGACCTATTCATCCCCGGATATTCACAGGTCGTATGTTTTAGTAGTAGCAGTAGTAGTAGTAGTAGTAGTAGTAGTAGTAGTAGTAGTAGTAGTAGTAGCAGTACCCGATCCCGTCAGTCGCCTCGTACAAGCATGGGTTACTGAAGACCTATTCAGCCCCGAATCTTCACAGGTCCTATGTTTTAGTAGTAGTAATAGTAGTAGTAGTAGTAGTAGTAGTAGTAGTAGTAGTAGTAGTAGTAGTAGTTTCACTGTTGTTTAGTCTCTGGCTGATGGTAGTGAGGCCAAGACTCGTTGGGTTACACAATCCCTAAACAGAAAAGCTGAGTCTGCTTCAATACGACATAAAGTCTCACGGGAGATGATGATGATGGCAGACGCCTTGCAACCCAGCGTGCAGAAACCTTGGTCATGCCCAGTTCAATCCTGAGAATGTTCTCAGCAGTCTCACGATAGACGCTTACTGTACTGGCTATGTGACGTGTGGTGAGTCGTCGATCATCCATAATCATATCATGTATTTTATCAACATTTTAATTTTAAGTGGCAGTTGAAGGTCTCCCTGACGTTGGATCATCTTCGAGGCTCCCTCTGAACTCTGCTGCCCACCTCTAAACTGAGGCAACGGAAGGAGCGTCATCCCTTATAGATGGCCGCTGTGGACGGCTGTTGGAGTTCAACCGGATATTCTTCATGGCAGTGCATGCCAGTTTTGTCCATTTTCATTAACAGAGAATACATTGACATGTGAGTATGGTTTTTACGCCGCTTTTAGCAATATTCCGGCAATATCACGGCGGGGGACACCAAAAATGAGCTTCAGACATTGTACCCATGTCGGGATTCGAACCCGGGTCTTCGACGTGACGAGCCAACGCTTTAACCACTAGGCTATCCGATCGCCCCTCATGGACATGTAAATGCCTGCAGAAAATGTGCTGCCTGTTTGTGTATTTGCCACTGCTTGGTTGAAATACACACTGTAAGCATGAAAAATATTTGTTCTTAATACATGCAAACTGTTAAGGTTGTACCATATATACATCCTTCGTAATTAGTGTGGCCGATGTAGTTTTTGTATATATTTGTTTTAATCTAATTTCAAGTTTTTGTTATAAATAATCAGATGTTTGTTTCATTTAGTTTTATCAGTCATCTATAACACAGAACTTTCAGCCACCTCTCGCAAGACCAGGCCTCTTACGACAAGCACAGTCGCCTTTCTCGGCAAGCATGGGTTGCTGAAGACCTACTCTACCCCGGATCTTCACGGGTCTGGTCGTGGATGTAGGCGATAAGGACGAGGCGTCGAGAAACAACGTTCAGCGGTCTGGTGTCCACTTCCAGTAATCGTCTATACTCTGTAATTACGGTCAAGGTGTGAAACAGAAGCACCATAGCTGTGTAATGAGAGCAATCGTTAATTACCTGCTAGATTGGTGTACGTAATAAGATCTTTGGTAGCAGACACAGTGATGACTTTAATCATACCTCCTTGAGTGAGTGAGTGAGTGAGTATGGTTTTACGCCGCTTTTAGCAATATTCCAGCAATATCACGGCGGGGGACACCAGAAATGGGCTTCACACATTGTACCCATGTCGGTAATCGAGCCCGGGTCTTCGGCGTGACGAGCGAACGCTTTAACCACAAGGCTACCCGACCGCCCCCATACCTCCTTGAACTGTAAATAGTTGTTGTGCGTTTTATACAAGGTCCGATGAAGGGGTACAATACGATACTTTAATTGGATACAATTTAGTATGTTTATGATGGGTAATATGGAGTTGTACTATGTTTGGAATGCAGTATTGTCACCAAACAGCCGGGGAAAAGAAAATATACACACATGCTAGGTGTTGGCGTAAAATGAAACAAACAAGAAATGGTTTATGCCATAGTGGTGTATTTGATTGGGGAAATATATTTTGGACCAAAAGGTTGTGTTTTGGCGACTGTTTTCAGCTTAGTAACGTTTTCATAACGTGTGTATTGTATTGGTTAAATCCAATGTTCAAGTGTATACCTTTTTGCCGGATCTCGTGGAATTATCAATAGAACGCTGACACCAGATCCGGCTGTGTATGGTAATGTTGTGTTGCGCGTTTGGGGTTCGAGACAAACCGGTGATTTAGAATATTATTAGTTGCACATTCCCCTGTATGAAATAGCTACGCGATAAATCGCAAAGAACAATGAAGAACGAAGCGTGGTTTATTTCACGATGAAACATTGTTCTATCATGACGCAATTTCTGGAGATTCGAACATGCGCTCGCAACTTGATGACGACGCCGTACACTGGACGATATTATTTTTTGGGTGGGGGGTAGTCTTGTGATAGATGCATCTGGCCAACGCAGATAAACGCGATAGCCGAAAGATCGCATCCAAAAGCGGGAGAGATATGACAATCGGTAATGGGAAGAAAAGGTACAGGTAATCGAACTGAGGATTGTGAGAATATGCGGTAATGGACTTTGCCGAGGTTGGATTCTATTGAGGGAGTCATCATTATTTAAATACGGGTAAATACATTTGTACATTTTGCCATCATCCTTAAATAGGCTGTACATCATGTTTAAATCTCATATCAGAAATAAACGACTCGTGGTCGTTGTTTATCGTAGAATAAAACACTGCAGAGAGAATTAACTATTCGGGGTTGCACCCATCGTGGTTTATTCTCCCTGCAGTGTTTGCACGTTGGTGTGAGTGAGTGAGTCAGTTGGATTTAGTGCCGCTTTGAACAGTATTCCAGTTATATCACGGCGTGTCAGCTTAATGTGGGAGGAAAGCGCGAAGTGATGCAGGTCTCAGATGTATACCACTTTGGTGTAACCCACGAGCACTGCTATGGTGATGACAAACCTGACGAGCCTGGATTCGAGCCCACAGTCATAACTTTCTGGCTTGCCTAAACCACGAAACCCTGCACAAAAAGTATATAAACAAATTATATACTTTTCATATCTCGTGAAATATCATATTTCTCTCATTTCGTGAGGGGGAAAGGAGACCCTTATAAAATGAAGCCAGAAAAGCGTTTTTCTAGTATTTCCGACAGTACTTTGGTGAATTGCAATTTATTCATTTATTGCATCTTTGATTATCCAGTGTATTTCAGTGAATTTAAATACAACGCGATTCTCTGGTCCAGACTCGAATATTTTAAAACCGCCGTCATAAAGCTGAAATATTGCTGAGTGCGGCGCTAGACAACAAACAACTACAACTCCATTATGTAAGAAAGAGCTGAATTGAAACGTCCCTAAAATTATCAACCCTGTATGGAGCCGAGTTGAACCAGTGACGAGTTCTCTCCCTTCGCAAAAGCTCCATTTCAATACGTGCTCATAACTTCGTTACCCTCTAGGATTCAGAGCAGCGAACGAGGTACTGCTGTAGGGAGTTTGGACTCGTTGGCGGGAGTACTTACGACTAGAAAATAATGTCTACGTGTTTTATTCGGCTGCACTCACTAAAGGTAGATCCAAGAAACAATCATGAATAAACGAATACGAGCAAGGAAGCGTGGCTTACCTGACTGGATGGTTGACGATGATGAACCAGAATCGCAGGCAAGCAACGCACTCAATTCGACGGAAGACCAAGTTGAAGATGAACAACCGAAAGTAAATCGAATCAAGAGGCCGTTCTGTAAACCAAGCTATGAGTATCTCCCAGGAAACAAACACGGTCAGAAGAGCAAGGGGAACACCCTGGCCACCCCGGAAGCTGGAACATCACTGTCCGCTGACGATGTAGTTGCTCAGGCGATGCCGTTCATAGCCTTCGCGGGTTCTACCGTGTATACTCACAACTTCGGGGACTGTTCCTTACTCTGTGAAGAGATTATACGGACATGTTTAGACGCCGATAACAACAGTGAGCTGTGTGTAGGCTTCGACTTGGAATGGCCTGTGACCTACATGAGGGGCAACGGAGGTAGAGTTGCGCTTGTTCAGGTAGCGGTGAACGAATATACGTGTTACCTGTTTCATATATCAGCTATTGGGTCTTTGCCGAAAATGTTGAAAAGGTTAATCGAAGATGATCGCGTGAAGAAAATCGGTGTGAACATCGAGAATGACATGTGGAAGTTGGCCAAAGATTTTGATTTTGAAGCGAGAAAAGTTATCAGGAATTCCATGATAGACTTGGGGAAATTAGCGAACACAAAACTGAAATCTAAGGAGAACTGGAGTTTAGACGGTCTATGTAGGAATGTTCTAAGGATGAGGATGAATAAAGACGAGAGTGTGCGGTGCGGGAAGTGGGATGACTTCCCCTTGACGGACGAGCAGAAGCTATATGCAGCCACAGATGCATACGCATGCTTGAAGATATACAATACACTGGAACATGCACAGGGGTCGTAATGCTTATTTGGCAGCATGCCTATTTATATATGCCAGCTACAATGATCAGACAATAAACAAACGCTTTGGGGCGAGACTTATTCATGGCGTCACTCTTCAATGACAATTTGTTTTGTCAGGATCTGATGTTCTTGGGTTCGAATCCCAGATTCGCCCAGAATATATGACCAATGGTTTGTCCCCACCAATTCCATACTCATTGGTTTCACGGAATTGGTAAACATCTTCGACCTGCGTCGCTAGGGTTTTTTTCCGCCGCTGACGCACCCTGATATAACTGTGATATAACTCTAATAACAGCCGTCTTTAACCCAAGTCACTATCTCCATTTGTACCACGGAGAAATGAATTTATTTTAAAAACTATGAAATACTCGCAAACCAACATATCTGTTGTGTTCTTAATTATTGAAAGATATAGCAATGACAGTGTAATGTACATTTCTATTAACAGGGTTGCACAGAATGCAATATGGCTGACGTTTTTTTCTGATTGTACATTCTACCTCAGTTCTATGGTTATTCCCTGTTACGTACTTTTCATAATGTGTTATTGATCATATTTACAATTAAAACATGTAAAAGAACCCTACTTATTTTGTTTATTAGTTACAGTACAATTTTTGCGCAAAGAAAATTTGCAGATTCCATCGATTGTTGTACCCCAAAATGATCGCAGTATTTGAGCTGGGACTACTCTTCAGCTATTGACTTCCCACCTACCCCTCGTGAAAACCAGCTGACATTCAGAACTTCACTCTTATTAATGCATGTTGTCATCTTATCATTTAGATGTATAAATAAATCATGTATTTTACCCATCATGACAGAGTGATCGTGTGCAAAAACTTTCTAATATTTGGACATGTGCATTTGTGCATGTGCATTCTTTGTGGAGAAAGGTACGATGTGATGTCACAAGCCTATTACATTACGTCATCTGAACAAAAGGCTCCCTTCAATGAAGTGTCTCTGTGGGGTTGACATTTGATACGTTTTTCTTCATTTTCTCTCTTAAACTTAAATACATTATCTACTCAAAACTCGGATTATCTGTCCTCCGTCAATGATTTCTGTAAGTCCTTCGCCAGAGACTTGGGATTACACCACTCGTTCACTGAGGACAGATACCACAACCAACAACGTATAACTGCTTCCACGGATGCGACTTATCGGCGGAGTCGTTTTGGTGCAGACAAGACTTAGTTGTAGATGAGGTGGGTTGTTTGAATAGTTCATTAAAAGATCCGAGTGTGTTTGCTTGTGTCTCTGTCAAACAAATTCAACCCGGAATCCCCACAAAGCGGTCAATTAACTTGGTTGAAATATCGAAGACAACGTTGGGCGGTATTCTGAAAGAACAGTAAAAGACGTCGGAAATAGAAATGGCCAAAGAAGATAGCTTGATCTCATTAAGATCAGAGCTTTTATTTCAACGCAAGCAGATAAAGGAATTATTTTAATTAAATTCAAAGGGAAGCATATTAAATACAAATTTCGCTACCACAAAATAATATTCGTTCCCGAAATCAATATGCGCTTGAATGTTTGAAGTCATCATTTTGTGTCATGAAATCTTTGTGCAGACATGTCCACAATCCTGATGTTCACGTTCCAAGATTGAACAGTCTGAATCAGTGTTTCAGATTTGATTGTCAAAACAGATATAATTAGGAGATAAACATAATGTGTTTTCAATGTAGAGCTAGGTTACCTGTAGATTTAACCGCGCCGAATTAAACATTTGAAACCTCGCGCGCACATTGAAAACACAGTATGGATTTTTAACCCCGCTAAATTGTATTTGGAACCGAACGCGCAGCGTGAGGTTTCAAATGTTAAATTTAACGCGGTTAAATCAACAGATAACCTAGCTCAACCTTGAAAACACAGTATGTTTATCTCCATTCTACCATGACTAAATATAACGCGAACTCTTTGGTGTTAGCAAATATACTGAGTGAAGCAGCATGGGTTGAGCCCAGTGTTTTGAGTGGGTTGTCCATCTGATTTACGGAATCACCGACAAGAGCCTGTAAACAAAATATAGCGTTGTATATACTCAAGCAGTTTGTTTACACCGTAATACTTCATACGAACACATGACAGGCGTTGAAAGCATATAAGCACGGCAACTTGGTAAGCTAACATGAGGTGGGCATCCCTAAAGAAAACAAAGCAAGCTTTGCAAGGTTTTCGTTCTACACCGCACGTCGGCATTGTGACGTCATATCGCTCATTGTGACGCAAAAGACAGGACGTCACAGTCGCGCCAGATTCCAAGTTCTCTGTTGTCTCCAAAATGTAAATACATATATTTTTTAGATTTCTATCGTTTTTTCTGCACGAAATGTATTGCCACACATCCTTTGAATATTGTAGTAACCGCATCTGTGTATTTTGTAACCTGTAATTGTAGGTATAATTTTTTAAATATGCCTACCGACAATGAATGAAAAAAGTACTATTCTAAGAATACAAGCTTCCGCGGTGATGCGGCCGTCAAACCAGCTTTTCTATCAGAGGGGGTTTATTGTGATTTGATAGCCTCTGATTGACCAATCAGAATCGAATCATTTCCAAATTCATGGTGGAACAACGGTTAATTAACTGACTGGCCTCGTAAACTGCCCCAAACTGTAAATCAACAAACAAAAGACCCTGCAGTGTAAAGGGGGCAGCCTAATCATACAGTCCTCAGACCAATCATCCCTGATAATAAATGGCCAGACCAAAGTTGAAGTAGCAATTAGTAGTTTCGTTTTATAACGCCCAACAGTGTTCCACTTCTGTCACATGAAAACAGCTCAATGTTTTAAGGAATGCCAGGAGAGAAGGGGACGCGCACAGGTATGGTGCTGAATTCGTGCGAAGCTGGGATTCGAACTCATAAGCATAGAGTCCTGGCATGCTGAGGGGACGCAACTCTATATGAATTCATTGGCAATCACACCTACTAACGACGTAAAGCAATCTCTGTTTGCACTCACCTGAATTGGCTGAACAACAAATATTATCTAAACTGGAACCGCCCATCATCGCAGGTATGCTTACCTTTAGGCCTTAAACAATTGTGAAACACAGAATTAAGTTATGAATTATCAGATGTAAGTGATAATTATTTGCGGCCGTAATAAGCTAGGTATCTGTAACGAAAGACAAACAAATCGGAAAAGAATTGTTTGATAAATATTACTTGGAAGTTGAAAGATGGCAAAGTTGACACAATTTATGGATAACAAGTAATTAAAGAAGTTGTTATCCATAAATTGTGTCTACTGTGAAATCGGGAAAGAGACTCGTAAATAATTTTAAAACACCTTGTCTAATTCTAATACGAAATATACACAAATGAAAGAAACTTTTGAAAGCTTTTCGCGAATGTAGCTTTACTAATCTTCAGATTTTATAAATAAAACACAGCGAAATCAGAATACACAAATCGCGTCATCTGAAAGATCACTATCATGTGTACAGAGTTTCACTGTGAGTGAACTGAATGTATCTTGCGGAAAATGACGAGGGTAACTGAGTGTTTGTAGCACGCAGTGCTGTAGAGCATTTGTATAGTTTACGACATACAGTGTATTACTATTAACGTTGGTAAAGGTTTTGATTTTATAATGGAGATGCAGTTTTCACGAATCCACGAATCATAAGAATCAATAAAGGGTATACCCTGTAAAATTAACTATTGTGAGTTATGTCTGTTGTTATTTACGACAAACGTCATACGGTAGCATTAGCTTATCGTGTCCATGACAACGACGCCATATTCGCAGTGGGAAGTGTAAACGAGCTTGAATTGATTACTGAAACTGGCTACACTATTAGTTATACTGAGGATGCTGTGAAAGTAGGTTTGTTTTCTGTCAGGTCGATGTGTTTCCTCCAAACATTATTTAATGAAAGTTCACTTATCCGCTGCTAAATGATAATCATCTGAACTTTATTTGATGTTCTCGCAAATAAGCCTCGCACCTGCACTTGACACCTAATTCTTAATTTCTTCATATCGTAGGTAATGCCATAATTACTCACTATGCGTATTATCTATGAGACATGGTAATGGCCTTTAAGAATAGACCTTTTATGCCATTATTCCAGAATGTTAAACGTAAGGCAAGGTTAGGATGGGGGTCATGTTGGAATTATGTAAATTGACACCTCAAAATCTGTGAATCGGTCTCAGTGAATGTTGTTGTGTTTTGTCTCTTGATTTAATATTTTCTTTTGTCACTACATACCAGTGAGGTCTTTGATATATCCACAATTTCAGGTGTGTTGTGTGTATATATAAATCTTCTGTTTCACAAGTACCACTGCATTATTTAGGAATACAAAAGATGGCATCAAGACCTTTACGGAGTTCCCATGGGAAACCATTCTCTGCAAACAGAACACATGTCAGTACTCCACCTAAAACTGTTTCTGGTGAAAGATACCCCGAGATTAAACAACGAGGTTTCTACTCCGACATAGTCGGTACCGATGCTGCCGAGAGCACAAAGGTAATGTTGTTGTAAATATAAATTAGGCAAGATTGTATTTTACTGGATAGACCAACCTTCCACCATTTTGTGAGGGGATGTACACAAGCTCCTTCCATAGCAATGTTGTTTAACTGTCTCGCGAAAAATTACAGGGTCTTTTCTTTCGCACATCAGCTTGTAATTTTTTTTGAGTGTCATATTTATTTACCAAAAAAAATAATCTAAATATTGTTTAAATGTTGTACTGATGATGTTGTCACACACCATAATGAAACTTCTATTTTAATGTCATTTATTGTGATAGACAAATTTATTTTGAACTTGTTTTATTTTTTGTTTAAATCATATGTAATAACTAGTGGGGTCATATTTGAACAGATCAGTCAAGTCATTGGTTTGAAAATTATGTTCAAGCGATCTCACGACCAAATATAAATGTTACACATGCGTTTTGTAATAACTGAGAATGTTGGCTTTGTTCCAGAATGTCCTCAACGGCCCACCCACAGCACAAGACACACTCTGGACCGTGGCCAAAGAGAAACACACACCTAGAGGTACGTCATAGAGTGTCAGGACTCTGGAAATAACAGGATCAGAGAAATATGTACCATTGTGTTGATCATATATTACACATGAAAGGCTTTGCTGAAACATGAAGTAGATGGCCGGTCTGGCTAGTCAAAATTTCACCCCTTCTCTGTGTCTGTTTAATGTTTTTATTTGGACGCTTCTCGTGAGTCATGTAATTTCGATGAGAAAATGGTTAGGGGGGAGGAGGTCGTGTGAATGGTTCATTCAAAGATCATCTTGGTAGAGGACACAACCGGCAATTATGTAGTCATACAGTTATAGTGTATACCATGTATACTGACTTAGATATTTGAATGGGATGTATTTAAATCACTTATTATGTGACTATACTCAAAAAGATTTTTATCATATTAGGCTAGGTGAAACGGGTTTTAATGTCGCAGTCAAGATTATTGCACTTCGTACAGTGACACATGTGTGTAGCTGCTTGTACTGTGCCAGACTAATGCCGACCAGTCCTTGTTATATCCCATTAATTCTGAGTGCCAGGCAGGGTGACAACAAGTACCATCTTTTAATATGACGCAGCTGGGGATTGAAGTAACAACCCGCTCTCTGGGCAGATGCTCTATCCAATAGGCCATGGTGGTAGTATGATCATTAGTATGACGTTTAATGTTGCCATTTAATTCTTTTGTATCATTTGTAATACTCTTGTATCTCCATCATAGAATTTTTGAAAAGTGTCGTAACTTATCATCTGTTCATTGTTCTTTCCAATGTTATTTCAGTGACAACATTCACAGCAAAGGCTGGACTTGAAGATGCCATTAAAAATCAACAGTCCTATGGCCCTACCACAGAAAACAAAGATATATCAGTATGTAGAGGAATAATAATAATAATAATAATAATAATAATGGATCGATGTGCACTTGAATTTCATTCTCAGCTCCATGGGGAGATACAACCCAAGCTACTTAGGTGGTAGAAGGTTAACGGTCACATTACAATCCTACCTGATACCCATAATGATATCATATTGGGTAGTTGCAGATGTGATTAATTAAATTTACTTTACATGTATTTATTGTTCAAATCAATATACAAAATAAACAACTCTGCACTATGATAGTAATCTACTTTCACTGAACTAATTTATTATGCGGAAATGTGAAGTACAGATTATAATTGATTATATTTTTCAGGATTTCCCTCTGACTGCCTCAGAGCCCAAAGTACAACTTCCTTTCTACACAAAGCCCGGGGAATGTCCTCGAAAAATAGAGATTGAAAGGTTTGCCATTTATAGAATAACATCCCAGTTTGACTATGTAGTTATTTGGTAAATCTTTTACTTATCCTGCATTGCTCCTTAATGCATTCACTGTTTACCTTATGACAACAAAAAGACAGCATACGGCGATGGTCTTGGGTGAAGAAATAAAAGTTGTTTCAAAGTCCCACTCCTGCCTTTTCTCACTGACCACCGCCGCTGTCCATGTGACCTTGATGACTAGTCACCGTCTTCACATCACTGCCTTATTTAGATTTTACTAATAACAAAGGAGAATGTCTCTTCAAAAGTTGATAAAATCATATAAATGTGCTGGTGTTATGTGTCGGTGTTAGATTCTCTGCTATTATTCTCTTACTTTAACCTGATGTTTTCTATGTACAGACGGCGGAGGCATTATGCCAGCCAAGACCTCGATGAACTGCTGAACTCACACAATATTCAGACAGAACTGCTGATGCCAAAACAGCAGGTGAACGGCAACAACAACGTCATTCTGAATGCAGACCCCGACGACCCCGCCCCCTTCCCACCCTACTTGCCATTACACATCTTCGACAACGAAGAGTTTGACAGTCGTACGCCTGCAGAGTGGATTGCTCTTGGACAAGAGAATGGATCACGAAAACCAGTTCCTGGCATCGCATTGCTGCCGACCAAAGATGCAGATGTGGAGAGTAAGTGTGCTGCATGTTCTTGGTTCCCTCACATGCCTTCACTCAAGGAGGGATGCCCAAACTGCTTTTTTTAAAGATAATTGTCCCTGGCTTTTAAAGGCATCAAGCTAGAACCAGACCTTGTTCTTCTCATAAGATTTGTTATGCAAATACGCAGGTTGAAATTGAGAATAAAAACAAATATGATGTCATTGTTGATTCACGATTGAATGAGAACTGGCTCCTCTTGCTTGTACCAGTTGTTTGGACAGTCTTAGACATTGTAATTGATTTGTGTAATGTCATGTAATCATTAACTGCCCAATTGTTATATGTAAGCAAATTGGAACTATCATTTATGATGTTTAGACACTCTTGATACGGCAATCCTTTTACCTCTGACACAGGCATGCCAATTTGTCACGTCTTACACACTCCATTCACAAAATTACAAATGTTTTTCAGCTATTTCTCTTTTGAAAAGTCATCACATTTAGATAAACATGAGCCATGCTATCACCGGCTATCTCTGGGGTTTTGTTGTCTGCACATGGAACCTTACAACCATTGTAAAGCAAGGATAAATACACAAATGGAAATTTCACATTTTAGGATTATTTTCTCAATGACAGTTCATCATTTGCGTGACCCTAGTATTGAGTACGACTGGTTCTTGTGGTGTAGTGGTTGACGTGAGTTAATCTGTGTTTGTGTTATCAGAGGAGCCAACAGACCCCAGTATTGAGTACGACTGGTTCCGTGTGGGTGTAGTGGTTGACGTGAGTTAATCTGTGTTTGTGTTATCAGAGGAGCCAACAGACCCCAGTATTGAGTACGACTGGTTCCGTGTGGTGTAGTGGTTGACGTGAGTTAATCTGTGTTTGTGTTATCAGAGGAGCCAACAGACCCCAGTATTGAGTACGACTGGACTGGTTCCGTGTGGGTGTAGTGGTTGACGTGAGTTAATCTGTTTGTGTTATCAGAGGAGCCAACAGACCCCAGTACTGAGTACGACTGGACTGGTTCCGTGTGGGTGTAGTGGTTGACGTGAGTTAATCTGTTTGTGTTATCAGAGGAGCCAACAGACCCCAGTATTGAGTATGACTGGTTCCGTGTGGGTGTAGTGGTTGACGTGAGTTAATCTGTTTGTGTTATCAGAGGAGCCAACAGACCCCAGTATTGAGTATGACTGGTTCCGTGTGGGTGTAGTGGTTGATGTGAGTTAATCTGTTTGTGTTATCAGAGGAGCCAACAGACCCCAGTATTGAGTATGACTGGTTCCGTGTGGGTGTAGTGGTTGACGTGAGTTAATCTGTGTTTGTGTTATCAGAGGAGCCAACAGACCCCAGTATTGAGTATGACTGGTTCCGTGTGGGTGTAGTGGTTGACGTGAGTTAATCTGTGTTTGTGTTATCAGAGGAGCCAACAGACCCCAGTGTTGAGTACGACTGGTTCCGTGTGGGAGTCCTGGACTATGATGAGACATGTAAGAGGTACCTGGTGCAGAAGGTCAACAAGTCTGGCAGAGTCGTCGACCCTGACGGAAAACCTGTTGTAAATGGTGGAATGCTGGACGATGGTGAGACATTTCTCTGTCACTTTCTTTATCATTAGTAGATGGCAACTCAATAGAAGATCATTTTTGAGGATTTGTCACAATAACAATTAATTTCTAGCCCTGGGAATGGCTCTGATATTTTGCTTGAAATCCTTCTATTCCTGAACTCTGTCATGCAGGTACTAGAATAAAGCTGTCTAACCAGTTCTGGGTCCCCCGAATCCGCCTGATGCTGATGGCTGAAGACCCCCAGATATATGCCATACGTGTGTCCCAAGCCTACGAGGCCCGCAAACTGTGTGAGGCGGAGCTGCGATACAACCTGTACATAGACTGTATGCCCATGGATGGTGTTGGGGAGTTGGACCAGGCGTCACTCAAGAGGATGATTGAGTGGGCACGGAGCGCCCCAGGACTGGCCAGAGACAAGCAGTGAGTGGCTTCACTTTAGCAGAATGCTTTTTTCAAGGAAAATATTTGGCACTTCCTGCTCACCTGAGGCTATCTTCTCCAAGTTAACATTTTCCTTCTCATGAAAACATTTATCATTTTATGAAGTGTGTTGTTGTTATGAACATTTTGTACCACATCTGAAGCCTTGTGCAGTACAGATTTTTGTGTGGTCACTAAATGGGGATTGGTTGGCTAAGCAGAATACTGTGATAACTGCTTGGGTAGATGACCACCAGGAGAGAACAACCGTCAGTTATGACCTTGCTGAATTAGTGCCTAAGTGTTCCCTGGTTGTGTGCTCACTCTATTGACCATTGTACTCGTAAATCAGCTGATCAGTGTAATATTTCCCACCGGGGATTCTGGCAGAGGCTCCCTGTGTTGACTGTATCAGACATGAGCATGTTGTGTTGACTGTACTCAGACACATGAGCATGTTGTGTTGACTGTACTCGGACATATGAGCATGCTGTGTTGACTGTACTCGGACATATGAGCATGCTGTGTTGACTACTCAGACATGAACATGCTGTGTTGATTGTACTCAGACATGAGCATGCTGTGTTGACTACTCAGACATGAGCATGCTGTGTTGACTTTACTCAGACATGAGTATGTTGTGTTGACTGTACTCAGACATGAGCATGTTGTGTTGACTGTACTCAGACATGAGCATGTTGTGTTGACTGTACTCAGACACATGAACATGTTGTGTTGACTGTACTCAGACATGAGCATGCTGTGTTGACTGTACTCAGACATGAGCATGTTGTGTTGACTGTACTCAGACACATGAACATGTTGTGTTGACTGTACTCAGACATGAGCATGTTGTGTTGACTTTACTCAGACATGAGGATGTTGTGTTGACTGTACTCGGACATATAAGCATGTTGTGTTGACTGTACTCAGACATATAAGCATGTTGTGTTGACTGTACTCAGACATATAAGCATGTTGTGTTGACTGTACTCAGACATTTAAGCATGTTGTGTTGACAGTACTCAGACATATGAGCATGTTGTGTTGACTGTACTCAGACACGAGCATGTTGTGTTGACTGTACTCAGACATATGAGCATGTTCTGTTGACTGTACTCAGACATGATTTTGTTGTGTTGATTGTACTCAGACATGAGCTTGCTGTTGACTGTACTCGGACATATGAGCATGCTGTGTTGACTTTACTCAGACATGAGTATGCTGTGTTGACTGTACTCGGACACATGAGCATGTTGTGTTGACTGTACTCAGACATGAACATGTTGTGTTGACTGTTCTCAGACATATGAGCATGTTGTGTTGACTGTACTCAGACATAGGAGCATGCTGTGTTGACTGTACTCAGACATAGGAGCATGCTGTGTTGACTGTACTCAGACATATGAGTTTGCTGTTGACTGTACTCAGACATATGAGTTTGCTGTTGACTGTACTCAGACATATGAGTTTGCTGTTGACTGTACTTAGCATGTTGTGTTGACTGTACTTAGCATGTTGTGTTGACTGTACTTAGCATGTTGTGTTGCAGTGTGGAGGACTATGTACAAGTGCTGGAGAAGGAGGTCAACATTGACTTCTGTCGCTCCATGAACAGAATCATCTTTGAGAAGACAGTGAATGAAGACCCACACACCTTTGCCTTTGTCTCTGTCCCCACCGTGGTGAAAGTCAGCATTCCCCGGAGAGGTTGGTTGTTGTGTTGTCAGATATATCAACTGTTGTTAACCATTGCAGTGACAATCTCACTGAAACGGAACAGCAGACGCACAGTCATCAAGCATTGCTGTAGCATTGTCATCGTGGTATTGAGGTTTATTGGAAACCTGGGCTTGTCTTTTTGTTACCGTTCAAGTAAAGTATTCATCCAAGTCTCAAGTCAATTAATTATTCTTGGTATTGACAGAAGGTCAAAACAAACTCTTTGGAATGATCTTTTTTTCCAAATCCTGAAAAATAATCAAAAATGGTGTTGCAGGGATAATTCTAGTGTAGGGCCTTGTGCTTTTAGCCCCTAACTTTGAAAAAAGGCCTACATTTTCAAATGCAATGGGGCATCATAATATTGTGCTGTATGGCCGATTCTCTGGAAGATTTTAAATTTTCACATAAAGGGCCCTTGTCTGAAAATTCCTAGAGTGAATCCTGGTGTTGTACCTTCAAAAACTCTCCTAAGGAGGATACACCCTAAAACTGAAACTTAGAATCTGATCTTTGAATGCAGTAATGTAAATGTTATCATGTTTTAAAATATTAAAAAATCCTTCCTATCCTCACTTTATCAAAAGATAAAATATATAAGGTTTTTGTAGCTGTCTTACATCTGTGTATATACATCTGTGACCGTCCATTGGTGTATCCTTGTTGTGGCAGGTTGTTGTCTAGATGTGCCAGAATACCCATTTGATGAGCAGTACGACAACTTTGCCTTCAACTCGCTGCTGACACGTGAAGAGAGTATCCAGGCAACAGGCAAAGTCCGCACAGAATGTAACAAGGTAGCAGGCATGCCGCTGTTCCACGTCCCGACTGCTAAACCCATGAGGCTGGAGGAGTTCGAACAGACACAGTCACAGACAACGTCTCAGGTAGGACAGAGCTGTGAACTCACCACACCACAAAGTAGAGATAATCTCTGATCCAGGATTGGTTTTGTAAGACATTTTTGATTTTCCTAGAGACAGCAGATAAATGAACACAGTCTTCTTGAGGCAACAATAAGGTTTGACTTTTCATGACTCCATGACTCCGTGTCAGGCATGGAAACTCCAGAATTTTGGGAACCAATATTCAGATGTCTACTTTGGGAACATTTACATGAAATCTAAGGGACATTACTTTGTACCCATGATTTGTTAATCCAAATGATATGACTGAACAGTACCTGCTAGAGTAACAAATTTTCACTGTGCGGTCTGTGACTTTAGCCACTACACTGTAGCCCAAGTCTTGTAAAATTTCTTTCGGTCTAGAAAGCTTTTCTCACAAAAATCCAGACAATAACACTAAGATCGACTGAAAATGATGTCAAGTGACAGGTTCGGGCTGGTAGACTGAAAACTGAAGCACAGACTGCTGTTACTAACTTGTCACATGGTAAAGGAAATCAAGGCATTCTTCACAAAGCACTCCTGCTTTCTTTACAGTAACCTGAATTCATAACTTTCTGATAAACTCAGATCGCTTGATGGGATGGTCCTGTTTGTTTTGGAGCTATCTTCAAGAAGCAATGTGTGCTGTTGCTAGTAATTCCTCTGTCTGTCTCCAGGTGTCTCTGTTCCTGAAGGACAGCTGGATCACCACGCTGCGAGCCAACATCCGGACCTGTCTGCGAGACGTGGGCAAGGGCTGGTTCAACATCCATGAGACAAACTGGGAGGTGTACCAGATCTCCAAACTCAAGAAGTTCATGGAGATGGTCAAGTTTATCATGCAGGTACAGTGTTACAACACAAATAGGGTTTCCGCAGGTTCAAGTTCTGGCGCCAAGTTGTGACCACATGTATTGCAAGTGTATAGTTTCTTTTGAATTAAATTGGCTGTGGTTTGTCTGTAAATGTGGCAAGGACGATCAATTTTAAAAGTTTTTAAGGGACTTTTATTCAGAATTTTTATCAGTTTTGTCACAAACACGATCAAATCCGGAAACCATTGATTAATGAGCTGATATTATGTGTGTTGTTTGTGGACTAGTTTCATGTAAGGTGATGATATCTGTGTTCAGGACTCCCTGAGGTACCTGGTGCAAGACTCGCTGGTCAACTTCACACAGATGGTGGTAGATGCCTGTCACTCTACCCTTGAGCTGGAAGACAGCTTTGTGTGGGGACCTGATGTGATCAGCAGTTCCTTCAAGTAAGTGTCCATCGGCAGCTCATACAGTTTTCTCCTTCCTTCCCCCCATCAGCAGCTCATAAAGGTATCCTTCTCCATCAGGAGTTCATACAGGTATCCTTCCTTATCAGCAGCTCATACAGTTTTCTTCCCATGAACAGGTCATTCACATAATTTCCCATGAACAGGTCTTTCACGAAAGTCCTCATGAACAGGTCATTCACATAAGTTCCCATGAACAGGTCATTCACATAAGTTCCCATAAACAGGTCATTCACATAGGTTCCCATAAACAGGTCATTCACATAAGTTCCCATAAACAAGTCATTCACATAAGTTCCCATAAACAGGTCATTCACATAGGTTCCCATAAACAGGTCATTCACATAAGTTCCCATAAACAAGTCATTCACATAAGTTCCCATGAACAGGTCATTCATGTAAGTCCCAATGAACAGATCATTCATGTAAGTCCCCATCAGCAGATCATTCATGTAAGTCCCCATGAACAGGTCATTCACGTAAATCCCCATGAACAGGTCATTCAAGAAAGTCCCCATCACCAGCTCATACAAAACAAATCCCATTATTCAAATTTGCATTTAATGTCCATGTCTATCAATGTTATGTCGAGTTATAAATAGTATCTTGCTGATTTCAGACCAAAGAGGAATGCCCTGTTCCTGGTGGACCTGACCCTGGATAACCAGGGCGTTCACTACAGCACCAATATCACATCATTTGAGTCCACCCTCGTCTCACTGTTTGACCGCGGAATCGTCTCCACACAGAATGTGCCCCAGTTGGAGAAGGTGGGTGATGAGAGAATAGTTTGATCATGTTGATTTGATCATTTTGATGGTCGGGATAGTGTAGGATGGCTTGAACGGTGTAGGATGGCTTGGACAGTGGAGGATGGCCGGGAAGGTGTAGGATGACTTGAACGGTGTAGGATGGCTTAGATAGTATAAGATTGCTGGGATTGTGTAGGATGACTTGAACGGTGTAGGATGGCTTAGATAGTATAAGATTGCTGGGATTGTGTAGGATGACTTGAACGGTGTAGGATGGCTTGGACAGTGGAGGATGGCCGGGAAGGTGTAGGATGACTTGAACGGTGTAGGATGGCTTAGATAGTATAAGATTGCTGGGATTGTGTAGGATGACTTGAACGGTGTAGGATGGCTTGGACAGTGGAGGATGGCCGGGAAGGTGTAGGATGGCTTGAACAGTGTAGGATGGCTTAGATAGTATAAGATTGCTGGGATTGTGTAGGATTGCTGGGATAGTGTAGGATGGCTGGGATAGTGTAGGATGGCTTGAACAGTGTAGGGTGGTTGGGATAGTGTAGAATGGCTGGGATAGTGTAGGATGGCTTGATCAGTGAAGGGTGGCCGGGATAGTGTTGAATGGCTTGATCAGTGAAGGGTGGCTGGGATAGTGAAGGATGGCTTGAACAGTAAAGAGTGGCTGGGATAGTGAAGGATGGCTTGAGCAGTGAAGGGTGGCTTGAACAGTGTAGGGTGGCCGGGATAGTGTAGAATTGCTTGAACAGTGTAGGATGACTGGGATAGCGTAGAATGGCTTGAACAGTGTAGGATGGCTGGGATAGTGAAGGATGGCTTGAACAGTGTAGGGTGGCTTGAGCAGTGAAGTATGGCTTGAACAGTGTAGGATTGCTTGAACAGTGTAGGATGGCTTGAACAGTGTAGGATGACTGGGATAGTGTAGAATGGCTTGAACAGTGTAGGATGGCTGGGATAGTGAAGGATGGCTTGAGCAGTGTAGGATGGCCGGGATAGTGTAGAATGGCTTGAACAGTGTAGGATGACTGGGATAGTGTAGAATGGCTTGAGCAGTGTAGGATGACTGGGATAGTGTAGAATGGCTTGAACAGTGTAGGGTGGCCGGGATAGTGAAGGGTGTCTGGGATAGTGCAGAATGGCTTGAGCAGTGTAGGATGACTGGGATAGTGAAGGATGGCTTGAACAGTGAAGGTAGCTGTGATAGTGTAGGATGGCTTGAGCAGTGTAGGATGACTGGGATAGTGAAGGATGGCTTGAACAGTGAAGGGTGGCTGGGATAGTGTAGGATGGCTTGAGCAGTGTAGGATGACTGAGATAGTGTAGGATGGCTGGGATAGTGTAGATGGCTCGGATTGTGTAGATGGCTGGGATAGTGTAGATGGCTGGGATAGTGTAGGATGGCTGGGATAGTGTTGATGGCTGGGATAGTGTAGGATGGCTTGAGCAGTGTAGGATGACTGAGATAGTGTAGGATGGCTGGGATAGTGTTGATGGCTGGGATAGTGTAGATGGCTGGGATAGTGTAGGATGGCTGGGATAGTGTTGATGGCTGGGATAGTGTAGGATGGCTGGGATAGTGTTGCTGGCTAGGATAGTGTAGATGGCTGGGATAGTGTAGATGGCTGGGATAGTCTGCATCCAAGAAGGTGCTAAGCCTTGCACCAAATCTGACTGAGCAGGTCCATACAAAATGTAAACAAAATATACTGTTATACTTCTCAGGGGGATTGTGTAGGCAAGTGGTTAAAGCATTCACTCAGCATGCTGAAGTCCAGGTTCGATTCTCCATTCAGGTGCAATGTGTTAAGCCCCTTGTGAAGCCCCTTGTTGATGTCCCAACTTAAAAAATATTGCTAGAAGCTGTGTTAAGATCATGATTACCATCCTATGGGTACCCATTCACTTCTGAGTGAACAGCAAAACTAAAGAGTTGGCCCCCTGTGTTGTGACTGTGACTGTTCTTCCAGTACATCCTTGAGGACATCTTCTGGTCTGGAACTCCGCTCCTGGAGTCTGTGGGGGAACACGAGCCCCCGGTGGAGGAGCTGCGAGATGCCATCTGTAATGCCATCCGCCAGGCGGTGATCCCCATGAAGGCGTACGCCCGGGAGTATGAGAAGTACCTGGAACTCATGAACCTGGACATCAACCTCTACATCAAGTGAGTTGGGGGCTGGGTTGGATGTAGGTCTGTTGGGATGTGCTTGTACTGGAAATGTCTCATAACTTCTTATCAACTGGTGAACTTTTATTGCGAGTATTGTTTCTTTAATGGTTTTGAGATTCATTGTCTGAGTTCTGATTCACTGTTTTCTTGATTAAATTTTGAGATTCTGGTTTATAAACCCAGTGATATGTTTGAACTTTTTATTAGAATTTTGGAGGAACAATTATAGTCAAAGCCTTCTTTGTGTTTTGAGATTTAGCTGTCAATCATTATGATGATTATAGCAATTCAGTGGATTAATGGAAAGCTGGATCTCTTTTTCAAAGTTACATATTTCCAAGAAAGTTACATATTACATGACCAGTGAAGATCCGGGGTAGAAAAGATCTTCAGCAACCCATGCTTGCCATAACAGGCAACTCGCTGACTTGGTTGATGCATGTTATCATATCCCAATTGCATAGAACGATGCTCATGATATCAATCATTGGATTGTCTGGTCCAGACTCGATTATTTACAGACTGCCGTAATATAGCGGTTATATTGCTGAGTGCGACGTTAAACTGAAAACAACAACATATTACCTCTGGGGGTCAGGGGTGGCCCAGTCGTCTAACGCCAGAAACCTATGATCGTGGGTTCAAATCTCAGTTTACCTGGTTATGTCTCTAGGTTTGTCAGCACCATTCCTGTACTCATGTACTCATGGGTTTCACCAGAGTGGTAAATGTCTAAGACTTGCATTAGGGAGATCCTCCCACATGAAGCTGACATGCCGTGATGTAACTGGAATACTGTTCAAAGCAGCATTAACCCAACTCACTCAACCACATATATATACATGCTCTAGATACAGCTAGCGTCAGTAAGTGGCCAGTATTGACAGTTAATATCTTATTGCAATACACAGTGATTGCCTGGTGATATAAAGTGATATGTCATGAAAACATGGCGATTAATAAAAATATGTTTGAATATTTATTTTCTGTATAATATAATATAACTGAAGTACTTGTACTTTGTACTTGTACTTTTTTTTAACTTATTCTACAAGGATATATGCTATTGTCTGCCTTTTTGGACCTTGTTTACAGTATATAGTCTGCTCTATAAAATACAGTAAATATGTGAATATTACCAATTTTCTTACTAATCTTTGTCTGAAAATCATAGTGCCATTGAATTATGTAGTTCTGTGTGAATTTTATTTCATTCTGTAAAATTTTGTTTTATTTTACTTGAGTGAAATATTGATTTGCTATATTCAGATCAATGTTGTATATTGTTCCTACCTACAAGATATAGTGGTGTGTCAGTCAGTTCATATTTGTGCTGTGTTCATGTTGGTTCCCTGATGTACAATGTGTGTTGTCGTACAATGCAACAAGGCAAATGAGGGAGCGTTTGAGGTGAGTGGCATCTTGTATAGTACACAGAGACCTTGACCTTCACCTTGTGAACCTTGTGACACACCTGTCAGCATCCAGCTGGTATAAACCAGTTCACTGCCGTCCTCAGTATGGTGTGATGTCACACATAAATACAGCGTCTATCATTCATTGATAAACCATATAACCAGACTAATTACATTTGCCAATACTCTTGTACAATGATAGACAAGACCATCACGATGTCGCTGGTGTTATACTGGTGTTCTGAAATGATAAGGAGAGTACTCAAAACCTACAGCTTTCCGTTATGTAATATAAAATGTCATTTATCCTAGAATATGTTAGCTATTGGTGCTTTCAATTTTGGAATTATTTATGAATTACGTGTGCAATTTTTTTTTAAAATCCAGATTTTAACTATTTATTTTAAGATGTCATTATTCTTGATCCAAAGCTGGTTTTGTATGAAAATGTTCATGAAACACTTTGTGTATGATTCATTTATGTAGATTCTGATGTATTATGTTGACACAAATCCTGACAATTTGAACTTTATAAAGTGAAATACAAGAGAATGAGGGGTGAGACCTTCCAGATACTCTTCTAGTCTGTCTGCATCTTCATCTCTGCATCATCAATTATTCTCCATCACTCAAATATTGCATACAGACTATTTTTATATGTTACAATTTGCAAACTCTCCAAGTATCCACCAGCACATTATGCATGACGAATATTCCAATTGACTTCACCAGCATGGCTCACAACTGCTTCTCATCACAGATTCCATCAACTGTATTGTACTGCTGGCTCCCCTACACTCATACACTGTACCGGTAGTTACTTGTGTTGGGAATGGGTTGGAAGTTCATCACCAATCGTCAGTGATGATTAGTGATGATTGATTTCTTCCAATCAATCAATCATTGATTATGATAGTTACAAATATTTTATATTTTTCAGGAAAGTTGAATATTTTATTTTCCAAATTACTCATTGTGTTAATGTGTAATTATACACTGATATTAAATGAAATGGCGAACATTTAAAGCAAATATTCTGTTATCATGTAACATTTGTCCATATAATGTATTCAAATATTACTGATTATTGCATCAGTACAGGTTAACCAATCAATGGTCAATCATAGTCAATCATTGGAACATCACTATAGTAACTATGATGCTCAGACATCTTGCAGTGTTAGGGGATAGGGTTATATCTTGAATGCTGTAGGTAGGGCTCAGATTTGCGAGCTATCTTGGTGCTACACCAGGTCCATATGTATAGGGCTTAGGTGACACTTTCCTTCATGGTTTACAGATTTTTGCTTCCTTGGCTCTATCAAATTGAAAATAAGAATAAATTGTTTAGCTCAATATTTTTTATTTATTTGGTTTGAACTGTTTGGGTCAGATAGTTTAGTGGGAAAAGCTAAAGGGTAATTGTGTATAAAATGCTGAATGTTTAGTATTTCTACAGTACACAATGGTATTTGTAGAGTTGAAAGTTTATAGTGGCCAAAGACTATATACAATGCTTTTGATGAATAATTAATTACATTAAGTAATACGTTACCACTGTTATACCGAGGCTGTTGTCTCCCACAACTGCTGCTATAGCGAAATCTACCACAGAGATCTCAATTACCTCATGCAGCACGTGCGTAGCCACCTAGCTGCCATGTGACACCCTTCACTCTTGTCTCCTTCGTCTGCTTAGCAAGACGTGTTTTCTCCTGCTGAAGCGTTCCTGGAAGATTTGGTGATATTTATTATAGTTTATTCTCTAATAAACTGTGCTTTTATGGGGCGTTGCGGTAGCTACGCTTGGTTATAATTTTCCCGCCAAACGGAAAATTTTTCCCGCCCTTTTTTCTCTATACTTGCGGGGTTCGCGTATGCACGTTGTGTTTTACGTTTCCCCTGTTCTTGTATGTTTTGGGGGTTAACATAACTTATTTCTTTAATAAAAGTTATATGTGTATGTTATATGTTCACATTGCTCGTTTATTTTCTTGTGAAAATGCTCGTTTGTGAATCGTTGTGGTGCGTGCGTTGTAACCATGTTTTGTTCTTTGTTTATAGCAAACAATGTCTGACATGGATATGTCCCCAGTATCCACCCCCTCTACCCCTGCTCCTCGGAGTTGTGGGGTGTGCAGAAAGTTTTTGTCATCCCGGGATCCCCACGATCGTTGCCCGCGGTGCAGGGTTCCTTGCGGGGACACCCGGTGTACCCTGTGCGAAGGTCTGGGGCCTGCGGAGTTTGAGCGGTACCGGCTGTACGTACAGTCCGTCTCCACCCCTGTGGTGGCCGGTTCGTCCGGTCGGGGTCCCCGTGCGGGTACCACCTCCTCGGCTGCGGCGGATCCCCTTGCGGCCCTCGGGCTGTCTGGGGCTTCCGTCGCCGCATTATTGTCGAAACTTGTGGACTCCAAGCTGGCGGCCTTATCGCAAGATAGGCCGCTGGCTGTTCCGTCCCCGGCCTCTTCGGTGGCCGCGGGTTCGGACGCGGGGTCCACCGGTACGGCGGCGGCTGCCGTGGTTACCGGTCCTTCCCCCGAACCGTTGCTTCCGCTATCGGTTAAGGACCGCGTTGCCATGGTGTATGACCTCTTCGAGGACATGCCAAAGCCCCTGCCGATACCGCGGGGAATCCACGGTTCCGTGGGTTCCTCCGAGGTATACGACGAGACGTCCGACAAGGCTTTCCCGGCATCAACCTTGCTGCGCGGGATTAAGCCTTCTTTGGAGAAGGCCTTCACGGCTGCCTCCGGTCGGGGTCTCCCGTTACCTCCCCCGTCGTGGAGAAAAGGGTCTTTCCCAGTACATGACCTTGCCTTTCCCGAGGCTGGTCCTTCTGCGGAAGCCCATGTGGAGCGTTTGGGGGTCCGTGCCCCACCGGTTGCCACGGTACCACAAGGTACCTTGCAACAGCTGGACACCCTCGCTCGACACTCCATGCTGGCAATGTCTCACGGAGACACATACCTGGCTGCAGCGGCCAGTCTGGTCGAAGGTTCTCCCACGGACCGAGACCAGCGCATTTACAACTGCTTGCTCGGTTTGAATGCTTCCCTGGAGTACGTTGCCGGGGCTTCGGCCTTTGTTTCCGGCACGTGCCATTTTCTTCGGCGCCAGTCGTATCTGGTTGCTTCAGGGTTGGACGCTGCTAATCAGGAGGTGCTCCTTTCGCAGCCTTGGTCTGCTCGGACCCTGTTTAATAACAAGATCCCTGGGGTTCTGAAGGAACAACAGGCCGCTGTGTCTGCCGAGGCCTCTCGGCACACACTGGATCTTGTGGGGTCCTTGCATAGGCGCCTGGGTGCCGCTCCGAAGCGGAGCGCGCCCCAGGATGCTGCGTCCGGCAGGCCTAAGGGGTCGGGTCCTTCTTCCTCCGGGAAGAAGCCCCGCTCTGAGGGCTCCGGTAAGGGTTCTCAGCAGCCCTTTCGCGGGAAGAAGGGGAACTGGGGGAAGCCCAAGTCGTCTAAGGACGGCAAGGGCCCCTCCAGGTGACTCTCATTGGAGGGGTTCGTATGCCGACAGCGCCAACTTCGGTTGGCCCGTAGGCGAACCCGAGTCACTTGGCCCTGGACAGTTGCGCCTGCCGCAGCCCGTCCGGCCCCCCTCTCTTTCCCCAGTGGGAGCCAGACTCCAGACTTACTGGGAGAATTGGGAACAAGTGTTCGACGACCCGTGGGTGGTCAACACGATTCGGTACGGCTATCGGCTCGATCTCATAGCGAATCCGCCGCTCACCGTTGCCCCGTCGGCAGGTTTCTATTCGGAAACCGATCTTCCCTTCCTCGCCGATGCCATCGGCAGGTTGGTGGAGAAGAGGGCAGTTCGGGAGTTAGCTCTACCAGAAATAACACCGGGGTTTTACTCCAGGATATTTCTCGTTCCCAAGAAGGACAGTGCCGAACTCAGAATGATTCACAACTTGAAATCGTTCAACGAGTTCTACCTGCGCAAACCGCCCAAGTTCAGAATGTTGAGCTTGACGGACCTGAAAGCACTGATCATGCCGGCCGACTGGCTAGCTTCGATCGACCTGAAGGATGCTTATCTGCATGTTCCGATTCACTCGGATCATCAGAAGTATCTCAGGTTTGTCTTTCAAGGCAGGCACTACGAGTGGGTTGTACTCCCATTCGGTCTTTCATCCGCTCCCTGGCTGTTCACCCGGTTAACCACCCCCATAGTGGGGTTCCTCCACCGGAGGGGTGTCCGGTACTTCGCGTACCTGGACGACTCGCTAGTAGCAAATCGAATGTCGGACACCCTGTCACGCCATCTCGTTTTCGCACGTCGGCTCTTGGAGCAATTGGGGTGGATTGTCAATCTCCCCAAGAGCGAGTTAACCCCTTCTCAGAACTTGCAGTTCATCGGAGGTCGGTTCAACACGGTGTCCCATCGCCTATTTGTCCCCCCAGACCGGTGGCACAAAATTCAGGCGATGATTGCCAAAGTCTTAGCGGTGCAACAGACTGTTCACTTTTGGGAACAGCTGTTAGGGCTACTTGTATCAGCCCAGGACTGCACCGAACGGGGTCGTCTCCAACTCCGCCCGCTGCAACGGTTTTTAATCCAGTTGTTAGCAACGGAGGTGAACAGTGCGACCGTCGCCCTCCCGGATCGGCTCCGACCGCATCTGGAGTGGTGGACGCTCCCTTACAATGTCTTATCAGGAGTCTCTATGCGGCCCTACCGGGCCACGTTGAACCTGTATACAGACGCCTCTCTAGTGGGCTGGGGCGCCCATCTAGAGGGGGAGGTGAGCTCGGGGCTGTGGTGCGTAGACGAACTAGGTCTTCACATCAATTGTCTCGAGTTCAAGGCAGTGATCAACGCAGTCAATCACTGGAAGCATCGTCTCGTCGACGCCCGGCTCATGCTGGCGACCGACAACACGACGGTAGTGTCCTATGTGAACAAACTGGGGGGAACCCACAGTCACTCGCTACTCGATCTCACGTTCGAGTTTTACGCTCTGGTGGACAGTGTCCCGTGCCAGATACGCGCCCGTCACATCCCAGGTGTGCGGAACGTACTGGCCGATGCTCTATCGAGGCCTCAGGATCCGAGCCCCACAGAGTGGATGCTGAACCCAGTGGTGTTTCAGTGGCTGTGCGAACGTTTGGGTCGTCCGATGGTCGACCTGTTCGCAACACGGTTCAACAATCAACTCCCGTTGTTTGTATCACCAGTCCCGGACCCGAGGGCCATCGATCACGATGCTCTCGCGTTAGACTGGACGGGCTTGGACGCTTATGCTTACCCGCCGACAGCGTTGATACCACACATTCTAAGCCGGCTTCGAGGAGTTCGCTGTCGAATGTTACTGATCGCGCCCATGTGGCCGAACAGATCGTGGTACCCCGACTTGCTGACCCAGGTCACGCAGTCGCCACTCCCACTGCCTGTGAGACCGGATCTCTTGATCCACCCTCACACCCGTCAGCTTCATCCAAACGCAGGGCAGTTCAATCTGCACGCGTGGATGTTGTCACCGAGCGTCTGAGGAGTAAAGGTTTTTCTCGCCGGGCGTCTCGGGCATACGTTAGTATGCATCGTGATTCTACCCAGAAGGTGTATAATGCACGTTGGGTTATTTTCACGAAGTGGTGTTGTAAACATCACATTCATTCGCCAGATAAGGTATCTGTGCAGGATATTGCTCGTTTCATGTCTCACTTGCGAGAGACCCGGAAACTCTCCGGGGGTTCCATTGCCAACTATGTCTCGTCCGTTGCTACGGTACGGGACGTTGCTATGGGTACCAGTCTCTCCAAAGAGCCGGTGATACGGGGTATTATCAAGGGTTTCAAACAGCACGATCTTAAGAAGGGCCGCCTTCGGGCACCGGCCTGGGATCTTTCCCTAGTGTTGCAATCACTCACGGAAGCTCCGTATGAACCCTTGCATAGTGCTTCGTTCCGGCATGTGACTTGGAAAACAGCATTTCTCCTCTCCTTTGCCACGGCGGCACGTGTATCCGAAATTCATGCACTCGATGTCGCCAAGGTACGATTCGATAGGGGTGACGAAGGAGCGGTCCGCCTGGGCCTGCTCATGGGCTTCGTCGCCAAGAATCAGAGAGTCGGGCAAACGGAGAGAGAATTCACTGTAAGATCCCTCAAAGAAATCTTACATCCTGCTGATACTGAGGACAGAGCGCTGTGTCCGGTTAGGGCCCTTAAGTATTATCTTAAGGCTTCGAATGAACGTAGACAAGGGCGTGACCGTCTGTTCATATCGTGTAACCCTAATCGCACGGTTGACATAACTCGCAACTCGATTGCGTTGTGGCTTCGTTCTGTCATCAATCTGGCGTACCGGTCTCGGGGGTTACCGGTAGCGGGGTCAAACCCGCACGAGATCAGGGCGCTAGCGGCAACATTTGCCCTACACTCGAATATCTCTGTTCACAGAATATTACGAGGTTGTTACTGGCGTTCTGACTCGGTTTTTGCCAATCATTACCTCAGAAAGGTTTCTGATGAAGACGTGGAGGGGGTGCACCGTCTTGGGCCGCTGATCGCGGCACAAGCGGTCATCTAGGGGGTGTGTCCAGCGCAATTCCAAACTCCGCAGTCGTCAGTCCTTGCACGGTGGTCAATCTGGGTCGTCTCCAATGTTCCCACGCCGTGGGTACAGGAGTGGGGGTCCTGCAAACCAGCGCACTCACACCACAGGTGAGGCGGCTTTTTGTGTGTTTTGTCCTTATTTGTATTTTGACAATTATGCATTTAATTGTCTGTCGTGTATTCCAACCTTGCGATACATGCTTACGAATACTGGAATTAGGTCACGCGCCTAATGCATACTTTAAGTAGGCTTGCTCTGGGATATACGGTCTGAAGGAAATTAATTTCCCTCTTTTCGACTGTTTAACCTGATCTAAGATTTAGCTCAAGCGGATACAGTGTTCTCATCCGCTGCGGCGATGAAATACCTATCCAGTGGGGCCGTTTGGAGTCACCAATCGTTTTGGCATTGACGATTGAGCCTTACGGTATGCGCTTGACAGTGCTTTGGTATTCCTATAGGGTAACGCCTAGCTAGGTGCATGCGCATCGAGTGCTTCCGCCTTGGTGTTTACTTCCGCTGGTCGGAAGGAACGCTAGCAGTCAGGATTCGGGTTGTAGGTGCTCCCCACCGCCTACTGTGGTAGTCAGCCTCGGTATAACAGTGGTAACGTATTACTTAATGTAATTTGTAGAATTTTCCTATTCGGAATATTCTATAAGTAATACGTTACCACTGGGCTGCTGCCCGCCCGTCCGTCCCCCGAGCACTTGCTCTCGCAGGAGACAAGAGTGAAGGGTGTCACATGGCAGCTAGGTGGCTACGCACGTGCTGCATGAGGTAATTGAGATCTCTGTGGTAGATTTCGCTATAGCAGCAGTTGTGGGAGACAACAGCCTCGGTATAACAGTGGTAACGTATTACTTATAGAATATTCCGAATAGGAAAATTCTACAACTTTTGAAGTTTACTTTGTTTCCTTAAATAAATTTTTATTATTTTTATTATTGTTTAGAAAAAAGATGATGTATGTAAATATATTTATTTCTGATTGCATCTTTTGCCTCCAATTGTTTTGGTCTGTAAAATTAAAAAAAAAAAATGTGTTGCCTGAAGATAGAAGTTCTCTGCACAGCAGTGGCACTGTAGACCTGGAGCCTGCCTGCCCTGGGAAGTACCTGTACTCCTATACTATAACATCCACTCATGACAGACATAGCACTACTGCTGTGTGGAGTCAGTCATTTCATGGCATGTGTCACAAACTTATTAGGCAGAATGTCATTTCTTTATGGAATGTATAGTCATTATGTCAAGGCTAGCATTAAAAGAATGAGATTTGGGATAGCGCTGTTTCAGCATGTGGGACAGCATGTGGGCATTGGATCATGTTGATACTAAAGTATCATACTTTTGAGATAAGTGAAATGAAAATATGATTTAGTGTTCAATAAAATCACAATTTCAATTCACTTCTGAACCTATTAAAATGCATAATTCATTGTTCAACAAAACAATTTGTGATATTTAGTAGTTTGTGTTTTGAAATTAAGGTTCTTGAATCTGTCAGTCAAGAAGAACTGAATTTCTAGATTATGTGACTAAACAAGTTTTGTTTTCATATTATGTTAATTTTTCCTAAAATACAAACTTTAATATGAGTAGTTGTATTTATGTCAAAGATTGTACCAGCAAGTGTTAATGATATTTAAGAATGTAAGGTATTACAGTGTTCTAGAAAGGAGGTTTGTGGCACAACATGTGGCACAACCCTATAATGTTGAAATTCAAGGATTTAGGACCCCTTTGATTCCAATACCATCACAGCAAACATCTAAGACCGCATTTGAAACACCCTTGATTTGAAACGATGTTTCATTTTAAAATACTCGTATTGACAGCATTATGTTTCTACCCAGGAAGGACATGTTGTAGCTGTTGTTGTTTCCCCAGGTAGTGGTCCAAGTTAAGAATGAAAATCATGGGGTCCTTAACTCTGATGTTAACTCTGAGTAAGGATTTAGGGGTCTCTAGATTCAAATAGTAAGGGGAAAACCTCAAGAACCCCGCCCATGCCATGTTTTGATATTGAATCAGTGAATAAGATCCTATGCTGGTTGGTATCATATTACATGGTTTGATATAAGGTAAGTGAAATGCACTGAAGCTAAAGGTTGTCACTAGCCTCTAGGGCCAACACATTCATACTGCAGAATTAGAAATTGGCACTAGTCCTATAGTCCTTGCCAAACTGCCTAATAGTTAAGGTATCATAAGGACCAGTAGAAATTAGCTGTTTTTAAAGGTTTTGCTATATGTTACCATTATAAGGACTAGTGGACTAAAAATGTGAGTTTTTCATAGATTGTTATTCATAGATAGGACATCACCTTCAGTCATAGGACATCACCTTCAGTCATAGGACATGCACCTCAATACAGAAGTGCATCATCACTGCTGTGAACAATGTTTAATCATCAACATTGTGACTGGTTCCAGGACATACGAGGGTGAAGGTCATACAGCAGCAGAGGTCAAAAAAGAGGTTGAGATGCACCTACAGGAGAAGGAAATACTTGAACAGGCATTGCCAAGCAACATCATCATTGGACCATTCTGGGTGAACACTGAGAATGTTCGGCAGGCACTGTCCAAGAAGAGGAAGAACCTGAGTAACGCTGTCCTGGAACTCCTTGCAAGACAGCTCCGGAAACAGGCAGATGATGTGAGTTGACATAGGGCACCTCTGAGAGATGATGGTATTAGGAGTCCGACCATTTGCTCTACTTGTGGGAGGATTCATGGTATTTGTTTGAAAAATTAGTTTGTTCCTGAAATTATTGCAAGGAATATTTTGCCTCAGGTTTTACCTCCACACCCAACCCACCCCAACCCCCCCAAAAATGTTTTAAAAAATGGATGTCCTGAAAAGCTGTCAATGGCCAAGAATTCTGACTCTTTAAAAAAATCCCAGCTTCTTGTCTTCGTCAGTTGCATCAAGCAGGGAGCATTCATGAATCTTGACAATAATAAATTTTCACTGTGACATTATTTGTTCGTATGGTTTTAGAGTGCCTGTTTTTGGCAGCTGTTGTAAGGCTTATGAGTTGTTCATATTCTGAACTAACGATAATGATGATGTTCTGAACCTCTTTTGGTGTTCAGGCTTGTGAGGAGTTCAAGGCATTCAGTCGCAAGCTGTATGAGAAGCCAAACTGCATCGAGGAACTGTCTGAGATGAAGGAGTGGATGAAGGCCATCCCAGACAAGCTGAAGGAACACCAGGTAAGTCTACAATCTTCTACCTTCAGCTACAGGTATCACTAAAATGTTCAGGATTCTGATAACAATATAGAATCAATTCTACAGTTTCAATAACCCTCAAGTATCAACCACCATGAATCTTTGTAGCCAGTTGGGATTCCAGGGAAGAATAGATCCTCAGTAACACATGCTTGTGTTTAGAGCCAACTTATGAGGATTGGGTGGTCAAAATGGTGTACCCCAGTGGTATGGATAATTGTTTGTTTGCAATCACAGGCCTGCCTGGCCTCCATCAATGTGATAACTGGAATATTGTTGACTGCAGTGTAAAACAACATTCTCTCACTCAGGAAGGTATGTATGTTGTAGGAACTGATAGACAAGGCCATGACAGACTATGAGCTGATAGAGGAGTTCTACTACAACCTGTCCACGGATGACTTCAATGCAAAGTGGACTGCCATTGGTTGGCCTCACAAGATCGAGCATCAGATGGAGCAGACCAATCAACAACTGGATGAAGATGAAGAGAGATTCCGCAAGCTGCAATCATCTGACCAAACAAACTTTGAAGACCGGCTTGATACCCTGCAGGTGTGGCTCAGGATGGTCAAAGATTTGATACTGGAAGATCTACTTGAGTTGATTTTGTTATATCCCTACAAATCGTTTTGAGGCACTATTTGGTTAATTACACAAGGACGTCATTTTGCTGACCAGATCTCCTAGGTTTCTGGTCTATAAATTCTGAAAATTATACTCAGAATTTCTACTTTCTTTTTGGTGGAACAGTTTCTTTCTATCATAACAGGAAGCTCAAAACTAATGGAAGTTGATTTTGATGTCCATCTGTTTCATGATTGGTTGTATGTGGGTTGGTTGTAGCTGGCAGACGTCAGGTAGTAATCTCTAGTATGTGGGTTGTTCCAGATGGTAGTAGCTGGCAGACGTCAGATAGTAATCTCTAGTATGTGGGTTGTTCCAGATGGTAGTAGCTGGCAGACGTCAGGTAGTAATCTCTAGTATGTGGGTTGTTCCAGATGGTAGTAGCTGGCAGACGTCAGGTAGTAATCTCTAGTATGTGGGTTGTTCCAGATGGTAGTAGCTGGCAGACGTCAGGTAGTAATCTCTAGTATGTGGGTTGTTCCAGATGGTAGTAGCTGGCATGGCTGCCCACACAGACATCTCCAAGGCTCATGAGATCGCCAATGACGTCCGCAGGGTCCACAAGCAACTGAAGGAAGCCCAGACTCTGGCCCAGACCTACAACACCAGAGAGAGACTGTTTGGGATGCCTGTGTCCAATGTGAGTCTCTATACAACAGGCAGACGGCTGGCCTGGTTCAAGCTGCTGTGCAAGGCTCTGTCTTGAGTGTTTGGTGTCACTGGGTTTTTGTTCACAGCTCCACCAACAAGATGCCTCTTGTGTTTGCGTGTGCGCTTTAGATATTGCGTTGATCAATCTTGTTGCAGGTTTTCTCTGAAGTGTCAAGCAGCACATCTCCTATCCACAATTTTTCTCCATTTCAGCTGTGTCCTCACCTGGTCACTGTTTACTCATGTTTCTATATTTGTTTTTGCTGCCACATTTGTAGAGACCAAGACCCTTTAAGAAAATTGTAAGGACCCAGATTTGTCTCTGCATCCTATTTACTATAGGCAACTGAAGTAGCAGACACTTACTTGTTCGTGGAGAATGCTGACTTGCATGATCACAGATTGTCACAGATGGAATGTCACATGGCCACAGTTGCATTCACAGATTGCAGAAATATGCATTGATCTGCTTTATACTACCTTGTTTCAATGGACTTTATGCTATCTCAATGGATATCACACTGTCAGTGGACATTTTACTGTCCTAGTGGAAGTTATGCTACATTATTTGACCTGTTACTGCCTAAGTTGACATTATGCCATCTTAGTGGACATTAAACTACCTCAATGAACAATACACTACCTCAGTGGACATTATATTATCTTAGTGGATGTTATACTTCTCAGTGGACATTATACTACCTCAGTGAACATTATTCAACCTCAGTGGACATTTTAGTATCTTAGTAGACATTATGCTACTTCAGTGGACATTTACTATCTTAGTAGACATGCTACCTCAGTGGACATTTTACTATCTTAGTAGACATTGTGCTACCTCAGTGGACATTTACTATCTTAGTAGACATTATGCTACCTCAGGGGACATTTTATAATCTTAGTAGACATTATGCTACTTCAGTGGACATTTACTATCTTAGTAGACATGCTACCTCAGTGGACATTTTACTATCTTAGTAGACATTGTGCTACCTCAGTGGACATTTACTATCTTAGTAGACATTATACTACCTCAGGGGACATTTTATAATCTTAGTAGACATTATGCAATCTTGGTGGACATTTTAATATCTTAGTGGACATTATGTATTACAGTGGACATTCTGCTATCTTTGTGGACACTACACTTTCTCAGTGGACGTTATATTGTCTTAATGGACATCGTATTATCTAAAGGGACATTAAACTATCTCAGTATAGAAGTTCTGCAGGTACAAGCTCCGTCTTCCAGCTGTGTAAAATGGCTTCAGCGTCCTTGTACAAGGTTGTTGATCTATCCTACTACCATAACAAACCCTACCTCGACTGTCACTGCATGTTACTACACTCTAGCACACAGAGCCTACTGCATATACTGCTGCTGTTTGTACGGCTGTATATACACCATCTCCATGTGTGTATCACTGTACCTATGTATCACTTGTATCACTGTCTGCTTTGCATCCATGGTACACATGTAGCCAGTGCATTATGATATGCACATTTTAACAATGTGGACGTGTTTTCATGTCTGAAAATATTTCTACATTTGTGTAAGGTCATGATTGCACTTAGTATAACAGTGAATTAATTATAGATATTAAAAATGTAATATATCTGTAGCATTTAAATAATATTTTTATTAGATATTATATATGTAGTATATCTGTAGCATTTAAATAATATCTTATTTTCACAAACTGTTATTCATCCACACGAAGTCTAGAACACCCCTGCCATCATACTGCTTGAATATTGCTAAAAGCGGCGTAAAACCATACTCACTCACTCTAGGAACACAAGGGGGCAGTGGGGTAGCCTAGTGGTTGAAGCATTTGCTTGTCATGACGAAGACCCAGGTTTTATTTCCCTACAATGTGTGAAGCCCATTTATGGTGTCCCCCGCAGTGATATTGCTGGCATATTGCTAAAAGCCATACTCACTCACTCACTCACTCACTCACTCACTCACTCACTCACTCACTCACTCACTCACTCACTCACTCACTCACTCACTCACTCACTCACTCACTCACTCACTCACTCACTCACTCACTCACTCACTCACTCACTCACTCACTCACTCACTCACTCACTCACTCACTCACTCACTCACTCACTCACTCACTCACTCACTCACTCACTCACTCACTCACTCACTCACTCACTCACTCACTCACTCACTCACTCACTCACTCACTCACTCACTCACTCACTCACTCACTCACTCACTCACTCACTCACTCACTCACTCACTCACTCACTCACTCACTCACTCACTCACTCACTCACTCACTCACTCACTCACTCACTCACTCACTCACTCACTCACTCACTCACTCACTCACTCACTCACTCACTCACTCACTCACTCACTCACGGAACTCACGGAACTCATGGAACACAGGCAATGTATTGATGACTTAGGAAACTTGCCAGTGCAGGGACAATCAGGGATACACTTGTTCCTTATTGAAAGTCATCCCAAAGGTATGGGGATTCTGGCTAAGATTTGGTCACAAGTAGCCTATACTTGTCATAAGTGGCGACTTAAGGATCGGATGGTCAGGCTTGGTGATGTGGTTAATAGCTTGTCACCATACCCCAATGGCATGGATCATTGTACACAATATCAATCACTGGTTTGTCAAGACATGATTATTTACAAGCCTCTATCATATTTCTGGACTATTTCCGAGTGAGGCATTAAGCAGCCAACAAAACATATAGTGCCATCTACTTTTGTTCCTGTCCAGTGCTGCATGTCACTCACTGGCTTCACACTACTTCACATGACATGACTACTAGTCCCACACTTTAATCTTGTAACAGCACATGCTTTCACGTACATCTTCATTGTTCTCAACTTTCAGAAAACCAGGTTAGAAATCTCACATTGTGCTTCTTATTAACATTTAACCTTAATTGCAACTGAAAACATACATGATCTGAATAATAATATACACATTCTGAGGTATAAACAACAAATGCAGTTACCCAGATCTAAATAGAATTTAGGGAGAAGAAACTAGCTGGATCTGGGTACTAATCCTAGTGTTTGTAGGTGTCCTTGTGTGTGCATGGTCATGTCAACATTATCATCAAGGGTGTGGATATCATCAAATTGTCACTTGGCTTTGGGCATGAGACTGTCACAATTTTTACTTGTCCCAAATTAAAGGCTGTGTCTCACATTTCAAAGCCACAAAATATTCAGACTGGATATTGCACTATGTGGCCAGTTGTGTAAAACCAAGATTTAGACTGCATGTGTCCAGTTGCTTTTTGAATCCCAAATCAGATTTTCCAACAAATCGCACTGCTTGATTATAAGTGAGAAATGCCATTCACATGCAAGTTTCTGATGATATAGGCTAACAGGAGATGGACAACTGAAATGTGTTATTCTGGTCTAAATATCAGTATGTAGATATTTAGGTAATGAATTTTAGTCCCTAGAGGAATTTTAACTTTTCCACTGACGACTGAAATGCTCAAACGTTCCTGTACTTCTCTGGCTCCTGGCTCCAGGCTTCAGGCTCCAGACTCACTGCTGTTTGTATGCTTTCACTCTGCTCTCTTTCAGTATGTATTGTATGTACATATGTGGCAAATATCGTATGCATGTTTTCTGTTTACTTCATTTGTACAAAGTTCTTCCTTGAAACAATACATCTGAAGCTTAAACCTTTCTCGCTGTACGAAATCTGAAAATACTGTGATCCCCTCCTAAACTGTCATCTCACAGTTCACAACCAGCAAAGCAAGCCAACCCAAATATACCAAGTCTCCATTATAATCAGTACTCTTTGGGCAGTATCATTGTACAGTTACCGGCAGCGCCAGCATACCAAGTCTCAGTTTCAGTTTCATTGTTTATATGTATACGATAAAACGTTTTGGTTGAAGATGTCTTTTCCTGAGCTCAAGGTATAGTGAAACAATACAGTGTGATGCGGTAAAAGGAATTCAATCAAAGTATTCAAGAGAAAAAACATGTGCAGCATGGACCAGCTGGAGTCATGACATGTTAAATTGAACAACTGAAATGTAGAACCTCAAAGTAGGTTTATAACTGACCCATTTTAAAACCTAGTTTTGGAAGATGAGCTAGTTACAAGGTTGACCCGAGGTTGTCAGGAACCTGATGCAGTGTAGGGTAACTTGGTCTTAGGTTTATAAAGGTATATCTAGGCTCTATCACTGTAAAATTACCAGTGGTCCAAACTTGATTATATACAGAATGGCCTCATATAGCTGGAATATTCCTGAGTTTGGCACCAAACAGGATACAGAACAAACGAGATATTTTAGTGTTGTGATTCAGATGGATGTTTCCTGGAAGGAAAGCTATGTCACAGACCTACTAAATACCCATCACACTGGGATCTGTTAGTTTCAGTGCATTTAAGACAGCTTATCTAGTTGCATGTTTTTTATTTATCTTCTGCTTGATCACTTGTATTTAAGCATTTTGTATAGATGTTGATTTATATTTTAAGCACCATTTTTGTATATGCATCTTGAAGCAACCATTGACATTATCTAAATCTTGAGCATGCACTTGTTCACAATTTTTTTATTTTTTTATTTATTGACATGATTAGGTCATAATTATTTTCTGTTGAATCAAGATGGATATGTTTATATTTCTAGCTGAACAGACCTGTCAGATTTATATGTTTAGTGTTAGAGAAGAAAAATGTTTAGTATTCAAAGTGACAATATTAAGAAAAACATTCCAAGAAAGGATCTGTGTGGGGATTCCAGAGCAGAATAGGTTCTGATGAGGGTGCAATTGGCTCTTCAGAGTTTCGTCCCTTGGTCACGCCAGAAACCTATGATTATGGGTTCACCCCAATAATAATAATAATTGTCCAACCCTACCTGAGCTTGTGGATTTCACCAAAGAGGTAAACGTCTGAGACCTGCATCGCTTCTGGTTTTCCACCCCCATCAAGATGACAGGCCACGATATCTGGAATACTGTTCACTCACTCACTTACTCACTCACTCACTCTGATGGTGTGGTCGTCACAGTGAGTGTGTCATCGTTTCCCAGTGGTGTTTGTTGTTGCTCATGCTATCAACCACTGCTTTGCTTGGCCCAACTTGTCTATGTACAGGTCGCTGGGATACGGTTGGATATTGCAGAGTGTGACATAAAACCACATTGAAAAAGATTTTTCTATTTTTCCATCACACTAAAATGCTGCTAGACAGGTCTGTACAGCAGAATGTCATTGTTTATTATAGATGTGTGCTGTAGCTCTGTGCTGTAGCTCTGTGCTGTAGTTGTTACATAGATGTCCAAGCCTTTCAAGCCTGTGCAAGACTTCACAAGGGCACACACCTTGCCCCATCAATACATGACTACCCAGTTCTAGATCTGACTTCATTAAGTTTTGACAAAATGTTTCTGTATTTGGAAAAGACTAAAAACTAATTTCAATAATGAAAAAAACTTCAAAGTTGATCGATGTGGGAAAGTAAAAAAACAATGTAAAAATACTTCATTTTTTCTTAATTTCATACCATCAACAATACTTTTATGACATTATTTGAATGACACTTTTTAAGAAAGTACTCCTATATTACATTTTTCTAAATTAAAAATCAAGTATAGAGAAAATGGTACATGATTTGAAAAGGCAAGTGGTGTAGTCTTATCAACACTGTATTCGAGTAGGATCTCCTTACACCATTGTTCATCCTTGTTATTGAGGACGGCAATGCTGGAAGGTCAGATACTGTGATACAGGGTCGTATATATCATACCCCCATGTGCTGTTTAGTCCTCATAACCCTAGTGTGCTTCCTGCACGTTACGAGGTATGTTTGTTATTCTAGTACGACAAGCTGACAAAGCTTGTCAGGGACTTTGATCCATTCCGCAATTTGTGGATCACCGTGTCCGACTGGCAACGATGGAATGACAGCTGGAACAACGACCCTCTCACTTCCATAAACGCTGAAGATGTGGAGAAAAATGTTAACGAGGCATACAAGACCATGCACAAATCGGTGAAGATCTTCCAAGATATTCCAGGTACATATATACTATATATGGCACAACTTTTTCAATATTTCTCCAGTGTCAATTTTTAGAAGACTTTGTTGCCATTATGACAAAGAAATCTCTACATTTACTTTTTTGTTTCAGGATGTATTTGTTCATATGTTTTTTAAATGGTATTAGATAGATTTAACATGATTTTTATAATATATCTGTATGTAGGGATTAGGAAAATAGTCTCTAGTCAATATGATGCATGAAGAAAACTAGTTATATATGTAGATTAAAAGAAAGTTTTAATTTCAGCTTCACACAAACCAGATTTATGCTTTTTAGTGGCTTTCAGATAGTATTATTGGTTTGAAATGAGATTTTGTTGTGTTTGTATGCCATATCATCACATTAAACAAATGATTTTACCACTTGGCTGCTCAGATGAGGACCCTGACAGCGACAGTGACAGCGACAGTGATGAGCCCAGTCGCCTGTCATCTGTCATATTCACTCTGTCGCCACATTGCAAGTTATACATTATCAGTGGCTGTGATGTCGTGATTCACGCCCATCTGCTGCCACAGGGCACGCGTGCGGCTGTCCAACAACACGGCAACAACAACACAACCCTTGTGACATGCACATCCCACAACAACACAGCCAACTCCCATAGGTTGTCCACCAACTGATCAACACAATCCCTGTAGGATTGCACATTGTCGGGTATTAGAGGATGATATCACAACATCGATTAACCGATTATATATCAATACTGTTAAGATAAATACCCTAAAACAGTCGCCACTTAAGATTCGTTTCCAATGCAGTTAGATTAACATAACGCTAAAAATAGCCATCCAATCAAATTGAAACAAAAGATAAGTCACAAGTACTCGATTCACCTTGTTGTGTGCCATCTTAACTACAACTGCGAATGTCTTGCAGCATAACGACTTTCCTTCCATTGTTTGAATACATATGAAAACATTTTCTTCAGCTAATAGATCATTTATAACAGTCTTCTGTTTCAAAAGAATATATCAACATCTTGCTCATATGATGATGCAATCATGAATATGCCAAACTCACATTCTTTGTTTGTTTCTTGTATAACGCCGCACTCAGCAATATTCCAGCTATATGATGGCGTTCTGTAAATAATCGGGTCTGGACCAAACAATCCAGTGATTGACATCATGAGCATTGATCCATGCAATTGGGATCGGTGACATGCATCAACCAAGTCAGCTAGCCTGACCGCCCGATCCCATTAGTCACCTCTTACGACAAGCATAGTCACCTTTTACGGCAAGCATGGGTTGCTGAAGACTTATTCAACCCCGGATCTTCACGGGTCTAAACTCACATTCACTCAGGGTATATTGTTTGTTGATCTCAAGGTCAGGGGAGAGAGAAAGTCTGTGCTAAGTTAGTGATGATAGATGGGAGATGGTGATGCCACTCCTGAAGCGAAGGTATGGTGGCGACTGAGTCCAGGGTATTTATCAACAGGAATGAGATGTAGTACATAATAGAATGAAGGATGATGATACCCATAGTCAGGATGTCTGCTGGTTCTTGTGTTCACTGAGCAGCCACAACTATCATGTATTGGAAGTGCATTAGCAATGTCAATCTTTCACCATTTTGAAGTTGGGCTCAAAGATTTGTTTTTGCAAATTGTGGATTGGCTTAAAACCTTCTACTTCAACAAAATTAGGGATTGGCTAGTGCTGGAAGATTGGCCTGTGACTTTGAAGTTACACTAGCTATTACGAGAAACATATACGACAAGTCTATTTGTCGGCAATATATCAAGTCAGTTAATTCTCATTTTACCAAGGGATGAATGACCCAGTTGTGTTAGGTGCAAACATTCACTGTGCAAATCTACATCCTGTAGCCTTGCCATAAACCTATGATTGTGGGGTCAAATCCTTGTTCCTCTGATTCCATTTCTCGATACCATATTTCAGCACCATTCCATTTGTCAGCTTGTGGGTTTCACAAAAGTGAGGTTGTGTGAATAAACATTTGTTATAATATTTTAAGTTTCTACAGTGAGCTCAAATTCCAACCTTCACTCAACAGGGGAGGTAACTCTCAATACATATCTAAATAAAAGTATGAAACTATATCTGGCACAGATCAGCAGACATCCTTTGCTCAGTTCTATTGAAACTAAAACTAAAATGACATTATTCATAGGAATTTCCATCAGTGCCAAACACATATTGAAAATGTACAGTTCATTTGTCCCATACACCTGTCCCCCATGGCATGAATATCTGGCTGGCTTGTTTGACTTGGGTGTCATCACTGGTGTTTAACATGAGCACATGATGCAGACAGCATAACTTGTAGAATCCCTGTGGCCTGTTGGAACTTTCACAGTTACCATGTTCTGTCGTGAGATCATTCATTGCCACAAGAAATCAGGCTAGGATGTAGTTAAATAGAATAAGTAGTAACCAGCTGCCGGAAATAAGTTGGTCCACAATCTCCTTTCAAATAGATTGTTATATTTCAGTGAGGCAACTCTTGAGCCTTGACAAATGTCAATTCTTCTCTCTTCCAACTCTTCTGCTAATTGACTCACTTTTTGTACTTAATAGTTCACAAAGTTTTTGCAACTATTTGTTTGGGTATGATTACCGGTAACTTAGATTTATGTATCTCAATAATATTTTTTTGTCATTTGGCATTTAGTTGTTAGGGCTGGCCAGTTTTGCAAGAACAGAATTAACTTAATGTCTGTTTATTGTGCAGGATGTTTATTATCTACACAGTTACATTCTGTTTACTTCTGTCAGAGAAGCTTCCAATCTCTTTATTAGATGTTTGCAGTGGCCAGTTATCGTGCATTGGATTTATGAATATTTAAAAAGTTAATGATTACAATTTTTTAATTGTATCCCTTTTTTTAACCAATCCATCAAGATAGAATGATCAAGCAAATAAAAATAATTATTTTTGTGTTTTATGGTGGCTGGTTAGCTCAGGTCGATCCATAAATAAAAATATTTGAAAAGTGTTGCCTGATATTCAGCCCCAAGTCAAGAGCAAATATCATTAAAAATTCACAATTTGGAACTAAACATTTCCCAGTTCATGTTACAAGGTATTACTATATATAACTAGTAACTCACTTTATGGCTTTGCACAAGTAACCAGTGTATTCACTTATAACAAGACCAATAAGTAGGAACAGGTATTAATGCTTAGTTTCATATTATTGCATTAATGCAATCTCAAAATACCTCTGAATTTAAGAAAATATGAACTTTTAAAAGCTCCCAAACAAAATAACAATTAAAATAGTAATAAATAAAGGATAAAATAACATTTTTTTCTTTATTTGCCTGCCAGGGCACTTAGTTAAGAGTCTTAGACAATCCTTGATTATACTGTGGGAGATAGTCAAGGTAGAATGCTTTGTTGAACAGGCCTCTAATGTAGCCTCTCACTCTATGATGTTGTCTTCCCTATCCCCACCCCTCCCTCCTCTCCACCCACCACCCTCCAACCTCCCCTGCCCGCTATACGCCACCCTGCTTACAGTGTGTGGGTGTATGTGTCATATCATGGTCATTTTGTGAACAGGTCATTGATACACTGGTCATTTTGGGAAGCAAGTGATGTACTTGCTCAATTACCAATGGTGCCACTTTGGCTGCACTGTGAAACAGGACATGGCAGACTTGCATCTGACAGGCATGTTACTCAGCTGAAGACATTTTTTGTCATGTAATTGTGTTTTGAGAACAAAGATGTTTTTCTTCTAGAACGCTCTTGCTCAGACCTTGACCTTGAGATTCTGTAATGATTCTGATGATCCAGTTGTTCCAGTGACCTTCACCTTGTATTTATGCTTACTAAGAAAGAAGAAACAGTTTCATGATAAATGGAGCATGTTCCACTGAATGAATGAACTTCTGAAGACAAAAATGACCATGATATGACTTTGCGTGTTTGCAAATCGTTGGTTGAAGATATGTAGAAATGTGATATGATTTGTTGTGATTTGCTTTCTTGTGATCATTTGTGAAACATTTTACTTTAAAATTTTAAACAGTGAAGAAGTTTCCCCATGTAAGGGGTGAGTGGTCGCCGACACAAAGTCCATGTTTTCACCTAGAGAATTAGTGAACTGAATGACCATGTGTAAACTAACTGTGATACGGAGGTAGACTGTAGACTGCATAGACATGTGCCCTGTTTAGCAGGGCTTACAGGAGACGGGGCTTTCGTTGATTCATTGATTGGAATGTGGTATGGAAAGAAGTCTTTAGTTTAGACGTGATGTAGTGTCTTTGAACTTTCATAGAAATTACCGATATGATGGTAATTTGCATTTTGAACTAATATTGTCTTGTCTAGCATGTGTTTATATGTGACTTGTTTGTGTACATATCTCAAGCTATCTCCAGCGACTGTTGCGCCCAGTCGTCTGGTGCTCCACAATTCGCTGTGCAGAGTTGCGCCCTGGGCACGCCAGAAACCTATGATTGTGGGTTCGAATCCCGGTTCGCCCCGATTATGTTTCTAGGTTTGTCAGCACCACACCCGTGCTCGTGGGTTTCACCAAAGTGGTAAACGTCTGAGACCTGCATCACTTCTTTCCCCCCACATTAAGCTGGCACGCCGTGATATAACTGGAATATTGTTCAAAGTAGCGTTAATCCACTCACTCACTCAAGGTATCTCCAGGGCTTGGGTGGCCCAGCAGGCAAAGGTGCACCACTATGTGCAGAGTAGCTTCTCATAGCTGCCAGGATCATGGGTTTGAAGCCAGAATCTTGCTGACTATGAATCTTGGTCTGTCAGCATCATATCTATGGTTGGGATTTCACCAAAGAAGGAAAAGGAAACGTGGGTCAATTTGACATGCTGTAATATACCTGAATTATTGTTCATCCAGGGCAGTGGGGTAGCCTAGCGGTTAAAGCGCTTGCTCATCAGCCCAAAGGCCCGGGTTCAATTCCACACATGGGTTCAATGTGTGAAGCCCATTTCTGGTGTCCCACATCGTGATATTGCTGGAATATTGCTATTTCAAAATTATATGTATTTTGTGTGTATCATCAAATAAAAGTAATATCCCTATCATTAGTTGACTAGTGTATTTACCACATTTCAAGAACATGTCCTACAATTCAGAAGATTGTCACTCTTCTCGCTCCCTTGAATGCTTTTCACAGGCTGACCAGTATGTTTGATACCATAAACAGCTAAATACCAGACATCACCATGTGTGTCTGTGTATGTGTGTACAATGTATGTGTGTGTGTGTTTGTGTGTTTACTGGGCTCTGTGTGTCTGCTTGTTCGTTGTTTCATTGTGCAATGTGTTGTCATGCAATCAGTGGTACCTTCATTCACAGTGTCCATGTTTCTTGTCAAACAAAACCTGTAAAGAATATTTGTCAAACTTTTTCAATTTTTAGGAATTCTTGTTTTCTAAAATTCGTCCTTACTAAAACACTTTGAATAACTGTTCTGTATATATTGGTGTCAGTTCCTTTGCAAAATCATTCATAAATATTATTAAGATTATAATAGTAAGGTATTGGCATCATAAAAGATTTAAAAATTTCTGGGTAAGAAATATGAAAATGTTTTTTTCATTTTAACTTTTATACATAAACTTAAAATTTTAATAAATTAATTTACCTTTATCTTTGGAAGGTAATCATTCTCTCATTTCTTTCTCTGAACTTCTTGAACCTATGTCATTCTCATCACACTGTCATCTCTGATTTCTCATCTCCAAACTGACAAAAGTTCCGTCAAGGAAACGGTCAGGTGTCCAGTACATGCTGGCCAAGGGTGAAGCATGTGCTCCACTAGAAGCTGGCGTACTGACCTGTGGCTATTTCTGCAGGTGTCCAGCAGGTGGCCGCTGAGATCAAGAGCAGCATCGAGGAGTTCCGGCCCTTCATTCCACTTATTCAAGGCCTGCGTAACCCTGGCATGAGGAACAGACATTGGGAGCAGGTACTTCCACAACACACAGTCTGACAGTTGTCTTCATCATGTTAACTCTTACATGTGTGAAGAGTTACTTCCCTTAGATGTGTCAGAATGTGATGTTCATGAGTTTGGATCCCGGATTTGCCCTGATTATGATTCTTGGTTTGTCAGTACCATACCTATGATGGGTTGAGCCCAAGTTGTATATATGTGTCTACCAATGGCATCACTTTGTCTTCTTTCCCACATTAAGCTGACCTACCATCTCAAAACTGAAGCTGACCTACCATCTGAAAACAGAGCAGCTTTAATCACAACTCACTGACACATATGGGCTGTCATACAGAGCTAACTTTACCAGACCATAGACATTTTGCTTGACGCAGGCTAGTGATGAAAGTTATAGATCTCAATATAATGACGTACATGAATATTTCACACTTATTGCTCTTTCTATACGAAACAGTTTATTGTTCAGGGATTTCTAATACATCGGAATATACCTCAATAATAAGACTCCATTTTATCTAATTAATCATGAAATGTGATTTTGTCTTAAGTGAGTATTCTGACTAACAATAGGTGTTCATTTTGAAACTATTCTCTTTATGAAAAGCTTTGGTTCTGTGTACATTCCTGCCATTACTATTCCAGTTGTCTACTGACCTTGGTTTCCCAATCCGACCCAAGGCCAACCTGACCTTCAAGAAATGCCTGGAAATGAACCTACAAGAACACATCCAGGTCATTGCCAAGGTCGCAGAGGTTGCCGGCAAGGAGTACTCCATTGAACAGGTCTGTCTTCTTTTCCCTAAGGGAGGATGGGGTAGCTTTGTGGTTAAAGCATTTACTTAAAATGAAAAGTGTCCGAACCCCACATTGACCAATGTCTAGCCCATTTCTGGTGTTCTCTTTTGTGATTTTGCTGGAATAATGCTGAAAGCTGTGTAAAATGCTATTCCACAGAGCGATCTTAGTGTTAAGCTCATCGTAAATCCCATACTTTTACATAGATTTACGACATCGGTTGCACAAAGAACGTTTTGTAGGGGAACGGGCCCTGTACCAAAACCTTTTACTCTAAAGAAATATTTTGTTTTGCCTCGGTAACAGTAACAAATTTGTTTATAAAGATAAGATCTTTATAGAATAAAGGTTTAAGTAATCAAACTACATCCATATTTTTAGTGTAGCTATTGCTGCTACATGAAAATTTACCAGTTCTTTTTTTCAGCTTCAGTTTTGTTGTTTGTTTTTAGCTTTGAGTATTTAGCTATACTGTTAGGCGATGTGATATATGTACTGACATGTTGCACACAGGCTCTGGACAAGATGGAGAAGGAATGGGACCCTGTCATGTTTGAGATCATTCAATACAAGGAGACTGGCACCTTCATCCTGAAGAGTTCCGAGGAAACCTCCCAGCTCCTTGACGACCACATCGTCATGACACAGAGCATGTCCTTCTCACCCTACAAGAAACCCTTCGAAGACCGCATCAACAACTGGGAGAACAAGCTCCGGACCACACAGGTACAGCGTAAACTGTGTTAACAGCATCTCATACATCAGGGTGCCGTTGTATGAAGCAATCTTAGCACTATGGTCTCTTAACAAAGACTTATGACAGTTGTATTGCCAAGGTTGTTTTGTACAACCTCACCCAGCTTTCCAGATTAACCTTTCATTTTGAGATTTTGTACTGATGGTAATAAATACAGGATCAATCAGCTGGAAACATGCATTGAGTGTTACATTTTCCATGTGCTTCAAAGAGTTCTATTTGGTTATGTAGTGAACACACCAGACACAAACATTTCTCTTGTTTATGTTTTCGAGATTTTTTTAAACACGAGAAAGAATTTTAATCTTAACTCTATGAGTTCCCTTAATTTCTTCATTCAGTATATTATCTTTCACATACAGTAAACTATGTTTATAACAAATACGCTTATGAAGAACTGCCGGATTTAACAAACTGTCTTTTTTGGTCCCGTCAATTTGCTGTATATATATATATCCTGTATACATGCTTATTACAAACTACGGTTATAACGAACTAGAATTAGAGCTCCCTTTGAGTTTGTTATATCCGTAGTTTATTGTACACATAGACAATATTCAAGGAATTTCAGTGAACTGACATACCCATAACTTCAATCTGTTACCTGTTATTATTGCTCAAGGAAAATTCCAGCTATCCTATTGATGGATTGCATTTTGGAACAACTCATACAAGACGTACGTACCTTTTGTTGTGTTTGACCTAATACTAACTGCCCATGGTCCTGGCTCCAGGATGTGCTGGACGAATGGCTCCAGTGCCAGCGGGCGTGGCTGTATCTGGAACCCATCTTCAGCTCCGAGGACATCAATCGGCAGCTGCCAGTAGAGAGTAAGCGCTACCAGACTATGGAGAGGATGTGGAGGAAGATCATGAAGAATGCCAAGGAGAACCCTCAGGTGAGAGGCCTCATAATGGAGGGTTTGCTTAATGATCGTTGTGTCTGCTCATCATGCACTTTGGGTAAATTCTCTGCTATCCTCATATGTATATGTATCCCTTTAAACATGGCATAAAGTATTGTACACTCATGCATTACCTTGTACTCATGTGACATATGACTGTGTTATTATTAGAAGAGGCCCAAAAACCTGCTCACTCACAACACTGTCTTATCTTCTGTCAACTATTTGATACATTTGCCATTACTGCCATTCTATGATGCTGTCTATTTAAGTCAAATGTCTTTTACTCTTTTATATCCAAACTTCAGACATTTTGCACTCAAACATTACCATTTTTTGTACTTGTGACTAATATCTGTTACCAGGTGATCTCCCTGTGCCCTGACAACCGTCTCCTTGACAACCTACGAGAGTCCAACAAACTGCTGGAGCAGGTGCAGAAGGGACTCAGCGAGTATCTGGAGACCAAGCGAAATGCCTTCCCACGATTCTACTTCTTGTCCGATGATGAGCTGTTGGAGATTCTGTCTCAAACCAAAGACCCGACTGCCGTACAGCCTCATCTTCGCAAGTGCTTTGAGAACATCGCCAAGGTAGGAGCTTATTGGAACTAAAAGTTTTATCACTGTCTTCTAACCCACTGTGTATGCTAACTCCAGCCTATGATGTCTATAGAAATAAATAATATTGCAAGAGATTCCTTGGCATTTGATAAGTGTACCCAGCAATGTGGTTTGCGAAACTCAAACGGAAAAGAAATTAGGTCACACCCACTAACTGACAGCTGTTTCTGATTGGCGCATAATAGAACAGGCGGGGCTTGTGTTGCATGTTTGCTCAGAATGATGTCACTGATTTCATATTGTTGATAACAGTTTCTTTGTGTTAATGATTAAATAAGCAGCCTGTTACTATTGCTGATGGATTTATCTATAAGAATTGACTTCAATATGTCAAAAATATTTAAGTCAATTCCTAAATAATCTAGCAGTTTATGATGACCCAAATTTCACACAAGGCACTAATTATGATATCTTCATAGCAGCTGGAAATGACCTTGAGAGAATGGAGTATTGTCTAGGGTTGGGACGAGTCCAAATACAACCTGGGTACCCTTGAGAGGGGCAGTCGGGTACCCTTGTGGTTAAAGCGTTCGCTCGTCACGCCGAAAACCCGAGTTCGATTCCCGACATGGGTACAATGTGTGAAGCCCATTTCTGGTGTCCCCCGCCGCGATATTGCTGGAATATTGCTAAAAGTGGTGTAAAACCATACTCACTCACTCACTCACTCAAGAGTTGAGTACAAAATGTCCGCTTGGGAATTGTTTTACTAGAGCCCTGGCAAACATTATTCAGATACATGTATAAAGTGATCTGTTCATGCATTCACTGAGGCTGACTGAAGCTTTATCTTTATTCAAACATACAAAAGTGCACTGTCAAACAAAAGCAAATGTCAGTTACTTGAAGTGTAACCAGGGAGTTATAGAGAATTTTTGTCACTAAGGGCTATGTGACATGACTAACCATGGGTCCAGGTATTCCTTTGGGTACCTTGATCCTCCTCAGTACCCACCCACCTCGAGTACCCGAGCTACCTGTCCAAGCCCTACTGTAGTCTCTGTTTAAGGATCGGTATTCTCATCACCAGCAATTGGAAGAACTTGGGTAAAAATCAAGGTGGTGCTTACTCTGGTGGAAGTCTTGGCTTAGCTGAAACCTTTTGTCAAATCCAACTTATATACTTCAGACATTGTCTTAGACTCTAGTGATGCAGATGATATATAAGCTATGATTCATGAGTTTAATGTCTTAATTATATTTCCAACAACAGCTGAAGTTTGAGGATGATCTGAAGATCACGCGGATGTACTCTGGTGAGGGAGAGGATGTGGGATTCCGAGAGAGCATGTATCCCACGGGAAATGTGGAGGACTGGATGTCGGAGATAGAGAGAGTGATGAAGGAGAGTCTCAGGCTCATCATCAAAGATTCATTACAAAACTACAAAGAGGTGAGCATATAGGAAAGTTGCCATATACCCCAATGAACCAAATAATGAATATGGTATTCTTTTATCACATACTTCAGTGTAAAAGACTGAGTTTTCACAAGTTGAGAAAAGTGACATTTTCATTGCAGTGAACATAACAATTGGTATTTCACTGCAGTGAACATAACACTTTGACAGAACTAGTGTCAAATAAGAGTTACCTCCCCTTAAATTGTCTCCCTTCATTGTAAGTGTCTAGTCCGTACACAAACTGTTGACATCCTTTTTACGTTAGTTCCACATTGACAAGGCAAAATAATGACAGATGGTCATTTATGGAGTTAATATCACTTCTTGCCATTTATTCTCTCGAAATTGTTTCATTATAAACTGTAAATTTCTCATTAAATTCGTCAATCAAGACTGTTCATTTTGCAAAGCGGCATTTTTGTTACTTGACCTGTGTGTGTTCTGTCGCTTCCAACAGCGGTCACCTAGTATGAAGAATTTTGTTTGTTTCTGTATATAATCATATCTAAATGTATGATAAAGAATTTTCATGACCCTTAATATTTTTTTATACTTTTGTTTATATTGTTTAAAACACAAGGGGTGGTGAACCGTCCCTATGTGTTTGGTAGGGAGAATTTACGTTTCAATGTTTTATATTTTTAATGAAATAATTTAATTTTCCGGTAGACAACTACACAAAAAGTATATAATAAATAGGATATTCCATATGTCTCATGAAATATCATGTTTCTCTCATTGAGTGTCAGGGGAGAAAATGTCTCCTTCAGATGAATTGGGTTTATACAAGACACTGTGACTGAGCTATCAGATTGCCAGATTTTATAAGTGGTATAGACTTGCTGGAGATTGGTGTATACAGGGCTGATACAGGTTATCCCTATATTACAGGTACCTCGAACAGACTGGGTTCTGCAGTGGCCAGGTCAGGTCGTCATCGCAGGCTGCCAGACATACTGGAGTTCGGAGGTGACAGACTCCCTTGAGAAGAACTACCTCAATGACCTGTACAAGACGCTGCTGCAGCAGCTGGATGACCTGAGGAACCTGGTGAGAACTGACCTCCCCAAGATCGGCAGGATGACCCTCTCTGCCCTCATTGTTGTGGAGGTCCATGCCCGAGATGTGGTGGCCAAGATGGTGGAGGCCAATGTCAGCAATGCCAATGACTTTGAATGGATCAGTCAGCTCAGGTAGGTACATGATAGGTCATGACAAAGTCTCTTGTTCGGCCTTGATTAAGCCAACTATTACTGTCTTTAGTGTAATATATAGATCAAGGGTTACAGTGTTCCAAATGTACACACAGTCAGTGCAAAAGATTTTGAGTCTACTTGTCCAAGGTGCAGAGTTACCTCCTTTGGGATGCAAGGAACCTGTGATCATGGGTTCAAAGCCCAGATTGCCTCAATTCTGTTTCTAGGTTTGTCAGCACCGTACCCATGCTCACTGGTTCACCAAAGTGGTAAATGACCAAATCATGGTATAACTGAAATACTGTTCACTCAACAACTAGTCCAGATTTGTCTTGACATTTACAGAATATTTTATTGTTCATATATGGACTATTAACTAAGCTTTTTAATAAGACGGAAAGTACTTTACGTGACTTGGGTTCAAACGAATGGCAAAGTCACTGACTGCACAAATGGCATACAGATGGTCATCATCCGTGTTGTATAAAATATATTTTATTTATATATTTCACAGACGCAGCACCGATAAATGTGACTGACAGTGTGATGTGTTAGAAGTAACACGTATGACTCTTTCAGATACTACTGGCTAGAGGATGAGAACCTGTACACTCGGGCTGTCAATGCTCAATTCCCCTATGGGTACGAGTACCTCGGGAACACCAGCCGCCTCGTCATCACACCCCTCACTGACAGGTACGTCCACACATCCCCTGAGGGGGGCCTGGGTTAGAATTGGTCCCCAGCTACCTATGCTTTTCATAGGTGGTCAGACTCAGCAACTTGGATGCTTGTCAGCATACCTTGACAGCACAAATTGTTGCTCACAATATCACTGTTTGGTCTGGACCAGACTCGATTATGTACAGGCCATCTTCATACAGCTGAAATATTCCTGTGTGCAGTGGTAAACAACGTCCTCACATAGCCTACTTTCACTTCTGTTATAACACACCTCTTCTGTTGTTGATTACTCTCACTTGATGCTTTCTGTAGGACACTGCACTGAAATCTTCCCATTTAGCTCTCACTTTGATCCTACCTACTATCTCTTGGAGATGGTCAGGGACTTCATTGCGTGTCCTTCCCCTATTCTAGAAAGCAGTGGTGTAGCCTAGTTCTTAGTGTTTGTGCTCAATACTGAAACAAAACAGGGTTCAAATCCCACATGAATATAATGTGTAAAACCCATCTGTGTCCCCTGGCTTTATATATTGCTAAAAGCTCACTCATTAAAAAAAAGAAGAGCAGGTTAAAATCACTGTGTGTCAGAATTAGTTATGCTAAGTATGGTACAAGACCTGTTTGCTTCACTGACTGATCTGCTGCAGATGCTACCTGACCCTGACCGGGGCTCTCCATCTCAAGTTTGGTGGTGCTCCTGCTGGCCCGGCCGGGACAGGCAAAACAGAGACAACCAAGGTAAGCAGCTGTACGCTCTTACATCAGTATAAGTCACCCCTTGGGGACTCTGGTGGGAATAGCTCTCCGGTATCACGTGCTTGTCTCCGTGGGACTCTGAGGCAGAATACGTCCCCGGTGACCCATGCTTGTCTATGCTGGGGGACTCTGGAAGAGAACAGCTCTCCAGTAACCCATGCTTGTCTCCGTGGGACTCTGAGGCAGAATACGTCCCCGGTGACCCATGCTTGTCTATGCTGGGGGACTCTGGAAGAGAACAGCTCTCCAGTAACCCATGCTTGTCTCCGTGGGACTCTGAGGCAGAATACGTCCCCGGTGACCCATGCTTGTCTATGCTGGGGGACTCTGGAAGAGAACAGCTCTCCAGTAACCCATGCTTGTCTCCGTGGGACTCTGAGGCAGAATACGTCTCTGGTGACCCATGCTTGTCTCCATTTGGGGACTCTGGAAGCGAACAGCCCTCCAGTAACCCATGCTTGTCTCCGTGGGACTCTGTGGCAGAACACGTCCCCGGTGACCCATGCTTGTCTCTGCTGAGGGACTCTGGAAGAGAACAGCTCTCCAGTAACCCTGGTATCTTTTCATCACAATGTGTGGTCTGGCTGACTGTAGGTAGTACTCACACATCAACGATGTGGATCATTGCTTATTCTCTCAAGAAATGGTGTGCCTGTCTTAGCCATGATTGTTTACAGGCTGGCATGATATTGCTGACTCTGTCAGCATCACTTGACACTTCAGTAATTATTGTGTTCGGTTGATATGAAATTGCTGCAAGCTATAAAGTTCTGCCCTGTCTCTGTGTGTAGGATCTGGCCAAGGCTATGGCTATCCAGTGTGTTGTCTTCAACTGCTCAGACCAGCTTGACTTCATGGCTATGGGCAAGTTCTTCAAGGGTCTGGCCAGGTATGTTGCACTGAATATGTATCTTGCATTGAATATGTTCTCGCTCCTTAACTGTTAAAGATGTGGTAAAAGTGTATGTGGACAGTCCTTTCCCTGAAATAATTGCTTATGATTAGGATCGGCAACCACTATGCAAGATTTTAATTTTCCACATTTTAAGGTAAATATTAAGTCCATTTTGACTAAACATTGTAATCAAACTGACTCCGTTGGTAAGGATAAGATATATGGATTAACAACTTCTTTATTGCAATTGTAATAAAGAAATTGTTCATCCATATATCTTATCCTTACTTAGTACTCTGACTTCTGGGGCGGTTGGGTAGCCCAGTGGTTAAAGCCTTTGCTCGTCACTCCAAAGACCCGGGTTCGATTCCTGACAATGTACAATGTGTGAAGCCCATTTCTGGTGTCCCCCGCCGTGATATTGCTGGAATATTGCTAAAAGCGGCATAAAACCAAACTCACTCACTCTGACTTCTAAATGCCTCTCAAAGAAGTAGCTCTGTTGGATATCTCCCCTCATTTCTGCTCCATGTTTGTCATACAGGATACCATTGATAAGACTGAACAGCAAAACTGGAGTGCTGACATCAGTTGGCAAATTGTGAAGTCTAGCTATAGTTTCAGTCCTGCATGGTACAAGTTATATCCACTCAGTAGGTAGAAATGCTGATACTGGAACGAGATTGCCTTTGATTGAGAATATTGCCATCATGTGCTCAAATTTTCAGCAGAGCGAGGTTATACTTTATCCACATTGAAATTCAACTGTCAGCTGTGCTTTTGTTTTCATTCCAACAAGCTGTGATTGCTTAGGATCTCAGTCCTGTATGAACTTGGCATGATGTGCCTGTTTGATGTTCCAGTGCTGGCGCCTGGGCTTGTTTTGATGAGTTTAACCGTATCGACATTGAGGTGTTGTCTGTGGTTGCTATGCAAATCACAACAATCCAGAAAGCCCAACAACAGCGGGTGAGAAGTCATCTGGCCCCTCACCCTGTCTTTCTTCCGTGTGTCACTATACTAACAACCAGCAGTTGCCTCCCTTTGCTGCTTGGCCATTCATCACATACTCACAGTTTACCATGTATATATTGTCGTGTATATATATTGTCTTTTTGCTGCGTGGTTTACACAACTCCCAACTGTTGTCAAGTGCTTGCTTTGTCTAACCGCTTTTTGCTCCATATTGTGCTGGTATATATTGTGCTGGTATATATTGTGCTGGATTTGTGCATCCCACTCAACCTGATTAGCATCTAACTCATTGGAATAATCAGCCCTGTTGTCATTTTGATCTGTAATGATTAACACTATACATGAGCCACCTTTGAAGAACATTATGTTCTAGGTACGTGTGTCTGAAATTGGACACAAGATGGTGGAGCAGATCCCCTTTAGAACATAAAGACTTTCATCAGAGGCATTCGAAGTGTTGCAAGGCATAGGCTTTGGACGAATACTGAAAGTTGTAGACTGCTAAATTTAAGTATGAAAACTAAGTGTTTGGGTACATGAAATGTTTTGTCCCCACCTGGAAGATTATGCTAAGTAAGATGCTATTTGGGTTGACTATGAAAGTATTTGTGTCGACTATTGTAACTCCAATGGACTTGCAGTGGTCTTAGCGCTAACATCTCTTTGTGCAAGTGGGCCCAGTTCCCATTACCCAGGCTTTCAGGCATAAACAGGCAAAATGTCTTACATTGTGAAAAACTGTGAACCAAGGCAAGACTTTTTTCATTGTTTTGTTAATCCCACTAGCTCAAAATAAAAGGAAGAGTGGAAAAGACGAAATCTGAAAAGCACTACGTTGTTTATATGGATGAATGCAAAAACACATGTTTACCACAATCACTTTTCACATACAGTTGGTTAAACTGTAAGACAATAGGTTACAAGATATCAGCTCGTCTCCATGATATCTCACACACACACACACACACACACACACTCACACACTCTCACACGCTCACACACACACACACACACGCTCTCTCACACTCACACGCTCTCTCTCACACACACTCACACTCTCTCTCACACACACTCACACTCTCACACACACACACACACACACACACACACACACACACACACACACACACACACACACATATGCACACTGTAACGGAAGTAATCTTGAATGCGGAATTAAATCCAATTGCACCTCACCATCAAACGACTAGACAATCTCAACCAAAACTGTACGTATGGCAACATATTCACATACTAAGCAAAAGAAAAAATGTCCCTTCAATTAATTTTTTTTTCTAACTTACTCTCCAGACTTTTTCACAAAAATATACATGCACCAAACAATGTATGTACTCCTGCTTAAGTGTTAAACTGCAGATTTTAGGGTTCTGATGGGTACCTATGCATTAGAGCATGTGATTTATATGGACTCAACTCCCACATCAAGGACTCAATTAACCTTAACAGGGGGAGATAACTCACTTCTCATGGTCACTTCTCTAATATTTGTGCTACAGACATGCTAGAGAAATGATACACTGCCTGAAAGCATTTTGACTTAGATGATGCCAAAAAAACAAAACAAGTTATCAACTGTGGCATATTACCGTTGAAATTGGGTTCTAAAGACAAGGTGGGGTATTTTAACACAGGTTCTTGAGTCCTTATTTTCTAGCCATCAGGGCCCTATGTGACAGCTTGCTTGTGCCTGGTAGTCTGTGTCCTCTCCCTAATCCCATGTGCATCTCTCTTGTCTCCCTCTCACTCAGCTCGGGGGCTTGGGCCTGCTTTGATGAGTTTAACCGTATCGATATAGAAGTGTTGTCAGTGGTAGCTATGCAGATTATGACAATCACTCGGGCACAGCTCCAGAAGGTAATGTATATCCGGTAATCATACCTTAAATATTACTGCATCAGACATCACAGCATCGCTGTGACGATTTGCAATTTTTCAAATGTCATTATTGTCGTAATGATTTTGGTACTGAACTTTGGTATCCTACCCTAAGTTTTGTTTCCAATCTTGTGAACTACCCACTTTAAGCACCTTTGTCTCCCTAATGTAACCCTCTGTTTGTCACCCATCTCTTGTATATCTTCATTAACATTCTTTGTATTCATATGTGCACTTAAGTTTTCAATCGGTAACATTCATGGCTGGGTTTGAATTTTTTAATGTATAAATTGTGTTGTCTCTTTTGTATTATTTATTACAGACAAGCCTAATGTAGACTTTGCATGGACAAAATGAAAATGCTCTGAATGGCTGAAATTAAGTTTTTTACTTAAAATCTATTAGATCTTTCAGTGTTTGGTAATACTTTCCAGTTTGTTTTTGGAAATGATTCTCAAATCAACCCTTACTTTTCTTAATTTTGCTTTTGCATATTGACCAAGAAAATCTATACCAAAGAGAATTGTCTTGCTTCTGGTTTTATTTGGTTAATTTCATGTAAATTTATTACAAGGTTTTATAAATTTTTTGTCCTGAGAATATTTTTGACCAAATGAATGTAACAGTGTGAGGATGTAGTGGAAGCTGTGTTTGTTGTGTCGTGTGCTAACCCTCTGTGTCCTCATCTCCCAGTTGGACAGGTTCATCTTTGAAGGTGTGGAGCTGGCGCTGAAGGCGTCCTGCGCTGTCTTCATCACCATGAACCCTGGCTACGCAGGCAGGACGGAGCTGCCGGACAACCTCAAGGTAGACAACACTCAGGACTGTCACATAAAGACAGTCAGAACAGTCATCATTGTCAGCCTTACATAGTGCATCATGGCAGTAAACACTTTACCTTATAATGGATAGTGTTCTGATGGGATAAGCCAATCCATTAAAATTGGTGTCACAATTACAATAAATATGCAAATGAGGTCACTTAGCTGGAACTACTTTTGATAAGTTACATACATCAATGTAATTTCTGCTTGCTCTGTAGACTATTTCCTAATATTCCAAATAAATTCAGGAAGGGTGTTTCTGTAAACAAGCATAACTACCTTCATTTAACACTATATCACAGGTGGAGCAGTTTACTCTAATATTGTACTCAAGGTCATAGGACTGCTATGTGATCAAGTGGTAGAGGGTCTGACCAGAGAGTAGAAGGTCAGGGATTTGATCCCCAGCCATGTCATACAAGAAGACATTATAAGATCTTACTTGTTACCCTGCCTGGCGATAGCCATTTAGAGGCTAAAACAAGGACTGGTCGGCTCGAAGTCAGTATACTGTGTCTGAGGAAGGGATTTATGTTAAAACAGCGGCATGGTATCTCAGTGGGCTAGCACTATAAAATCTGCATTAGTCCGGACTAGTACAAGCACTCGCACACACACGTGCATGCACATCGCTATATGAGCACAATAATCTTGAAGGCAACGTTAATCATTTCACCTCACCTCAAGGTCATAGAACAGTTCTAACACAGTCATACACAGTCATAACAATCTCACATACTCAGACATATGATTATAAATGCAGATTATGGTACGTTTTAAGATGAACATTAATTCAGTGGGGGTGATTCAGGGAATATGTGTGTCAGAGATATTGGAATAAATCTATAAAATTGGCAAAAACATTTCTGCCGGAATATTGATGCAGCTATTTAATTCTATGTGTAGCAGAAATTCTGCGGTTCAGTAGTAACCTATTGAATAACTCCTATCCAGGCGCTGTTCCGTCCAGTAGCCATGATGGTGCCTGACTACGCCCTCATCGCCGAGATCTCTCTCTTCTCCTTTGGGTTCTCAGATGCCAGGAACCTCTCCAAAAAGATTGTCACCACATTTAAACTGTCTTCCGAGCAGCTCAGCTCTCAGGTACATGTGACTCACACAGCTGATAAGCAGCTCTGCCGTGTTATCGTCCGGGTGGCCAAGTCATCTCAGCCACAGAATTTGCTGTGAAGAGTTATGTCCCTTAAGGGACCGGTCATTTATTACAGTCTTTTTTATTATACACTAATGTATTGAAAATAATTACAGTCCCTTATTGTTTGTCACATTTTAGGATGACCCTCCTCGTAGCCTTGTACATTTTTTTTATGACCCTCTAAATAGACAAAAAGCAAAACTTAAAGCTATGTATATTTTATTATAAAGGTCCTTTTTTCATGACCCTCCCTAATATGTGTATTATTTCTTATGACACTCCCTAAAGACTGCCATATTTTGGGTGACCCTCCCTTGATTCCCTCTGACCCATCCCTGCTTTGGTAAATGACCGGTCCCAAAATTTGACAGAATTCCATTTATTGTTGATTAAGATCCCCCTGATGATTCTAGGTTTGCCAGTACAGTACCTGTGTGTGTGGATTGTACCAAAGTGGTAAATGTTGCTGATCAACATTGCTTGAGGCTCTCTTTTCAAATTAACTGACAAAGTGGTGTTTCATTCAACTTACGCAATCACTGTGTCAAGTGAGAATCTAGTCTTTGGTCGTTATCTAATATTTACGTCTTCATTTTTGTATTCCTAGGATCACTATGATTTTGGTATGCGTGCTGTGAAGAGTGTCATCTCAGCGGCAGGAAACCTGAAGCGACAACACCCAGACATGGACGAGGTGCGTGATGGTAGCCTATACAACAGTGAACATTCATTTTAGAGTTGGTCTTCAGCAGCCCATTCTGAATAAGAGGAAACTACCTGTACCAATATTGTGACGACCATTGCCTGATAACTAGTTGTTATCAGCCAAAGTGTTGAATTTCCTAGTGACATGCAATGTATGTTTCAGGAATTGATTGCTTTACGTGCCATCAGGGACGTCAATGTACCCAAGTTCCTGATAGACGATCTCAAACTCTTCTCCGGTATCGTGTCTGATCTTTTCCCGAACATCAAGTAAGTCTCAATTTATAGAAAGTTAGCGTCTGGACATTTTTAATCCCGAGCTTTAATATTTTGTTACCAATACGATGTAGACTAAGAGTTTAAGGAAAGTTATTATATTTCAATTATGAAAAACAACATATTGAAATGTTTATGTTTTAATAAAAAATATGTGTGTATTTCTTTCCCCATTGTTTCCTAAAGAAACGTAATCCCTATCACACTGTATGAGTAAGTACAAGATGGTGTCTCATGACGAGCATGGTGAATACATCACGAGGGCCAGTACTAGTTCACATCACACATGTTCACATGTCACACTTTGAATGAATGAGTAAGTACGAGATGGTGTCTCGTGAATACATCACGAGGGCCAGTATTAGTTCACTGTCACACGTGTTCACATGTCACACTTTGAATGAATGAGTAAGTACGAGATGGTGTCTGGTGAATACATCACAAGGGCCAGTATTAGTTCACTGTCACACATGTTCACGTCACATTTTGAATGTAGGAGTATGTACGATATGGTGTCTGGTGAATACATCACGAGGGCCAGTATTAGTTCACATCACACATGTTCACATGTCACATTTTGAATGTAGGAGTAAGTACGAGATGGTGTCTGGTGAATACATCACGAGGGCCAGTATTAGTTCACATCACACGTGTTCACATGTCACACTTTGAATGTAGGAGTAAGTACGAGATGGTGTCTCGTGAATACATCACGAGGGCCAGTATTAGTTCACTGTCACACGTGTTCACATGTCACACTTTGAATGTAGGAGTAAGTACGAGATGGTGTCTGGTGAATACATCACAAGGGCCAGTATTAGTTCACATCACACGTGTTCACATGTCACACTTTGAATGTAGGAGTAAGTACGAGATGGGGTACTGAATACATCACGAGGGCCAGTATTAGTTCACCATCACACTTGTTCACATGTCACACTTTGAATGTAGGAGTAAGTACGAGATGGTACTGAATACATCACGTGGGCCAGTACTAGTTCACTGTCACACGTGGTCACAAATGTTTGGTAGATTACAACAGAAAACAAGGAAAGTCGGCAGGGAGTCTGTGATGTTATGTAAAAGAGTAGAGGCATGCTGACTCAGTGGAATAAGGGCAGGCAACTTGCATTGCAGAGTTGTGTCCCCTACTCAGACATGGATGACAGGCAGATCATTGTTTGAACTGAAATTTGGACCCAATTATCTCTCTGTCTGTCAGCAGCATACCCTTGCTTGTGGGTTACCACCAAATTGACAAACTTCGATCATCTGTGTAGCTTTGGACTCACTTCCCATATTAAGCTGACATGCTGAAACACGGTTCAGAGCAGACAATGTATGGCTGAAACCAAGCTGATGCAATATTAAATTTGTACTCACTGAATATTTATACAGGAAGGTATTACTAGTTTGATACTGTTCACAAATTTGTAAAAGGGACCAAATAAATCGGATGGTCAGACTTGGTGTTGCATGTCATCGTGCCCAGACGACGTGGATTGTTGCTCATTGTATCGATCACTGGATTGTCTGGACTCTATAACTCACAGGCTACTGTCATATAGCTGGGATATTGCTGAGTGCTGCATTAAACAACAAACAAACACAAATTTGTTATGTCTTGGGCACACTATGGGAATTGCATATAGTCATTGTACTGCATGGGCCATTAGCTTGTGTGTGTGGATTGCACTGATTGAAGTGCCAGTACATACATGTCTTCTTAACAAGGCAACTGATATAATTCTGTTTGTATTGTCCGTGTTGATAGATCTTAACGCTGTAAAGTAAACATTTACTATGTGAGACACAGTTCAATCCATATGAACTGGCATCTCTATAATCCAGCACCTGTTTATCCAGAATATTGGCAATATTGGTATCTTACTCTGTAAAGTGACATATCAATAGGTCAGCACCTGTATAATCCAGCATTTTTATGTTGTTCCTGAAGAATGTAATATTGCTATCTTTCTCTGTAATGTAGCATCTCAATAATCAAGCACCTGTATAATCCAGCATATAATGTTGGTCCTTAAGAAGACAATATTGCTAATTTACTCTTTAAAGTGGAATCTCAATAATCCAACACGTGTATAATCCAGCATCTATTGATGGTCCCAGGAGAATGCTATGATTTATCTTACTCTGTAAATTGACATCTCTATAACGGAGCACTGTATTTAATATTGGTCCCCGGAGAATGCAGTAACTTTCTAGAATTTGCAATTTATTACAATCCATGAAATGCTTCTCTGTATGATATAAAGTGTTAATGACATGTGGCTGACTGAGTGACTCTGCTATGCAGGGATGAGTCTATAGACTATGGAGCCCTTGATACATCACTCAGGAAGAGCTGCAACAAACTCTCCATCAAGGATGTCGACGGTTAGTGCCTATACTTCATTCTATTATATATAGGCTTGTGTTACTGATGCTCTAAACCAATCCAATCAGCATGGTATCATGAACCGATAAATATGCAAATGAGGTCTCCTAGCCGGAACTACTTTCAAGCTCCATACATCAGTGTGATATCCTCTTTCGCAATAACCATCTGCATTTGTGACACAAATGTTCCCAATATACTTACACAGGGCTTTCCCAATGTGTCACCAAAACATGGAGACAAGTCATTTGGCACTATACAACTTGGGCAGTTCACTCAAGAATTGTATGCATACACAATTTCTAGAGCTACTTCATTGAGTGAAAATATGTCTAAACATCGATTATTTTAAGAATGATGTATATGATAAAGAGATTATTTCCCTCATGTGTTTCTGTACCATAAATGTCTATATTAGGAATGAGAAATATGTATTATTCTTCCCAAAGGATTACAAACTACAACTTTTATTTCTTTAGGATATTTAGGATAGGGAAACACACTTTGCTGATAATCTCTATGTCTGTCATCAATTTTCCAGTTTTCTGAATGTGAGGGTGCCCAATACTTTTTCAGCTCACCTAATATGATACTTTGTACGGCAACTAAAGACACCTTAACTAATAACATCATACTTTGAGTGGATATATCAATACTGAATTTCCCAATCAATGACACCTCTATCATGTCCTGCAGGATTCATCAAGAAGTGTATTCAGCTGTACGAGACCACGGTGGTGCGACACGGTCTCATGTTGGTGGGGCCCACAGCATCTGGCAAGACAAAGGTACTCTCAGACCTACAGCATGCCTGAACAACATGTCATAACAAGGAAGACATGTTCAGTTAGCTTGTCACGTTGTCCACGAAGGTTGTAAGATTTCGTTTTAGATAGAACCATCTTGAGTTTTCACATATAATAACTGAGAGGCATGTAATACATAGTCTGGCCTTACGATTCTAGACTGCCTCCGTTGTCTAGTTGAAGAGCATCTGTCGGAAAGCAGTTCGATCCCCGTCCACGTCATATCAAAAGATGTTAAAAGATGGTACTTCTTGTTACTCTGCCTGGTGATCGGCACTAAGGGGCTAAAACAAGGGCTGGTTGGCTCGGAGTCAGTTTAGTGTCTGAGTGGGGTGTTCATGTTAAACTGCAACATGGTATCTCAGTGGGCTAGCACTATAAAATCAGCATTAGATTGGACTAGTACAAGCACACACACCCACGCACATGTGTGCGCATGCATGTTGCTATATAAGTGCAGTACACATGAACGTGACATTAGACCCCATGTTCACCTTCTAAATTATTCACATATTGTTGAACAAAGTGTAGGCAATCATATCAGTTAACTTAAATATTCTATATAGACAAGAATAATGGAAATCTTGAAATTGTACAGTGTAATAACATGAATAGATTTTAATTATACCAAATTATTTTCAAGTGATCACAATACGATATGGTGCATCTGTGTATGTTCCAGTGCTATGAAACACTACAGAAGGCTATGACGTCACTGAAAGGGGAGATGTCACCTGCAGGGGTGCCGTTTGAACATGTCCACACGTTTATCCTCAACCCCAAGTCCATCACTATGGGGCAGCTGTATGGAGAGTTCGACATCCTGACTCATGAATGGTAGGTGTATTAGATGTTAACTAGCAGTCACACTGTTGCTGAGAGTGACTGACACGTGAAGGATTGGTTCATGGCCCAGTATTTTGATCTGAGGAATGTCTTTGGCCATCATGCTTTGTGATCCAATGAACCATGCTCGTCCAGCAACATGCTTCCAGACAATTATTGTTCCCTGTTTGTTAGGCATTTCTTAGAAGTTGACAGATGATTAGATACACAATTAACATACAACTTTTAATATGCTATTATTGTGGCGATATGACAAAGATGTCTTCATTTGTTAACTGTGTTTAATCACTGTAATTATAGCTGTGTACACGAGTACTGAAGCCATGTGCTTGCAGCCAGCAGCATACTCGTGAGAGTTATCTCCCCTCCTGTCTTTGGCTGAGGCCCATTTAAGGATGGGGCCCACTTAGGGTTTAGCTAATACCACCATTATAGCGACATTTCAGTATGAATCCTTATACTGTTGTCAAACTGTCAGTACTGTCGTCTGCCTCAGGCTGTATTAATGAATATGTGCCGATCAGGTTAATTCTGATTCAGACAATTTCACAAGTTTGTACCATCTTGATACCGTTTTTCCCAGACCTTTGAGTTCAACCACTAGTCCGAATCTGAGCCACTAGTCAAACCTGAGTCATTAATAAAGACCTACGATGACATGAGACCACCCAAATCTTTTAAGCATTGGAGTATAGTTTACGACCATCCCATTCGGAGATCACTGGTATCCAGAAGAATGATCTCTCCACTTGGATCCAGCACCAGTAGGACCCTAACGAGTTGACAGAGCATCTCAACGTTTAAAAGGAATAAACAAGACTCTATGTTGAAGTTCACTGTTTGTGTTTTCCAGGACTGATGGCATCCTGTCCTCACTCATCCGAAACAGTGCATCAGCAACTGATACAGACCTGCGCTGGTTTCTGTTTGACGGCCCCGTGGACGCAGTGTGGATCGAAAACATGAACACCGTGCTGGACGACAACAAGAAGTTGTGTCTCAGCAGTGGAGAGATCATCAAACTCTCCGATGTACGTCACATGTTGGTGCAGATCTCAGTCCACCTCGGTCCACAAAACATGCTCATTACACAGTCTAGATAGATATTATTGTGATGATGATTCATCATGTTAGTAATGATATCAATAGGTTTTGAAATTGATGAAATCTGTACATTTGGCTTAAAATATATTTGAGTATGACTTCCAGCAATAGGAAATTAAGAATATTTAATATTGGTGTAGAAATGTCCATTGTCCCTGTATAGTGGTATATTTCTCACTCAAATTTTTAGAAACCACCAAATCTGGAAAATATGACATTGCATTGTATTTCAGATGTTTGAACTGATCTTAAAATGTTTGAAGCATTCTAGTAGATAATGTTAGTGTCATGACCTGTTGTTTTGTCCAGGGCATGACGATGATGTTCGAGGTGGCTGACCTGGCTGTCGCCTCCCCTGCTACCGTCAGTCGTTGCGGCATGGTGTACCTTGAACCCAGCTACATCGGCCTCAACCCCTTCGTGGAGTGCTGGCTGAAGAAACTTCCGGACAACATCTACGACCACAAGGACCATCTGCAGCAGCTCTTTGATGCGTTCATGGAGGTAGGAACATGACAGATCAGTTACTGTGTTTCAGAACGCTTGCATTGAAGAACTTCATCGTAGAAAACTTTGGACCCATAGAACTCTTGAGTCTACATATGACAGTGTTATTTGACACTGGAGTGGAACATTCCCCTCCTTCAGCATGTTATTTCAGCAACTCATACCAATCAAAAAATGTCCCAAGATTAAATCAGTATCAGGTGGTCAAAATGTCTGACCTAGAAGATTCTATGTCATTGTGCCACAACACTATGAAGTATTGCTCATGCTATCAAACGCTAGTTTTCATGTCCCAGATGTTCGTTCGTTCGTTCGTTCGTTCGTTCGTTCGTTCATTTGTTCGTTCATTGTTTCTTTTTTCTTTCTTTCTTACAATTCTAAGGAAGAAGAGTGTGTAATGATATTTCTGTGATGTTTCAGCCTGCCCTGAAGTTCGTGAGAAACAATGTGAAGGAAATTGTTCCGACTGTCGATGGCAACCTGGTCTTCAGTCTCCTGAAGCTCATCGAGTGCTTCTTTACTCCCTTCATTCCTAAAGAGGTAAGCCACTGTTCCTGTACACCACGCCTGGTTGTGGGGGGTTACTTGGAGTGTCCTAGGTAGCACCGGACTTGTCCATCTGCTCTTCACTTTATTCCCGATGTGAAGTTAACTCTGCCACCCATCCTTTGACCTAAAATAATTGACAATTTCAAAAACAGAATCATTATATTGGCAAAGAGTTTATCTGAAATAATATTCATTGTAAAATAGAAAGGCAGTTTTTGTCCACTGATTTGAAAGTTCAAGGCAAAAAAGGACAAGTCTTTGAATGGCATTTAGAAGTGAAACACATAAGGAAGAGAATTTATGGATGTCAACTTCTTTATTATGAGGAGTCCGATGTTTCGGAGTATATGCTTACTGATAAAGGAGTAAGTATATTCACTGATACGTTGTGATCCTCATACTATAGAAGTTGACATCCATAAAATCTCTTCCTTAAAGAGGACAAGTTAGGTTTTACAGATGTTTTTCAACATTTGTTGCACAGAGTGAAAAACCTAAAGCACAAAAGACTAACATGTATAGATCTACCTGAATCACACACTTACATGCATGTGTGTATAGATGTGGTCTGTGTAGCTGTTGTGTGTATAGATGATGTCATAGTTGATAAATGGAAATACCATGTAAATTGTTTTCTCTAAAACACAATGTAATTTACTAAGTGTGTATTTAAGGTTTGAGGACATTCATATGTTAAGTCGTATTAATAACAGAACATCTTGTATGATTTTGTCATTTTCCTATAACTGGTATTTCTTGATATCAAAAGTGCAGTTGTCAAATCCCAAATTCACCAGATTAGCATCGTTACTTGGTTTGGCAGCACCATAATCGTGCTTGTGTGTTACACTTGTGTTGCTTTGACTGTTTCTCACACATTAAGCTGGCATGCTGTGCTAAGACTGAGCTTTTCAAAATGGCTTTAGACCTAATTGCCTTTCTGGCTCCCTCACTCTAAAGAGGTATTCACATGAGGAACTACTGTCAGGTAGTAGTGAATGGGACATTTAGAAAGTATTATTCAGAATGATTTTTCTGTGAGTGCCTACTGCATGTTCCTGTGTAGTTATCAGTCTGTGATTATGATTAATGTTATAAGCTTGACCAGCTTGACCAGCTTGACCAGCTTGACCCATCCCTCTCCCCTCCTCTCCCCTCCCCTCCCCCGTATCTCCTCACACTTGTTTCTTGTGAGATGACCCCCATATACGTGTAATCCCCTTTTGTTTCTTGAGAGACAACCCCCATATCCCTGTATCCCCCTTTGCTTGTTGAGACAGCCCCCATATCCATGTATCCCCCTTGTTTCTTGAGAGACAACCCCCGTATACCTGTATCCCCCCTTGCTTGTTGAGACAGCCCCCATATCCCTGTATCCCCCCTTGCTTGTTGAGACAGCCCCCATATCCCTGTATCCCCCTTGCTTGTTGAGACAGCCCCCATATACCTGTATCCCCCCTTGCTTGTTGAGGCAGCCCCCATATCCATGTATCCCCCTTGTTTCTTGAGAGACAACCCCCATATACCTGTATCCCCCCTTGCTTGTTGAGACAGCCCCCATATCCATGTATCCCCCTTGTTTCTTGAGAGACAACCCCCGTATACCTGTATCCCCCCTTGCTTGTTGAGACAGCCCCCATATCCATGTATCCCCCTTGTTTCTTGAGAGACAACCCCCCGTATCCCTGTATCCCCCCCTTGCTTGTTGAGACAGCCCCCATATCCCTGTATCCCCCCTTGCTTGTTGAGGCAGCCCCCCATATCCCTGTATCCTCTCTTGCTTGTTAACCCCCCATCACGTTGATTGCTTTTGTCAACAGGCAAGCCAGAGACGAGTGGTAAGAGACTGATGTCAAGTCTTGTCTCACTGACTTGATCCTACCCTCTCTTAGTCCACCAGTTCTTGTACCCAATCTTTGCTTGCAATGCTTCATCTATTATATGTTCAGATTTGAATCAGGGTAATTGTTTTATTATGTATGTTACAAAGCTTGTCAGCTGGCATTATTAATCTGTGTTGAATTTTTGAATAATCAGAAATATAACGGAGACTGCTATGTAAAGAACAGTTACCAGATTAAGGGGAAAAGTTGACAAAGATTATCTACTTGCTTGTAAGAATGATGTGAACAAGGGTGATGGGTTTGATGAATATAGTGTTAAAGGTTTGCTACATATTGTGTTTCAAGAGATCGGCGAGTAAAATAGACATTTTCAACATATCCGAATTATTGTGTTGTTCTCAAAGACCATGTCTTGAGGAACATCTCTGCATAGATAGATACAAGCAGCAGCCTTGCTTCCTAACCATACCTGTAGTGCCAGTACCTGGCTCATTTAGTACTGGAAAATACCAACTTGCAGAATTTGGTAAAATTGGGTGAAACCTTTTACAAGAAATAAAAAATACTTCAAACAACATTCAATAAATGGCTATATACTATTATTCTCAACTTTATAATATATAATGTATTGTGAAAATAAGAGAGCAGAGAAACTCAAGTATATAGCTTCAAAACATATTGTTCAGTTACATTTTCATTTTTTCCAATTCCTGACCAACCATATTTTTGCTGCAGACACGTAAAAGAGAAATCTCTATTCACGATCCATTCAATCTAACTGTGTATTACCTGGTTGGTCAGCTTGGTGCATGTGAACCCAGAAGTGTAACTGTTTCCCCTGCTACTGATTGTAGTTGCATCTTCCAGTACTGTCTGTAATCAAGTGGATGTGTCATGTCTTCTTTCTCCATCCACTCATTCCTTCCCTTCTTTCTATCCTTGCTACTCTTATCACCTCTAGACTGCAATGTCCTCTGACGAGGAGGATGTAATCTATGTGAGTACCAACAGTTGATGCACAGGAACACATGCCCTGTGTTATTTCATGTTATATCATGTTGCACCATGTTATTCCATGTTATTCCATGTTATTCCATGTTATTTCCAAGTTTTAGTTTAGAGTGCATTACCTGCTTGCTATACACTGTGAATGACTTATTCCATTTTTTTCTTTTCATTATTTGAGCTATAATCCAAAAATTATTTTGTTTCAGAAATTTTATTTGTCAGTTCACATTTTTTATGCAAATTTACTAGCTTTTACTTCTATTCTTAGTTTACTATTTAGTCCTGTTTAGTTTGTTTACTTCATGCTTGAGTAAAAGTCAGAATTTGAAAAATAATGAGTGCAGTTTAAGTTTGTGTTACTGTTTACTGTTCATGTTGATGTCCTTACCACAGGGTTGTATTATGTAGTTGGAGTGCATTCCTTCTCCATGTTGTGTAAGGAAGGATGGAGATCAGTGCTGGTGTAATGCATGTATTATGTAGTTGGAGTGCATTCCCACTCCATGTTGTGTAAGGAAGGATGGAGATCAGTGCTGGTATAATGCATGTATTATGTAGTTGGAGTGCATTCCTTCTCCATGTTGTGTAAGGAAGGATGGAGATCAGTGCTGGTGTAATGCATGTTGCATCCAGTCAGGACAAAATGGCTACAACATAATCTGTTGTTCATCAGTCTTTTTATCCCAAAAGTCACCAGGCATTTGTCCTTTTATTCTCAGTACACAGAGAGCTAATTAAAACTTGTCATGACAGCTTAGATGAGGCAGGGAATTATCACTCCTCTGTGGACATCCAGACCATCTTGACATGCATCAATTGGCATACAGAAGTTAGATCAAAATCCAACTTTTAGTACTACCTCATGATGATACAAAATATTGCTTTGACATTTCGTGACATCATCTTGTGTGGACATATCATTTCTTACTTAATTTGTAATATAAAAATGAAGCGTTGATTTTAGATTTGTTATTGTAGCAGTTTTACATATTGTGATTGTGAACCTGTATGTATTTTTCCTGTGATACCCACTGCATAGTATATCTGTTTGCTGTATGTTATTGGTAGTGTCAGACTCAGCGTTATTAAACAGAGTTGTATGTTATAGATTTATGTTCAAGTTGTCATCAGTGTTACCTGTGTTTAGGGAGAGAATCCCATCTCCGATGAGGCCCTGGCACGGGTGAAGGAGCTGATTGAACCCTGGTTCATCTTCGCCCTCGTGTGGAGCATTGGCGGCACTGGGGACAACGACAGCCACAAGAAGTTCTCCGACTGGCTCAGAAACAAAATGAAAAAGGAGAATGCAAGTGTTTTAAACATATTTTTTGCATTCTGACTGTTAGCTGCAAGTTCACTCGATAAATCTAAGTTGGCACTCATCGTGAAGTTTTTGTCCAAAGTTATAATGTAATTATACTAGTTTTGTCAGCTAAATAATTTTAGAGATATAGCATTCTACTGATCTTGAATCTGAGAGTAGTTAGTTCTACCTCAACTAAGCTTTTGTTGCAGCCTTAATTATGAGTCAATAAGACAGTCTAAGATATTTAGAGATTAACTTACTTAATAGTAAGTGTATCACTGGATGATTGTGCTGTATGGACATGACTTCCCATTTATTTCAAAGAAGCAGATATACATTTTTTTATTTTATAAGGATGACATTTTGTATTGGGTAGTAAATAGTATGTAGTCCCTGTAGAGTTATGGTAAATTAGTACTGTGATGTGTTGGCCTCACATGTATGTCTTGGTATTGTGTTGTCTGTAGATGACAATGCCATTCCCTGAAGAGGGTCTAGTGTATGACTACTCCCTGGACGATGCAGGCCTCAGCAGCACCAGCAGCGAGGACCTGGATGAAGAGGACAACGCTGTGGAGAAGAAGGTAAGAGTGGCATCTCTTACAACCAACAACCAGACGTTGGGCCATTAGGACATGTTTATGAGTTTATCAACCTTTTATAGCACATATCATCAAATTTGAAAAAAATATCTTTAAGACATTATGGATGACATTGAGAAAATGTCCTTGGAATCATTATATGAATGTTAATAAGAAGATGATCAGATTGATTCTGTTGTATTTTCAGGTCCAGTGGCTCAACTGGATGCATGGCCTGCCATCGTTTTCAATCAACCCCGAGACTCGCTACTCCGACATCATCGTGCCCACCATTGACACCATCCGCAACTCTTACATCATTGAGTTGCTGCTCCTGAACAAGAAAACAGTAAGTCATTTTTTCACCTGTTGTGTAACTCATGTGACATATTCATGACATCAGATTCCATGTTCTTGAAACCATGAGTTCCCAAGTTACCATAATTGTGACTTCTGGCTCCACGTTCTTCAAACCATGAGCTCCTAAGTTACCACAATTGTGACATCTGGCTCCACGTTCTTGAAACCATGAGTTCCCAGGTTACCATAATTGTGACATCTGGCTCCTTGTTCTTGAAACCATGAGTTCCCAGGTTACAATAATTGTGGCATCTGGCTCCCTTTTCTTGAAACCATGAGTTCCCAGGTTACCATAATTGTGGCATCTGGCTCCCTTTTCTTGAAACCATGAGTTCCCAGGTTACCATAATTGTGGCATCTGGCTGCCTTTTCTTGAAACCATGAGTTCCCAGGTTACCATAATTGTGACATCTGGCTCCGTGTTCTTGAAACCATGATTTCCAAGGTTACCATATATTCCTGTCATCTGACTATCAGCTCCACTCGTAAAGCTCCTGTGTTATGTTTCTGTTGCAGGTGTTAAGCATAGGCCCTACTGGTACTGGCAAGACCCTGACTATTGCAGACAAGCTGACACGCAACCTGCCAAAGGAATACATCCCAGAGTTCATTGTCTTCTCTGCCAAAACAAGCGCCAACCAGACCCAGGATCTCATTGATGGCAAACTAGACAAGAGGTGAGTGGATAATGTCCATGTCAGTGAAAGATGATGTGTGTATAAATTATTCTTTGCTGAATGTTGGAGACTGTGTTAGAAGGGATTTTAGCAGTTATCAGGCACAGAAAAATCTGAATCTGCATGGCCCTATTTCACTGTGTCAGAACCTCCAGGTCAGAAAATACAGTATGTCACTGTTGAGGTCAAACGCTTCTGGAATAATAAGGTAGTGACAGGAGCGTATTTATTCATGTACATAAATCAAAATGTCTGGACCTTGTTGGGACCCAGATTTGAATAGGTACCCAGAAGTCTGTTGGGTAGATTAGACACATGTCATTGTAGGACATGACTCATGGTATCAATTCAAAACACCATTGCCAAAGAATAGTCAGTCTTGATTCGAAGTAAATGATTGTTTTTGCCCAATGCAATCAAGTCTGGACCGGACTATCCAGTATCATGGTATCAGTAACAACAAACAAACATGAATGTATGGACATGTCCATCTGTTGTCAGACGTAAAGGTGTGTTTGGTCCTCCGCTGGGCAAGTACTTCATCTTCTTTGTGGATGACCTGAACATGCCAGCCCTGGAGGTGTACGGAGCTCAGCCGCCCATCGAGCTGCTACGGCAGTGGACGGACTTCAGGGGATGGTATGACAGAAAAGCCATTGGTAAGCTGCCACTCTCACTGGGTAGAGATATTCCCAGTCATTTGGGGGAATTGTTGATTGTGTTTTGGTGAGGAACAAATAACTGACTGCCTATTATTTCTTGGTCCGTATAATATTACTTGGACTATTAAACTTTAGGTGTTTATGTCATCTGTTTAGTACTGACATTACGTTCATAGACATCCAATGCCTAATGGTATATACATGTATAACAGTATTGACATTCTGGGGAGATTGACAGCCTTTGTTCAGTATGCAACTTGAACCACTTGGCCAAAGTGTGAATCTAGTACAGTTTCTCTTCCCTCCAGTAAGCACAGGTAATAGTAGTCCAAATTACACTGCAATCTTATGACAAATGTTGCCTAATGATATATTTTGATACCAGCTGATAAGTCTTGGCCAGTGATATTGGTTAATCGTCTTTCTGGCCAGTTGCAGGTTGTGGTTATGTTATGAGCTAGGGATTTTGTTTTACAGTTATGACCATGAGGGATGGTACAGGATGAAGTTATCATGACTGTATCTGTTACAGGTGACTTCCGTAACCTTGTCGATGTGAGCTTTGTGTGTGCCATGGGTCCGCCTGGTGGTGGGCGTAACCCGGTGACAGCTCGCTTCCTGCGCCATTTCAACTTCCTGGCCTTCACAGAGATGGAGGATCTCAGCAAGAAGAAGATCTTTGGCACCATCCTCAACTCCTGGACTAGTGAGTACATCATGTCATCTGTTTACCATCGCAAGGATGGAAATGGGGACTTGTTAAAAATACTGATCCTACTGGCATGTTTAGCACCTTATTCAAACACATTTATCATTCTGTTCCTAATCAAAATAGTAGAGTTATACTTAGATGGCAAGGGTGTCTATGTTGGTATATCTTACTGTACAGAGTTATGCCCCTTGCCTGTGTCAGGACCCATTGGTTGGAGGTTTGAATCCCAGATTCTCCAAGATAATTGTAACGACCTGCCACATCAACCAGTGATTATGCTAGTACAAAGAGTCGTCATTCCTCCAGGTCAGAATTCCAGCCTAGCACAGCACAACCAGCAGCTGGTGGAGACCTGCATCGACATGTACAACACCATCACCACCCAGCTGCTGCCCACGCCAGCCAAGAGTCACTACACATTCAATCTCCGGGATCTCTCCAAGGTTTTCCAAGGAATACTCATGATGGATCCCACAAAAGTCCAGGTACTTTGCTAATCTTTGCTGCAGTGGCATTGAGCCAAGTCAGGGGAGACAATTCTCACTGCCTTTAAATGAGTATATGCAAAAACTCAAACACAAATTAGAAACGAATTTGGCACCTTGATTACTAAAACAAATGATAAATAATAGATGTTGCTCAAAAAAGCTCCCTGTTTGTTTCAGAGCATGAATTGTATATGTCTGTACTACCCAAGCTAGATAGCTCTTATGGAATACCGTCCACAAATTGACTTTTCCACTGTCCATGAAATTGTGAATAGTAGGAGGTATCGTTGCTGACCAAACTTCTCCTTTGTTCACAGAGCGTGAGTGAGATGCTGCGTCTGTACTACCATGAGAGTTGCCGAGTGTTCCAGGACCGTCTGGTCAATGACCAGGACCGACAGTGGTTCGAGGATCTGCTGAAAGAGAAGATGGAGACAGATTTCAACATGAAATATGATGAGGTCATCATCAGGAAGCCCGTGTTGTTTGGGGACTTCATGCAGGCCAGCTCTGCTGATAGACCTTACATTGAGATAGAGGACCATGATAAGGTGAGGCACCAGGACAGATAAGGAACTTCATTTTGAGCCTGAGTGCCATTGTACAAAGCGATCTTAGCGCTAAGGTGATCGTACTCCCATACCTTAACATAGACTTACAACAGTCGTAGCGCTAAGATTGTTTTGTACAACGGCACCCTGAACATTAAGTAAGGATAAGATATATAACTTCTTTATTACAATTTGTTTTGTTCTAACACAGTTATCAAGCAACTTTGCCCTATAAGTCAAGACATTTTCAGTCAATATGTGTTGCTTGATATGGGTGTTAGAACCTACACCGAAACATCGCTCCTCATTGTAATACAGAAGTTGTTCATCCATATATGTTATCCTTACTTAGTACTCCAACTTCTAAATGCCTCTCAAAGATGTTGAGCAGTATTGCAGGTTAGAATGAAAGATTTACGGAGTATTTATCAGGAAAGAAGGAATGATGTACACCTGTTAGAAGCCTGAGCCCTTCGACTATGCTTTAACATACACTTATGACAGTCGTAGACATGCACTCGCTTTGTGGCCTTGGGCCCTTTATGTTGAAATTGGAATTTCTCAAAATTGTTCTGACAGTTGTTTTAACAGAATTCACAAGTGTGACAATAGAAATGGTTTTATTGATTACAATTGATGTTGATGTTGCAGATGGTGAAGGTTGTTGAAGAGTACCTGGAGGACTACAACCAGATCAACACTGCCCAGATGAAACTGGTTCTCTTTTTGGATGCCATCAAACATGTCTGTCGCATCAGTCGTATCATCCGACAGCCTCTCGGCAACGCTCTCCTACTGGGAATGGGTGGCAGTGGGCGTCAGTCACTCACCAGACTTGCTGCTCACATGTACGTCTGTTCATCTCTGTTGACTCGGCCATAGTTTGCCTAGTCGACTACGGCTCTGCAATTAGCTGTGTTGTGTCCCTTGAATGTACCAGAAATCTATGATCATGGGTTTGACTCCAGATTAGCCCTGATTATATTTCTTGTCAGGACTGTACTTTTGCTTGTGGATTTGATGCAGTGGAAAACATCATCACTGCATCCAGCATCAAGCTGACAAACCTGGGTATAATTGGTGAACTGTTCAAATCAGCATTAAAACTATCGCTGTTGATGTCCCACAAGAATTCAGAGAAAGGTCTTGGGGACTTCCATGGTGATTGTGGGGTTGAGTAGGTTTCCAGTGTCACATGCTTGTTATAAACACCTCCGCAACTTACCAACTTGACTTAGAGCGTGTCATCATGCCATGAAAGAGTGGATTGTTTCTTATGCTTTCAATCTCTGCGTTATCTGGTCCACATTTCATTACATACCGCTGTGATAAGACTAATATTGCAGACTGCAGCTTTCACTTGTTTCAACCTCATAGGATAGTCTGCCATACATAACTTTGACTTTAATTTCAGGGCTGAATTTGACTGTTTTCAAGTTGAGCTGGCTAAAAACTATGGGATCCCAGAATGGCGTGAGGACTTGCGTAGTGTGATGATGAAGGCAGGACTGGAGAACAAGCCTATGGTGTTCCTCTTCAGTGATACTCAGGTGAACGTTTGTCCAAAGTTACTTGAAGAATTGAACCATACCTTGGAACTTGTGAGCTGTTTGGCTTATTTGAAGCACAAACGAAACCTGGGGATATGATCTTAACACTGGCAACAATTTATAAAAGCCCTGTTATTGGTCCCCAGGAACCTTTGCTGGTTGTAAGAGTGTGGTTGGGCTCAGCGACATGGTTGATCGTATGTCATCATATAAGGGTGACTTAGGTGAACTAGTGCCTTTTGATAGTTTGGAATTTCAAAAAAAAAAAAAATTAATATTTTTTTAGTTTCCATAGCAACAACTTTGACATAGACTGAAAATGGCAGTAGTACCGAACATGTCATCTTGGCAAGGGATATGAGTATTTCATGCTTGTTAATAATAGCAATCACTAGATTGTCTGGTCCAGACTCCATTGTTTACAGACTGCCATCATATAGCTTGAATACTGCTTAGTGCTGCATTAAACAAGAAGCAAACAAATATCTAACCAAGAGGCTTACAGTGTCAGTGTCCTGCCAAATGTTTTTAATTTTTGGTAGGTTTTAATCTAAATTTTGACATAAGTTTGAGTTTACATTATTCCTGCATGTTGTGTAGATCAAGAATGAGACTTTCCTGGAGGACCTGAACAACATCCTCAATGCTGGAGATGTTCCCAACATCTACGGCTTCGATGAGCAGGACCAGATCTACACAGCCATGAAGCCCATCGTCCAGGACCTCGGTCTCCAGCCCACCAAGACCAACCTGTTCTCGTGCTACACCAAGCGTATCCGTAGCAACCTACACACCGTCATCACCATGAGGTAGAGAAACTGTAGTCTTGGGTGCAGCCAGTCAGTGTGACAGACAGGGTCAAATATAGCAATTGATAGGATATCGGGGCCTCTCAATCAACCATATGATTGACCATTCAGAAACTCCACAGTTACACAGAGCCTGATAATTTGTCTGTCACTTCAAACCTGAACTTTCAAACCTGAACTTTCAAACCTGGGATATAGGAATGGGTGCTGTCCGTCTGTCCTTCTGTCATTTTTCGTTTCCGGAGCAGAACTAAAAAACATCAGAGATATCTTAACCAAACTTGGCACATAGATAGGTCTAGTAGTGAACTGGTGCCTTTTGATAGTTTGGGATTTTTGTCACAATTTTTTTTTCAAGTTTCCATGACAACGACTTTGACTTAGACTGAAAATTGTGGTTGTGCTCAAAGATCTTATTCAGGCTGTTTTTTATATATTTTCTATATAATTGTCAGTATTTTAGTGAGACTACACAGAATTCTAGAATTTGCCACCACAAATGGTTTGATCTCCGTGAAGACCAAGTTTATAATTGGTCTTCAGTAACCCATGCTTGTCATAAGAGGCGACTAACAGGTGGGGTGATCAGGCTGACTTGGTTGATGCATGTTATCATATCCAATTTGTGTAGATCGATGCTTGTGAACCACTGTCATTTAGCTGGAACATTGCTGAGTGCTGGTTTGATGTATGACGATGCTGGGTTGTTATGGGACCCGCCTTGATGCTGTTCCTTTGTTTTCAGCCCCATTGGCGAGATATTCCGTGCACGTCTTCGTCAGTTCCCCGCTCTCGTCAACTGCTGCACCATCGACTGGTTCAGTGAGTGGCCTGAGGATGCTCTGCGATCTGTTGCTATGCGCTTCCTCACCGACATCCCGGACCTCGACACCACAGATGAGGTCATGGATGGTCTGGTAAGTTCTCCAGTTTGCAACCAGCAGAGTTTATTGGTCTGTCATAGGTTATGCATGGTTTTCCTCACATTAATGTTTTCAACACTCAGGCTGTGCTAGCTATGTCATATCAGATCAAAGTACGTATTTCATCTGGATTTAAAATCTCTTCTTGTTATCAAAAGGATGTTTGAGAGGCATTTCTTAGAAGTTGATGGATGACAAAGTAGACACAAGTTATGGATAACAGAAGTTATTATCTGTAAATTGAGTCCCCCTTGACCGTCGCCAACATACCTTAGACTACTCAGTAAAAGGCATTTACTCATCACATGTTGACTTGTCTCTGACCTACAGACTTGCCAGAACTTTAGTGGTTCATGGTTCTACTTCTCCCTGAAACTGGGCCCTGTTCAATAAAGCAATATTAGCGCTGAGATGATCCCATACTTTATCATAGGCTTCCAACAGTCGTAGTGCTTAGGTGATCGTAATGCCCTTACTTTATCATAGGCTTCCAACACTGCTAAGGTGATCGTAACTCCCATACTTTAACATAGGCTTACAACAGTCATAGCGGTGAGATCGCTTTGTGGAAAGGGGCCCTGAAAGGTACCCTGGGTCCAACAGTAAATTCCTTTTGAGGTATTGCTTAAAACAGTGTTAACTCCCAGGGACCATCAAACTGAGAGCCATAGAAGTTAAGTTGAGTAGAAGATGAAGATGGGTGTTGCAGCTTCCCTGTGCAGGTAACCTATTCTCCCCTCTGTGTGTAGGTGGTCATGTGTCAGGAGATCCACCAGTCTGTACACGTCAACTCCCAGCGCTTCCTGGCCGAGTTGTCGAGACACAACTACGTAACTCCCACCAGCTACCTGGAGCTGCTCGGCATCTTCTCCAAGCTCATCGGGCTCAAGAAGATGGAGCTGAACACCGCCAGGAGACGTCTCAAGACAGGTCTGGATAAGGTGGGTCGAGTACCTCATGAAACAGGCATTAACATAATGTGGGATAAGATCTGGATGTAGTTTTGTTACAGGTGCTCATGCAATCGACCACTGGTTAGACTCAAATATTTCCAGGCTGATGAGGTGTAGCTGGAATATTACTGATGCATAAAACAACACTAACACTAAACACTAACTCCTACACATGATTCCTATCTATCTGTGTTACAGCTGCTGACAACTGCAGATGAAGTTGCAAAGCTGCAGGAGGAGTTGGCGACAATGAGGCCGCTGCTGGAGGAGGCTGTCCAGGAATCTGTCAACACCATGGAGAAGATTTCTGTTGACACGGTCAGTACTGCTAGTTGTCTTCAGCGTTGGGATGTTTGTTATTATATCCCAGTAAATTTGGGTTAATATTAGAAAGAAATGTCTTCTTCAGATGAAGACATGCATATACTACTCAAATGAAGTTAAAGAACATGACTTTCATGAAATTAGTTAATCTGTCATCACATGACAGATTAACTATAGTTATATGAAAGAAATAAGTGTTCTTTAATGTTTTTGAGTAGTATATTTGTATATGTGATATGTTACTGAACTGCAAAAGTTAATCCATAATTGTCTGATGGTGAGATTTGAGGAGAAATGATGTTTAAATGATGTCATTGAAGATTGCCTTGATGGGTATATACTCTTAGCCAATGTATCCGGGGTAGAATAGGTCTTCAGCAACCCATGCTTGCCGTAACAGGCGACTATGCTTGTGACTAATAGGATCGGGTGGTCAGGCTCGCTGACTTGGTTGATGCATGTCATCAATCCCAATTGCGTAGATTGATGCTCATGATATCAATCACTGGATTGTCTCGATTGTGACTCGATTATTTACAGACTGCCGTCATATAACTGGAATATTGCTGAGTACGGCGTTAAACAACAAACAAACAAACTTAGCCGATGTGACACTGTTTTGAATAGTCAGATGTTGTGTACTGTGTAATAAGAAGCTCAGTTCTAATCAATGCATTGTCTCATTGCCTCAATCCCTCTATATACTTTTGTTCTACTGTACAGAAATATGCGGAGGAGACGAAGGCCGTGGTGCAGAAGGAGGAGGCAGAGGCGGCCATCAAGGCCAGGGAGACACTGGCCATTGCTGACGATGCTCAGCGGGATCTCAATGAAGCTCTGCCAGCCCTGGTGAGTAGCAACAAGCCTAGCATTTCCCAGCTTGTCGGGCATACATGGCTCATGTGTCTAAGGCAATTTGGCATGCAGAGTTGCATCCCTGAGGTGTGTCAGGATGTAATGACCATGGGTTTGAATCCCAAATTTCATCTTGATTATGATCCTTGATGTGTCTGTACCCTACCCATGCTTGTATGTTTGACAAATGTGGTAACTGTATGCGACCTTCATTTCTTTCCTCTCACATTCAGCTTTCATGCTTTAATTCAAAGCAGTTAAAACCAATTCTCTCACTTGCTGTCAACTTGCCAGTCAGGCTATATTTCCAGTGACTCAAAACTTGAAGTCATGATAGTGTAAGATAATCTTATATGACTCACGTTTGAGTTCTGTAATATTTGGGAGAAAATATGTCCACATTTTTTTTATTTCCGAGATTTCATTATGGTTTCTTAGAGGAGCTACAGCTGAAAGGATCAATTCTCTGAGCTGTTTGAGTTTAACATCATGACCACAAAGCGTGGTTCGTGTGCTCCAGGGACCCGACCCACAAACCGTGTGTAGCGTTACAGCATTCATAACCCCACGATAAACTGTAGAGATAGGATAGGTTGTAACTCTACAAACACTTTGTGAACATCCGGGGTAGAATACATCTTCAGCTTTTCTTGACGTAAGAAGCGACTAATGGGATCTGGTGGTCAGGCTTGCTGACTTGGTTGATGCATGTCATCGTATCCCAATTGTGTAGATTGATGCTCACTTTGTCAATCACTGGATTGTCTGGTCCCAACTTGATTATTTACAGAACGTCGTCATATAGCTGGGATATTGCTGAGTGCGGCAATAACCAACAAACAAACTTTGTGGATCTGGACCTAGGTCTTATAAAACATTATCTGGGACAATGCTTTCTGAAACTTTAGGACAAGGGCTAACATTTGCCCCCTGAGAGGGTTATAGATTCCAGTATTTCAGAGTGCTGAGTTTGTTGTAGGATGCTGCCCTGGCCAGTCTGAAATCCCTGAACAAGAACGACGTGGTGGAGGTACGAGCCCTGCAGCGACCACCGGATGGTGTCAGGATGGTTATAGAGGCTGTGTGTATCATGAAGTCTGTCAAACCAAAGAAAGTGGCAGGAGACAAGGTATGTTGACACTTCTAGGTTAGTTAATCAACAACACTGAATGACCCCCTTTAGACATCTGAGAATTATTTGGTCATTCATCAAGGCATCCATGTGACCATATGAATATGATGAAGAAAGAAAAGTAGCTGTTCTTAGATGGAAGAGCCCTTTTGCTGCCTGTACGTATAAAATATATCTGGAATGATCGTTGTAGCCTCAGAAGTAAACTTTGTTCTTGCTGTGGTCACTTTCTGCTCTGTGAGATTTCATTGCTCGATAAATGCTGGCTGCTGCAGTGTCCAAAATAACTGCCTGCCTGCCTGCCCATGGCTGGTAACTTTTCTGTCAGTCTGCATGAAATTCTCCTCCACCTGCCCGTCTGTCTGGCAGACAATTTTAAGATGACTTACATATTCAGTTTAACTATAATTCCTTGGTGATTATCAAGTGATTGTTTGCAACTGAATCTAGACATGATTTGTCTCTTATCTTTTGCAATTTTTTAATATATATATGTCTTAACGCAGGCAGGTAGCTTTGAAGATGGGCAGGCAACACTTATGGGTCACCTGTCCGACTGTCTTGTTGGGTTTTAAAATTATTTCAAACGCTGGGTTGGGGACAATGAATCAGTATGTTTGTCAGGTGAGCTATTGGTGTGGACTTGATAGACAGAGCTGGGGCTAGGGTATATGGGTAGGAATGTGATATTCATAAAACATCCCAATGTTGTGTGTGTGCAGCCTGGCTCCAAGATTGACGACTACTGGGAGCCCGGCAAGGCCATGCTCCAGGACCCCACCCGTTTCCTGGAGAGTCTCTTCAAGTATGACAAGGACAACATACCAGACGATGCCATCAAGAAGATTCAGCCCTATATTGATGATGATGCCTTCCAGCCGGCAGCCATTCAGAAGGTACTTGTGATCTGTTCAGTAACTCCATCACTTGTCTTTGTATTTTCCTCCCACTTTCTGAGGTGTCAATGGGCAAGATGTATTCACTATATTTACCTTCCACTTTCTGACGTGTCAGTGGACAAGATGTTATCACTATATTCTCCCCCTACTTTCTGAGGTGTCTATGGAGAAGATGTATTCACTATATTCTCCCCCTACTTTCTGAGGTGTCTAATGACAAGATGTATCCACTATATTTACCTTCCACTTTCTGAGGTGTCAATGGGCAAAATGTATTCACTATATTCTCCAACCCCTTTCTGAGGTGTCAATAGGCAAGATGTATTCACTATAGTCTCCCCCTACTTTCTGAGGTGACAATGGGCAAGATGTATTCACTGTATTCTCCTCCCACTTTCCAAGGTGTCCAAAGCCTGTACCTCTATCTGTCAATGGACAAGAGCCATGCACAAGTACCACTTCGTGGCTAGAGGCGTAGCCCCCAAGAGGGAGAAGCTGCGTATAGCCCAGGCTGACCTGGCCGAGACTCAACGCATCCTGGACTCAGCCAAGGCCAAGCTGCAGGAGGTGGAGGAGGGCATTGCCACGCTGCAGGCCAAGTACGAGGACTGTGTCCGCAAGAAGGACGAGCTGGAACACAAGTGTTCTGAGTGTGAAGCTAGACTCGTCAGAGCTGACAAGGTATTGTGGATTCTCTATGCTATCATGATGTTTGTTAGTGATGATTAAAGTGAACATGTAGCTGCAACAGTTTGTCTATCCCAGTCAACTTCAGGTTAATCGACCCTTGAAAATCCAGGGTAGAATAGGTCCTCAGCAAACCATGCTTGCCGTAAAAGACGACTATGCTTGTATTAAGAGGCGACTAACGGGATCAGGTGATCAGGCTCGCCGACCTGGTTGACTCATGTCATCGTATCCCAATTGCGTGGATCGATGCTCATGATGTCAATCACTGGATAATCTGGTCCAGACTCGATTATTTACAGACCGCCGTCATATAGCTGGAATATTGCTGAGTGCGGCGTTAAACAACAAACATCATCATCTTCAGGTTAATCATCTTTCTTCCATCCATTCAGAGGCAGAGTAGGTCCACAGCATCTGATGCTTGTCATGAGGTAGATTTAGATATTGATTGTTAAATATTAATGTTTGACCTTGCTGATTGCATGTTGTTCTCTCTAGCCTGCATGCCCCCAGGTCTGTAATATACAGGTTACTGTGTTCTAGCGGGACTATTGCTGTAGTGGAAAATAACAATCAATCACTCACTTGTTCTGATATATTCCAATATGCCTGTTAGATCATCAGCGGATTGAAGATGGAACAAAGATTGAAGTCCCACATGTCAACATATTCAGAGAACCTTTTGAAAAACAGAAAAAAATATGTTGGGTTTATTTCCCCACACTGGCCAAAACCTATAGTTGATGTAGTCATGTTTCTCTCCTGAAGCTGATCGGTGGTCTGGCGGATGAGAAGGAGAGATGGAAGGAGTCCGTGGACAGGCTGGAGATGGTCATCGACAACATCACCGGGGATGTCCTCGTCTCCTCAGGATACATCGCTTACCTCGGACCCTTCACGGTAAATAGCTCTTATTGTCCCCATTGGTTCTGCTTGCTGCAAAGGAGTTAGAACTTCTAACTTAGAAGATACCTTGTCTTAAACATATACTGATGCAAAGAAATAAGGGAACAGATAAAAGAAAGCACCATGTGCTTGTTGTGGGTTGTGTTTGGGAACATAGCATTCACAGAAGGACGGTTGACCTTCTAACGTCCCACAGTAAGCTGAGAAGAAAAAATCTGTTGCACACTGATCGGTTGACAGGGGTAATAATGTTGTGCTTTGAGCATGTTGTGGGGTGGATTTGGCGCGTTATAAAAGTGCATGTTGTCCTGTGCACAGCGCACAGATCACAAGTCGGGTGAAGATAAGCAACATCGGCCATTGATAGTACTTGGATGAGTGACCGCGTTTCGGCAGCTTGGCTCCTGAGAGTTTCCAGGGCTTTGGTCCTGCCCCACACTGACACACATGTAACACAGGTGGTGTCTCCTTGGGAAAGTGACTTTGTTCGTAATGTGCCTCTGTTTACCCAGCAGTGAATGGGTACCCGGTAGGATGAGATGGTAATGTGGTTGTTAACCTAGCACCTAACAGGCAGCTTGGGTTATATACTCCCTAGGAGGCTGGGAATGGTTCTTGAGTGCACACTGATCCAGTGACTGGGTAGGGGTAATAATAGGGATTTGAGTACTGAGCATGGTGTGAAAATATGCACAATATAAATGGAATATTATTATTACATTATTAATATTATTTATATTGCGAAAAGCAGCATAAAACCCAACTCACTCACTCACTCACTCGTGACAAGTAACAGCAACATGTGTTTTATTCAGGGGGAGTACCGGCAGCAGATGCAGGTTGAGTGGGTGGAGAAGCTGGACAAGCTGAAAGTCCCGAGGACGGAGGACCCAACACTCGTGTCCACCATGAGTGACGCGGTCAAGGTCCGAAGCTGGCAGATCTGTGGTCTCCCCAAGGACAGTCTCTCAGTGGAGAACGGTGTCATCGTCCAGTTCTCGCGTCGTTGGTCTCTCTTCATTGATCCTCAGGGTCAGGCTAACAAGTGGATTAAAAACATGGTGCGTTGTTGTTTGAGATATATTAGATAATCCCATTATCATCCTTACACACAACGTTTTAACGATATTCATTTCCAGACATTTTAAGTTTAATCAACAATCTATATCAGTATTAATAAAAAAAACTGTTTTAGATTGTGATTGTTTTAGTCTCTGACTTTTTTAATCTACCCTTTTGCATCATTTCAGAAGATTAGGTTCAGAGTTGTCTTAATTTTTTCGCGGGCCAAGTTTGATTGAAAATATTTGGATTATTAACTTTGCTTAATTTGCAGACGTCTGTTGATCATGTGTTGCTAAGTATGGGATACTGTGTCTGTTTCAGGAGAGAGACAATGGGCTGGACATCATCAAGCTGTCAGATCGTGACTTCCTCCGAAGTTTGGAGAATGCTATCCGGTTTGGCAAACCCTGCCTCTTGGAGAATGTCGGTATTGAGTTGGACCCTGCGCTGGAACCAATTCTGCTGAGACAGGTGAGCTATTCTCCACGAAGCAGCTTCAATAAGAATGTTCTATCAAGGAGATTTGATGAATGAACTGTTCTTTACTTATGATGCTTCTCATGAGGTCACAAGACCATTTTCTCGTATTTTTAGCAGTAGGCAAAAAACATAATTCCAACTTTTTTTTCACCCTGAAAATATATTTAATTAGATGAGAATTTGATTTTATCCTTAAGCTATATGCTGGTCTACGACTCATGATTCTTGATGATGTAGGCTGGAGTAGTATAAATGAAGCAGTGAGGTTAAAAGAGCATTGTGTCTCTTGTGTGCAGACTTTCAAGCAGCAAGGTAGCACTGTGATCAAGCTGGGAGATGCAGTTATCCCCTACCATGAAGACTTCAAGTTCTACATCACCACCAAGCTGCCCAACCCACACTACACTCCAGAAGTGTCAACCAAGGTCACTCTCGTCAACTTCACCCTGTCACCAAGGTAACCACTGATATCCTGACAGTCATGACGTCAAACATGCATTTGTGTTTGTGTGTTGTTAACTACTTCTGTCCACTGTTTGTTACACCGCTGTCTGTTTTCTGATGTCTACTGACAGTTTCATTTTTGTTTGTTCATCTGGCTGTTTGTGTTCTCTTCTGTCTGTTCACTGCTGATTGCTGCTGTCAGTTCAATCTGTCTGCTGTGTTCACTGCCGTCTCCTGTCTGTTCACTGCTGTCTGTTGCGTTCACAGCTGTCTGTTCAAAGCTGTCTCCTGTCAGTTCACTGCTGTGTGTTCATCTATGTCTGCTGTATTGTCACTGCTGTCTGCTTTGTTCACTGCTGTCTGTTCAAAGCTGTTTCCTGTCAGTTCACTGCTGTCAGTTCACAGTATGATCACTGCTGTCTGTTCACTGCTGTCTCCTGTGTTCACTGCTGTCTGCTGTGTTCACTGCTGTCTGCTATGTTCACTGATGTCTGCTATGTTCACTGCTGTCTGCTGTCAGATCACTGCTGTCTATGTTCACTGCTGTCTGCTGTGTTCACTGCTATCACCTGTCTGTTCACTGCTGTCTCCTGTGTTCACTGCTGTCTGTTCACTGTTGTCTGCTGTGATCACTGCTGTCTGTTCACAGTATGGTCACTGCTGTCTGTTCACTGCTGTGTTCACCTATGTCTGCTGTGTGTTCACCTATGTGTGATGTGTGTTCACTGCTGTCAGCTGTCAGTTCACTGCTGTCTCCTGTGTTCACTGCTGTCTGCTGTCAGATCACTGCTGTCTATGTTCACTGCTGTCTTCTGTGTTCACTGCTATCACCTGTCTGTTCACTGCTGTCTGCTATGTTCACTGCTGTCTGCTGTCAGATCACTGCTGTCTATGTTCACTGCTGTCTTCTGTGTTCACTGCTATCACCTGTCTGTTCACTGCTGTCTGCTGTGTTCACTGCTGCCTGTTCACTGCTGTATGCTGTGTTCACTGCTATCAACTGTCTGTTCACTGCTGTCTATGTTCACTATCTGCTGTATGTTCACCTCTGTGTGCTGTGTGTTCACCTATGTCTGCTGTGTGTTCACCTATGTGTGCTGTGTGTTCACTGCTGTCTGTTGTGTTCACTGCTGTCAGCTGTCAGTTCACTGCTGTCTCCTGTGTTCACTGCTGTCTGCTATGTTCACTGCTGTCTGCTATGTTCACTGCTGTCTGCTGTCAGATCACTGCTGTCTGCTGTGTTCACTGCTATCACCTGTCTGTTCACTGCTGTCTCCTGTGTTCACTGCTGTCTGTTCACTGTTGTCTGCTGTGTTCACTGCTGTCTTTTGTGTTCACTGCTGTCTGCTGTGATCACTGCTGTCTGTTCACAGTATGGTCACTGCTGTCTGTTCACTGCTGTGTTCACCTATGTCTGCTGTGTGTTCACCTATGTGTGATGTGTGTTCACTGCTGTCTGTTGTGTTCACTGCTGTCAGCTGTCAGTTCACTGCTGTCTCCTGTGTTCACTGCTGTCTTCTGTGTTCACTGCTATCACCTGTCTGTTCACTGCTGTCTTCTGTGTTCACTGCTATCACCTGTCTGTTCACTGCTGTCTGCTGTGTTCACTGCTATCAACTGTCTGTTCACTGCTGTCTATGTTCACTATCTGCTGTATGTTCACCTCTGTGTGCTGTGTGTTCACCTATGTCTGCTGTGTGTTCACCCATGTGTGTTGTGTGTTCACTGTTGTCTGCTGTGTGTTCATCTATGTGAGCTGTGTGTTCACTGCTGTCTGCTGTGTGTTCATCTATGTGAGCTGTGTGCTCACTGCTGTCTGCTGTGTGTTCATCTATGTGAGCTGTGTGCTCAATGCTGTCTGCTGTGTGTTTTAGTGGTCTGGAAGACCAGCTGCTGGGTACAGTAGTGGCAGAAGAGCGACCTGACCTAGAGGAGGCCAAGAACCAGCTGATTGTGAGCAATGCCAAGATGAAGCAGGAACTGAAGGAGATTGAGGACAGGATCCTGTATCGTCTTAGCTCCTCCGAGGGCAGCCCAGTTGACGACATCGACCTCATACAGACACTAGAGGCTTCCAAAATCAAGTCCATGGAAATCCAGGTTTGTTGTCTTATAGTAGGGTTGAGCACACTCAAACTCTGGATAACTCAATATATGTTGAGGTACCTGAGGAGTTTATAAGGAGTTAATGCAGTCAAAGATGAGCCCATATAAGAAGATGTTAGTTGAGGGTGTCTGTGTGTTGTTAAAGTGACTGTCCTTCCTCCCACAGGCCAAGGTGGTGGTAGCCGAGCAGACTGAGAAGGACATTGACCAGACTCGCAGTCAGTACATCCCAGTAGCCATCAACACCCAGATCCTCTTCTTCTGTGTGGCTGACATGGCCAACATCGACCCCATGTACCAATACTCTCTGGAGTGGTTCATCAACATCTACCTCAGTGGTATTGCCAATGCTGAGAGAGCAGGTAGGAGGGTCTCATTGCATCCAGTTCAGTTTCCGATTTAGATAAGAACCTACAAGCTATCATGAATTACCTGTAATCATTCTGGTATCTAAGAATTTGGAACTGATGTATGATGGCAGCATTGCCTATTATTGTTCTGAGAACCAACATCTTTCATTTCTTTTCTTCAGACAACATTCCACAGCGTATCAAGAATATCAACAACTACTTCACCTTCAGCCTCTACAGCAATGTCTGCCGCAGTCTGTTCGAGAAACACAAACTTCTCTTTGCCTTCCTGCTCTGTGCCAGAATCAAGATGCACGATGGCTCCATCAATATGGTGTGTACTGGCAACTTTGTTACTGAAGTGACATTTGTTTATAATAAGCTTATGAACCAAATTGCATTCTGACAATGAAATATGATGGAAAAATTTGTAGCTCATCTTCCAGTTTGTTTAATAGGGCAACATTTTTTTTATTTCTTGGTTTACGGATGCGTCTCTCTTTCAAAGTCCAATGTTAAAAAAAATAAAAAATGAAAATTACCCTTTTTTTTATTTCCGCCGATCTTTTCATCAAAAAGTTCAAACAAAAACAGATTTCATTTCCTTGTCGAGCGTAAAGCAAAGGGAAGTCACTCTGATATTTCTCGCTGGGATCCGTCTTTAATACCATCAAAGCTTGTCAAGGCAAAGCGCAGTGGTGACCAGTTTAACCCATTCTACACTGTTGGCCGTTCAAGAAGCCACGAGTCACACCACAGGGTAGACCGGCCAAGTCAAGTCAAAATAATTTATAATTTTATAACCTACTTGTCATATCATTCATTTATTAAATCACATTTCACAATGTCTGCTTAAATTTGACCAATCACGAACCTTGTAGCAGATTATGTCGGTGAAACAATATAAGTTTTTTAATGTATACTGACATGGCAGCCTTCGACTTATGTGTTATTCATACGAAGCTTTGAAAACGGAGGTATTTCCTCATGTTTGTGAGCGGACAGCCACTATCATTGGGAAATAGATGATGACAGATATTATTTGTTATTCTTTTTAAAATAATGTTCCGACTATGTAAACAAATGAAAATAATAAAGAAATAGGTAGAATTAAGTGGATTTAATTAAATCTTATATTTGCCGAAAATCATTAAATTTTCACTTCATTGGTCCTTAATCTGGACGTTATGAATGTTTAGCTTACATTATTTTTATTTAAAACTAACTTTGTTGTTAATGAGTTATTTAAATAATGTAATACACATAACTTTCATATTTATAAACAATAGGATTAATTAGACCTTTCAAATAGTGTATGGCCAAACATGCAGTAGCAAAGATGTTTTACAAGCAGATAATTTCCTTGGTAAATGTTGGCTTCATCTTTCACACAAGTGTCTCTGGGAACTTAATTGGTGTCACAGCAGTAATGTTCTGGTTGGCTGGTGTTGAAAGAGTTAAATGTTGCCCATGCTGCCAAAATAGCAGCGTCTTTCATGCATTTCCACCCATGACATGAACATTGTTATATTGCCATTTGTGCACAAGCTGTGTGCCAGGGATATGATAAAATGTTCTTGAAAAATTGAGTTGTTTCAATTTTGTTACTCCAGAATATTTTTTTTATACCTACCTAACTTTTAAGGGCAAAATTCAAGTAAAATAATCTTTGAGACTTTTTATTTTTAATTGGCCTACCACATTTTTGAAATGAGTTTGAAATCCGTTAACCAAGAAATACAAAAAATGTCACCTAGGGGATAACCAGTGGGTGGAGTAAGTCTTTGGGTCTTCCTCTGACCCTATTCCACAATGCATACTTGCAATTGGCTTAGCATCTGTCATGAATTCATGATTATTCAAGTGTTATGACAGTCAACATGTTAAGAATGTTGTCATGTAGTGTTAATCCGTTACTGTAACTGGGTTCATATGTCGCTGTATCTGGGTTCATATGTCACTGTAACTGGGTTCACACGTCACTAACCGGGTTCATATGTCACTGTACCTGGGTTTATATGTCACTGTATCTGGGTTCATATGTCGCTGTATCTGGGTTCATATGTCACTGTACCTGGGTTCATATGTCACTGTATCTGGGTTCATATGTCGCTGTATCTGGGTTCATATGTCACTGTATCTGGGTTCATATGTCGCTGTACCTGGGTTCATATGTCACTGTACCTTGGTTCATATGTCACTGTAACTGGGTTCATATGTCACCGTACCTGGGCTGATATGTCACTGTAACTGGGTTCATATGTCACTGTAACTGGGTTCACACGTCACTAACCGGGTTCATATGTCACTGTACCTGGGTTTATATGTCACTGTATCTGGGTTCATATGTCGCTGTATCTGGGTTCATATGTCACTGTACCTGGGTTCATATGTCACTGTACCTGGGTTCATATGTCACTGTAACTGGGTTCACACGTCACTAACCGGGTTCATATGTCACTGTACCTGGGTTTATATATCACTGTATCTGGGTTCATATGTCGCTGTATCTGGGTTCATATGTCACTGTACCTGGGTTCATATGTCACTGTACCTGGGTTCATATGTCACTGTACCTGGGTTCATATGTCACTGTACCTGGGTTCATATGTCACTGTAACTGGGTTCATATGTCACTGTACCTGGGTTCATATGTCACTGTAACTGGGTTCATATGTCACTGTACCTGGGTTCATATGTCACTGTAACTGGGTTCATATGTCACTGTAACTGGGTTCACACGTCACTAACCGGGTTCATATGTCACTAACTGGGTTCATATGTCACTGTAACTGGGTTCATATGTCACTGTACCTGGGTTCATATGTCACTGTACCTGGGTTCATATGTCACTGTACCTGGGTTCATATGTCACTGTAACTGGGTTCATATGTCACTGTACCTGGGTTCATATGTCGCTGTATCTGGGTTCATATGTCGCTGTATCTGGGTTCATATGTCACTGTACCTGGGTTCATATGTTACTGTATCTGGGTTCATATGTCGCTGTATCTGGGTTCATATGTCGCTGTATCTGGGTTCATATGTCGCTGTACCTGGGTTCATATGTCACTGTACCTTGGTTCATATGTCACTGTAACTGGGTTCATATGTCACCGTACCTGGGCTGATATGTCACTGTAACTGGGTTCACACGTCACTAACCGGGTTCATATGTCACTGTACCTGGGTTTATATGTCACTAACTGGGTTCATATGTCACTGTACCTGTGTTCATATGTCACTGTACCTGGGTTCATATGTCACTGTAACTGGGTTCATATGTCACTGTACCTGGGTTCATATGTCACTGTACCTGGGTTCATATGTCACTGTACCTGGGTTCATATGTCACTGTACCTGGGTTCATATGTCACTGTAACTGGGTTCATATGTCACTGTACCTGGGTTCATATGTCACTGTAACTGGGTTCATATGTCACTGTACCTGGGTTCATATGTCACTGTAACTGGGTTCATATGTCACTGTAACTGGGTTCACACGTCACTAACCGGGTTCATATGTCACTAACTGGGTTCATATGTCACTGTAACTGGGTTCATATGTCACTGTACCTGGGTTCATATGTCACTGTACCTGGGTTCATATGTCACTGTAACTGGGTTCATATGTCACTGTACCTGGGTTCATATGTCACTGTAACTGGGTTCATATGTCACTGTACCTGGGTTCATATGTCACTGTAACTGGGTTCATATGTCACTGTAACTGGGTTCACACGTCACTAACCGGGTTCATATGTCACTAACTGGGTTCATATGTCACTAACTGGGTTCATATGTCACTAACTGGGTTTATATGTCACTAACTGGGTTCACACGTCACTAACTGGGCTAATATGTCACTGTACCTGGGTTCATATGTCACTGTACCTGGGTTCACACTTCACTAACTGGGTTCATATGTCACTGTAACTGGGTTAATATGTCACTGTACCTGGGTTCATATGTCACTGTAACTGGGTTAATATGTCACTGTACCTGGGTTCATATGTCACTGTAACTGGGTTAATATGTCGCTGTAACTGGGTTCATATGTCACTGTAACTGGGTTAATATGTCACTGTAACTGGGTTCATATGTCACTGTACCTGGGTTCATATGTCACTGTACCTGGGTTCATATGTCACTGTACCTTGGTTCATATGTCACTGTAACTGGGTTAATATGTCGCTGTAACTGGGTTGATATGTCACTGTAACTGGGTTGATATGTCACTGTAACTCATTTAATATGTAGCTGTAACTGGGTTCACACGTCACTAACTGGGTTAATATGCTGTGGTGTTGCAGGATGAGTGGAGATTTTTGATTGCTGGAGGTACAGTGAAACCCGAAGAGTTACCAAACCCCGCCCCTGAGTGGATATCAGATCGCTCATGGCAGGACATCTTAACTCTGGGTGTTTTGCAAAAGTTTGTCGACTTCCCCCGAGACTTCAAGAATCATGTTGATGGGTTCAAGATGATCTTTGATAGTACAGAACCACACAGGTGAGATAGCAGAGGAAGACAAAGTGAGGTATAGGTGGCCTTGTGACTTACTGGTGATGGGTTTGAATCCCAGATTTGCCTCCGATTATGATCCTTGGTGTGTCAACACCTTGCCTTTTCTCATTGGTGTCAATGTCTATGACCTGTGTCACATTGGGGTTTCTACACATTAATAAATCTGACAGAATCATGATATATATGAAATAATATTCAAAGCGATTATGTCCCAAGTTATGTTGTCATAAAGTGGAACGTATCACTGTCTCTGAGAATCTATGAACACACAAAGTCATTGGTTAGTATATAAGTCTGAACACAATACAGTTAAGTTGTGAAATTCTGTGTAGCAGTGCTTGAGTTTAAGGGGGTATTTGAGGTATTGGAATCTGGGAGCCCCCTAAATCTCCAACTTTTAGCATTTAGGTCATGACAAGGACCCTTTGACTTACATGCTTAATGATATCATTCAAAGGATAAGATGATTTTGGAAAGGCGGTGTTGGTGCAGGCAAGAAGTTGATGTTGTGAACCCACTTGTGAATTTTGTCTGCAGGGAATCTCTCCCGGCTCAGTGGGATGAAAAGCTGGACAGTTTCCAGAAAATCATTGTGCTGAAATGCTTACGGCCAGATAAAGTGACCAATGTCATGCAGGACTATGTGGCCGCAAACCTGGGTCAGAGATTCATCGAGCCTCAGGTAAAGTACATGCTGGCCTGGCTGCCCTGGTGTCAGTTCATACCCTCTAAATGTTTACCATGAATAAGAGTGAGTGAGTATGGTTTTATGCCACTTTAAGCAGTATTCCAGCAATATCACAGTGGGGGACCCCAGAAATGGGCTTCACACATTGTACCCATGTTGGGATTCGAACCCTGGTCTTCAGCGTGATGAGCGAACGCTTTAACCCCTTGGCTACCTGACCGCCCCACCATGGATTAGAATAGGTCCCCAGCATCTCATTGCTGGTTACAAGAAGTGACATATTGGTGGTGAGGCTCTGTGAGTTGGCGGGTTGCAAGTCACTGTTATCCATGATTCATTGCTGACGGTCGTGTCATTGGTTTGCTTGGTCCAAACTGGTCAGCATAACAAGACAAGTGTTGTGTCCCAGGGTCCAGTGCTTGATGAAAGACGTGGTGAAAATGTGGATCAGGTAGTCACAATGGCCTCAGTATGTGATTATAATTTCAATGTATGGCTGCCAGTAACACTCTCCTGGCATAATGGACTTTTGCAGTTGGTGGTTCTGTTCAGAATCTATAATTAGAGTAACTGTTTTGATATTGCTGACTATACAGTATATGTGCTATTCATTATCAAAATTTGATTTGGAGGTTTTAAATTAAAATTAAATTTGCAGCAAGTTTAATTTACAGTATGTTAGGTTACAACAAACACTGAAACATGTTCATGAATGAAGTTCACAGTCTAGGTAGGCAATGAGACAGAATTATCAGGGCAGATATTTATTGATGTTTTGCAGGGCTAGTTAAAATGAACTATGACCAGATAGGAAGGGAGCAAGGGACATGTTGATGGCCATGATTGGTTTTATGTCTTCAGCAACCCATGCTTGTCGTTAGAGGCGACGAACGGGATCGGGTGGTCAGGCTTGCTGATTTGGTTGATGCATGTCATCGTATCCCAATTGCGTGGATCGATGCTGATGATGTCAGTCACTGGATTGTCTGATTATTTCCAACGGCCATTATATAGCTGGAATATTGCTAGAGCGGCATTAAACAAGCACACAAACAAACAAAAAACAGTTATGCCTATTCTTTCTGTGTTGTGATGCATGTCTGACTCCTGTATTTGTGCACCCTGCACAGACTGCTGACCTTCACCATGTGTACAAAGACTCCTCACCAACTACACCGCTCATCTTCGTACTGTCGACCGGTACTGATCCTGCCGCTGACCTTTACAAGTTCGCAGAGGAGATGAGATTCGCCAAAAAACTCTCAGCCATATCCCTTGGTCAGGGACAGGTGAGAGAAATACCATCATACTAATATAAAGATACAAATACTATATTACTTATACTTTGATACAAAAGTGTTATTATTAATACAAAAACATTATTATGAACACAACAACAGTATACATATCTTCTTTGACAGTTTTCTTCCTAAAGGTTTGAAAAGACTTAAATATAAAGGGATGTAACTCTTGTTGCCTTACTGTATTCACCATCTAGGATATGTGAGCCATGCCATGTGTTTTACCCATGGATGAGGCAGGGACATGATGTAGCTTCTGTTGTTCCCTAGGGCCCCCGAGCAGAGGCGATGATGCGTAGCGCCATGGAGAGAGGGAAATGGGTCTTCTTCCAGAACTGCCACTTGGCGCCATCTTGGATGCCTTCCCTGGAGAGACTCATCGAACAGATCGATGTGGACAAGGTTGGTTGATTGGGTTGGGGGTTTCGGTCAACATGAGCATCAGTAGGAACTAGTAGAAACCAGTAGACTAGTCCACTAGTCCTTATAATGACAACAGATAGCAAAACCCTTAATAACGGCAAATTTCTACTTGTCTTTATGATTCCTTAGCTATTGGGCAGGTTGGCAAGGACTATAGGACTAGTGTCAATTTCTAACACTGCGTAATATTGGATCCCATTTGACTTCAACATTATCATCATTGCCTAATGCGGCAATTTTTCCATGTTGATATTCCGGTTCAGTATATGTCCCAAGCACCCAATTGTCAGAGCTGACGACAATGAGGATTGGGTGGTCACAGAGTGTGACCTGTCTCATGTTTGTCATGACATCCCCAGGGCCATTGACTGTTACTTGTTGGCCTGGCCCTGACTCAAGTATTGCTGTAATATTGCCGACAGAGGCATATCAATATAAAAAACAACATCCTCTCAACGAAACAGGTATTAAATTTGAATTCAGCATTGTATCTGCAGACTTAACACTCTGTAAGCTCCATGTGAAGACTACAAATTTAGCTTTTGTCAGTTTTTCTCATTCTAATATTCTACATGATTGCTTCCCAATTTTGACAACGGGGATATAAATTTTTCGTGTATCCCTGGCAGCAGAGGTTTTGATTATATGCTGTGGGAAAATTTGAGTTTAGCTGACCCAGAGAAATATTCCAATTGGCCAGTTCCTCACTGGGCTACAACACTGACACTGGTCCGCAGTTCAACATCAGGGGGACTTGGAGGGCCTAGTTGTCGGAGATGCTGCAAGCTGCTGTGCAGACTTGCATCCTTTGTGCATGCCCCAAACCTAAAATCATAGGCTCAGATCCCAGTTGCCCTCACTATGCTGGTAGGTTCATGAAAATGGTAAGCGTCCAATTACTGCATCACTTTCCTCCCACTTTCAGGCTTAAAAAAATAAAAGAATTGGCTCTCAGGCAATGGCTTTTGAAAATATAGTGCAGGTGGGTGCTGGTTTGGGGTTGTTTTTTTTAGGTTATTCAAAATAATATGTAACCAAATAAACAGTTGGGTAACCAAATAAACAGTTGTGTACAATCAATTCGGAAAGGGCCTCCCTACATAAATGTATTCCTTGATAAGTAAAGTACTGGAATATTTGACTACCATTGGAATATTTAAGGATATTTTTGTTTTTCTATTTAAATAGAAATAAAAACAAAATGTGTGGTGAACTTTATCATCATGTGGTCGGTGCCTGAGAACCAAGGCTATTATTTTTTTTAGCCTATGCTGAAAAACCATGATATTACTGAAATATTGTTCAGTAAACCCGTCTCCCACACTCAGTATAAAGTGATGTGAAACCATTGTCCATGCTACAGGTGCACCGAGACTTCCGCCTGTGGTTGACCAGTATGCCCAGTGACAAGTTCCCAGTGTACATCCTACAGAATGGCTCCAAGATGACAGTGGAGCCGCCCAAGGGAATCAAGGCCAACCTGCTCAAGTCGTATGCTGGTTTCAATGACGACTTTCTCAACTCATGTGGTGACAAGGTGTGTTTGCTAATTTATGGCTATTTAGAGTGACAAAAAGTTCTTGGATTACCGTTTTAAAGAGAATTTTCATACTATGTACTTGAATTTGTGGAATTATTTTATGGGAGGGTAACTGTCATACAAGGTATTCTTACAAGAACTGCTTTATGACCTGTTCATGATAAAGTATGGGAGTTTCGATCACCCTAGAGCTATGATCACTTGGGGATGGGGTCATCGACCTTAACAGGAGCAGGGGTGGCCCAGTGATATAAGTTCCAGCGATTCGCTGTGCAGAGTTAAGTGCCTTAGACATACAAGGATCCGACAGTCATGGTTCATATGCGGACATTTCCACAATTTGTGGCACTTGGTTTGTCCACACCATACCCATGCGTATCAGTTACAATGTCCTGATGAACATCTACAGTATCCAGGACAAACATTTGGACGTATTGTGGTAACATGCCGTGATACACGATAATTGAAATACTGTACAAAGTGACATTAAACCCAACCCTGTGAATGTAACAATGTCTTAGATTCATCTGAATCTGGTCCAGTAGAGCAGAGTCCTATATGCCTGTAATTAGTGTCCAGAATCCACAGGTAGATGCTTTACAACCTCAGTAATCCAAACATGTTAATGGTTTGCCAGAATAATACAGAGAGGCATGGTTCAAGACAAATCAACCAGAAATGTTACACATCAGGTTTTTCCCAGCTATATTGTCCAGAGAATACGTTTCTGATAGCATTATAATTTGGATTAAGAAGGTTTTACTGTATACAGTTTGTATTATAGAATTGTTAATTGACCACTGTTGTTTCCAGATGGTACTGAGGAAGGGTGAACTTGTAAAGGTAGCCACCAGTTCATCAACTGGGGACAACATATGTAGTCGGCATTGCCTCTCTCTAAAGCAAATCTTCCTTCATCTCTCATTCAAAATTCTACTCTCTCCTCTTCTGTCTATCACAGTGACATCGTCTGTCAATGCTGGTATTTGTTCTATAGTGTAAGATTTGGTTTAGGAGAGACTGGTATTGTGGTGTATATATTGTGATGGTGTAGCACGTCACAGGGATTTTCAGGGTGCTTCACCAAGTCATCCGCTGCCTCAGCTAATGCACCTTCAGCTTCCAGATACATCCTTCCATTGTTCAGTGTCCGTGTACATTCTGTGTACTGCCGTGTATTCACAGTGTATTCACAGTGTATTCACAGTGTATTCACAGTGTACAGAGGCTGCAACTCCTTAGATATTGATCTGATCTTGTTGTGAATGTGTGAGATGCTTTTCTTCAGACAGTGTTTAGGTTGATATGTAGATTGATGTATATGATACTGTATATATCATTTGTTCAAGGACATATTTACTATGTGTTTAAGGGTGTCTGTATCATGTGTCTAATGGGGTATGTCATGTGTTCAAGGATGTATGTCAAGGGTGTAGGGTACATGTATCAGGTTATAAAGGATCCATTGTACCCTGAAAATAAGGATGTGTGTCATGTGTTCAAGGGTGTAAGTCATGTGTTCAAGGGTGTATGTCATGTGTTCAAGGGTGTATGTCATGTGTTCGAGGATGTGTGTCATGTGTTCAAGGGTGTATGTCATGTTCAGGGGTGTATGTCATATGTTCAAGGATGTGTGTCATGTGTTCAAGGGTGTATGTCATATGTTCAAGGGTGTATGTCATGTGTTCAAGGGTGTATGTCATGTGTTCAAGGATGTATGTCATATGTTCAAGGATGCATGTCATATGTACAAGGGTGTGTGTCATGTGTTCAAGGGTGTATGTCATATGTTCAAGGATGTATGTCATGTGTTCAAGGGTGTATGTCATGTGTTCAAGGATGTATATCATATGTTCAAGGGTGTATGTCATGTGTTCAAGGATGTATGTCATATGTTCAAGGATGTATGTCATGTGTTCAAGGGTTTATGTCATGTGTTCAAGGATGTATGTATTCTTTGTTTAATGTTACATGTTCAATGTGTTCAAGGATATATGTCATGTGTTCAAGGATGTATCTATCATGTGTCTATTGATGCAGATGCCATGTGTTCAAGGATGCTTGTCATTTGCACTAAGATGTATGTTCTATGTGTTCAAGGTTGTGTGTATAATGTGTTCGAGAAAGTATATATGATTGTTTAGTGACTTGAAATGATGATTCAAGTATAGAGATTGTAAGGCAGTGCGCATGGCAAAACTGTTTATTCTCAAACTGTATACTCAAACAGCTTTAACACAGTTCCAACCTTTATAAACATCACTCTCTTCGTAGGCATGTGTAAGCATGACTCCATTGTTTCCTGAATGGGAACCTCAGTCATTTCATCCACTGTCTCAGTAACACTACAGCATCATAATCCCCCATCTTCTTAATATAACCTATAGAAGCAGCATGTAATCGCTTCATCCATCAACCTCAGTGGGGCTCACAGCTCTGTCAGCTCATAGACACCTCAGCAGCTCTTCTTTAATGTTTAGTTCTGCATGATCATGTATATGTACCATGCAGTCTTTAGATGTTTATATCTCTGACACAGTAGAGCAAACGCTTTGCTTTTTCAAAACCAGTAGAGACAGGAAGAAATCAGAATCAATAAAGCAGCAGAATAGGGGAATTATGATTTGACATGTAGATTATTTCTTTGTGCTGATGACGTCTGTGTTCTCAGTAGGGTATTATAGTTTTCCGTCCATGCATATCACAGCTGCTTGCATTGTTGATATTGAGGATGCACATATTATTTTGTATTTCATTTTTCTGTCCACAATATTTTCATTTACAATTTTTAATTACAATTTCATTATGTTTGTGAAATATTTGTAAAATGCAATTTATTAAGTTGATGATGTAAATAAAATGAATATTAGTGATTCTGTTTGATGATAGTTCTGATTAGGGGCAATAACTGTAGTCCAAATCCTGTAGGATGTGTTTTAATGTGACATTGATAACCTCCCCTACTATTTCAGTCGAATCCCTTCAAGTTCCTGCTCCTTTCACTGTCCTTGTTCCATGGTGTCCTCATTGAGAGGAGAAAGTTCGGTCCTCTCGGGTTCAACATCCCCTATGAGTTCACCGATGGAGACCTCCGGATCTGTGTCAGTCAGCTCAAGATGTTCCTTGTGGAATACGATGAAATTCCATACAAGGTAGGTAACTCTGCTGTACTGGTACAAGAGTTGTCTCTCTTAGATGTCTTCAGCTTTTATGAAGGTGTCTTGGGGTCTTAGTATCTATGAAATTCTTGCAACTTCTCGTGTGGATGAAGGAGTTATTTGCCTTGCATTGATAAAGGCTTGTCTATGAGAAATATGAACTAGATATGAATAGTTTGATGGTAGAGAGCTTCAGTGTGAAAATCTTAATCACTGACCAAGTTTTTTTTATTTGCATTGTTGGATATTTTGTTGACATGAGATTTTAGTTTTGTACTTCATATTATTAGTGTAAAGTCTGTCACTTTTCTGAATACAGAAAACATTTGTTTCTTTATATAACTGATGTCTGTATTATGCTGTCTAAGATTCATAAATAATTATGTGATGATTAGTTTATTCACGGAACAAAAAGGCAACAGACCCATAGTAAAATTTGTACATTATTTTGAAAAAAAACCAAATTGTTCAGTTATGAGATTACAGGGTCATTCTTTGACCAACTTGTTGTAATTGAAACAAAATAATACAGCCAAATAGGCCTCACCTTTCACCATGAAACAAATATGAAATAAGAGAGAGTGTGTATAAACTGTAACCTTTGTGTCACTGCTTAGAGGGTATCTTAATTGGCTCTCAAACTTGTTGATTACAGAGACATAACAAGCGTGTATCTGCCATTATATCATATGGACATGTATAAACTAGACCAGAAGAAGTTCTAATAGACACAAGCTTGAGACAAGTGGATTTAGTCTCGAACTGACAGATGCGGTTTTGGATACTAACCATGAAAGTTATGGTGCCATGACCCTAATGTTACAAGTTACACATTTAGGAGGTATCAGGACTCAATTACTATAGAAGCAAACCTCAAAGACCCTTACAATTGAGACCCATGAAGATCTGGGTTTGAATAGGTTTTCAGCAACTTATGCTTGCCGTAAAAGGCAACTATGCTTGTCGTAAGAGGTGACTAACAGGATCGGGGGTCAGACTCGCTGACTTGGTTGATGCATTTCATCGTATCCAAATTGCGTGGATCAGTGCTCATGATGTCAGTCACTGGATTGTCTGGTCCAGATTTGATTATTTACAGAACACTGCCATATAGCTGGAATATTGTTGTGTGTGGCGTTAAACAACAAACAAACAAATATAACACTGGATACAGGGCTTAATTTTGTAACCATATGATACGTAAACAAGGACTAGATTGGGACCCACTTATGATATCTAGTTATTATTCTCCATACCTCCAGTAAGGCAGATCACTGTGTATCGGTTCGGTGTGTCAAATGCACACAGCCCTGGCTGTGAGTCTGTAGCCCACTTGTGTCATACATTATCTTCTGTGTCCATGAAAAATTCATACGTCATTTACTTCTTTATTTATCATGATTATAAACCCATGGACATGTGAACCGAGTGATTGACTAGGGAACATTTCCACATCTGTTGTTTCTGCAGCTGTGACATACGAGGCAATAAAAACTCTTGACATCTATCTTTTTAGTTTATCCAGAAGAAAAAATATGTTTCATCACATTTTGCTGAAATATGTATGTCTGTCATTGACATAGATTGTTGAAGATACAGATGCAAGTCAGTTGCTGTTGAAAGTGAAGAACTATAGTTTGTTTGTCATTAAAAGGTTGAACTGCAGTAATTATACATGGCATGTTAGTACTTTCACAGGTCTTTCAGATCACAGGTGTGAGACAGTATGGTTGAAGTCTCATATAATGATAAATCCTAAGGGGTCTAAGGTCTTGTCAGATTATTTTGGACTAGCTTGTCCTAATAGGTCTAAGGTCTTGTCAGATTAATTTGGACTAGCTTGTCCTAATAGGTCTAAGGTCTTGTCAGATTATTTTGGACTAGCTTGTCCTAATGGGTCTAAGGTCTTTTCAGATTATTTTGGACTAGCTTGTCCTAATGGGTCTAAGGTCTTGTCAGATTATTTTGGACTAGCTTGTCCTAATGGGTCTTAGGTCTTGTCAGATTATTTTGGACTAGCTTGTCCTAATGGGTCGAAGGTCTTGTCAGATTATTTTGGACTAGCTAAATCCTAATGGATCTCAAATCTTGTCAGATTATTATGGACTAGCTAAATCATAATGGGTCTTAGGTCTTGTCAGATTATTATGGGCAAAGCTGGCAACATCTCCTTGTGTAATCAGAAAAAAACTTACTGAATTGTTTTGTTGTCATGTATTTAAGTATCAATATATGCTAAAGTTAGCAAATCCACAATGAACTGATGATAAGTTCTTGAACATTTGTTTTGTTCGAAGTAGGGATGGAGCACAGATTTGTTGTTATAATGTTAGCATTAGCTGTTTTAAAACACTTGTTTACTCCCTTTTTATATACGCTGTCTGTGACTTCAGCCACTAGTCCAAAGCCAGAGTCTCATAAAATTCTGTTCGGTCTAATAAGATCGGATAATGAAATCCATATGATAATCCTAAAATGGACCAAAAAAGAAGCTGAATTTGGGGTAGAAAACTCAACTGGTTTTAACACAAACTGTACATGTCGGCCATTGGAATGAAGGGCAGAGAAGGTCTCCAGTACCCTGATGGTAGGCGCAAAGCTGCTTCAGTAGGATGGGGTGGCTACTGTGTGTAGCTTGGCTCATAGTGTGTCATCAAACTGCAACAACTTGGGTCATGCTATTAACCACTGGTTTGGCTGGACCAGATTTGATTATATTTCCATATATTACTGCAACACAGTACCCCTTCAGCGAATTCAGGTAAATGAGCGGGTGATAAGAAACTTGGTCAGTACAAAATTTGAAATTTGATATAAAAAATTACCAGACATGTTGATCTGTTTAAATTGTATTTTTCTGTTCTGCTAGGCATTGTTTAACATGCAGAGAGATTACCTTGTGTACCCTATATGACCGCAGATAAGCCGACCCCGTAGATAAGCCGAGGTGTTAATATGACCATTGAAATACGAAAGAAAATGATATGACCCGCAGATAAGCCGAATCAGGAATTGAAAGACAAAAAACACTGCGAAGTCGGACTGAAAGACATGTGCCGGTACTCGCAGATATTCAAAATTATAAGATGAAAAACGTTGTAATTATATTGAAAAAGTCATTATTATTTCTAATAAAGATTTAACAAACCAGTCATCCACTTTCATAATGTGGGAAGCTGTTTCTCGTGGGTTTTTTTTAATCTCATAATGATCGTTATATGTTGCCATCAACAACCAAGCGCCATTTTGTGAGTCGGTGTATATAGAATTATGAACCCGTGAGAAAATATATCAGCTGGAGCGAAGACTCGCAGTTTGAATTCAGCATCGTAAGCATGGCGTTTTCGTTTAAAACTCATGATGAAAATGTCAGTCAGTAAAAATATACCAACTTTTATAACCCCCTTTACACCACTATTGTATGTTAATCCAATTGAATTAAATAAACTATCATACTATTTTCTTGTAAACTAAGCCAGAAAGAGCAATCAGAAGGTCACACCTTTTCTTGGAATCTACCGGTGATTCAGTTAAAACTTACCCAATGATATAATCCAGCAGGCAGGGGTAAGAAGTGTGCAAATAATTCAGCAGGCTAAAGGTTAAAGGATTTTGATACAAGTATCGGGAAAAACTGTATCTGAATATATTCCAATATCGTGTTATTTTAGTTGCAGCTTTTACTATACATATTTAAAATATTAATACCCCTAAGCGTAGCACTTCCGTGCAGCTGAACGCGATTGTGAGAACTATATATTGACATAGAATCATTCAACTACGACAAATATGACTTTTAACGAGTCAAAGTATGGCATTGATGATACATGTATCCATTCTGTCAACTAAAGTTTGTTTCCATGCATCAACAGCGATAATCTGACCATGGTTGCTGTAAATAACAGTGAGTTATGCGATCTTCCAATTGCTTCACACACGATTTCGCCGAAATTAATTTAAACAACGTTAAAAGGGATTTTGAATAAATTTAATGAAATAGGTTACAAACATAAGTCCAGATATGCAATGAATACCTTTTATAACCAGACAGTGTAATTAAAGGATTACATTGCATACTCCAGTACGGATTTGTTGACATGGTATTTCCTGTGTTGCGTGCTCATGGTAATGTCTTTATGTTGGGGGAAAACTCATTATGGCATATATAATGTGCACCCCTTCTACATAGCTGTCTTTTGGGAAAAGAAATGTGTGCTATACTCAAGAAAATATGGTACGGTAAACTATGGTTATAACAAACTCAAAAGGACCGCTAATGTTAGTTTGTTACAGCTGTAGGTGCTTATGAGCATGTATACAGCATATATACATCCAATGGCCGGGATCATAAAACAGTTTGTTATGTCTGTCAGTTGGTAATAAGCGTGTTTTTTATAAACATAGTTTACTGTATTTTAGTAATACCTGATGAGAAGTTCCTGAGATGCTGGTTCAGACAATCAAATAACCAGCTTGCAGTGGTCTAATGTAGGTAGGGTAGAAAGCAACTCAGCTGGCTGTGAACAACAGCTGCCAATAATTTCAGTTATATAATATGTAGTGTTCACAGACATACGTATCTGGTCTACCTGACTTCCGTATCACCAAGATAGTTCACAAGTCTCCATATCCTGACAGGATTAAGTTTGTGGTATCAATTAGTAACAGATACCCATTTTCAGTTATTCCATAATTGTATCTCTTTCTTCCGTTATTTAGACACAAGGAAAAGGATACAGTTTATTGTTCAGTGTTGCAAATTAAGGATGACAGTCAAGTGATCCTTGTTGGAGACATTGGCAGAGGAATTGCAAAGTTGGCCAGCATTGCTGCTTGTGCCAACAAACATTAGCTGGAATGTTGCTGGAATATTGCTGTCTGGGACATTAAACAACATTCACAGCAGTAGAGCATGTCACCTTCAGTCAGTCAGACCTCCCACCGTGATGTGGCTGGAATATTGCTGTCTGGGACATTAAACAACATTCACAGCA